TGCCATCTTGAGTTTCTGTGTGGATGAACCTATGAAGCGGTTAATCCACTACGAACGACATGAAATATACCGCTTTATTTTTATCCCTGTTGACATCGAGATGTCCTTCAAATAGAGGGGCAAAAACTGGTTTTGGTAGGTAGACGCATTGTCCGATTGGAACGACGCCATCGCAGTTGTGGGAAACTCAGTTTTGACCTGAAGGAGAATCAGCTCCATCAGGGCCAGAACGGACCCTGGATCTTGACGGTTGTCGTTGTGGATCAAATGATCCATATACCGCATATTGTGCGTGCTCTGAGAGTCTACGAAAATTTCAAATTGACACAGTGTTGCTGAGATCCAAACCTTTGTATATCACGCACGCCCCATGCCAGCTGATGCCGCGCTTGCCGTAGTGCTGAATCGTTGTCTCGCGAGGGTACATCGGATCCAGCTTCATTTTGTAGTCCAGAACGATGTAAACTTCATTGTGCGCCATATGTCGAATCACCTCCTACATATATCGATGTTGACGAGAATAAATACTTTCGAGTTTGAAAAAATTCTGAAACTCTATGCTAATAATCAATTGAAACATTTTTATAAATACACGCCACCACTCACGTCGATCCGAAGTTGCTGGTTAACAGCTCGCATAGTGTGTCCCATATATAGTCTGGCTTTGAGTGCGCAGTCTCCAACCAGCTTGCGGTGGGAATCGGCGGCCATGGCGTCCGTCAACATCGCGTAGAAGCGTTCGACCGCAAGACATTCGCTACAGTCAATTGACGGCAAATATGCGTCGACCCCAAGCGCGAATTTGACGCAATGGCTGCGACCGGCGCGCCCAACGTGGCTCTTGTATTGGTATTTCAAAAAATTCTCGCATAAAGCGATCAGTTTATGAATACGTGCTTGTTCGTCGCGGTCAATAATCGTTGCTTGAATCAAGTCTCTAACGGCATTAACGATGAATGAGATGTGGGAAGTGGATATGGCATACCGAATCATAGAAAACGACTCGTATATTAGCTCTGCGCGCACATAGTCGACGGATTTAATGATTGGGTCGTGTTGTGGCATGGCGAGGGCGACGAATTTCTTCAACGAGGAATAGTTAATTCGTTGCGTTCGAACGGGGTGTCGTGCAGAGTAGTCGAGCCAAATCTGTTTACAAGTCTTTTTTCGGATGATGTTGGGAAGAGTTGTCTGTAAGGTATTGTTAGAAGCAGTTCCACGTGCACGCCCACATTACCTTTCTCCCCTCGATTGTTACTTTACGTGTACCCCAAGACATCAGCTGTACGTTGTCAGGGGAAAGCAGGTAGTCGAGTACGAGGTTCGCGTTGTCAGCAGAGAAATTCTGAGCCGTTCGTTTGGCTCGCTTGATCGCTTTGCCTTGGCTGAGTAGCGTATAGTTATGTTGTGCTAATGATATTAATGTCACGATTTGCGTTTTAGTAGGTGAATGGTATTTACTACCTGTTTTATTAGCCATCTTTCCGAAATCGATACATTTCGCTTCCAGCATACTGTTGAGGTCCATCTTGCTGGACGCTAACGGGCGGAGAATGCTGCGGACTGTTTTGAACTCAACCTATGGAAATTTATAGATAGATTTGCATCGATTCATACATGGTGAGGCTTCAATTTATCCAGAAGCTCTATCGACAAGGATAGAAATGATTGAGCAGGAATTGCTTTAATTTCTTGGCGATACTCAACGTAGGCGTGTATCAATGCATCCGGGCTATGGGCATGGAATGTCTAAAATTGTGTCAGATACATTTGGCTACTCAGACGCTACCTTAGCTAAATCAACGACTGCACACTGAAAGCCGTTTAAGGTGGCCCCTTTGGTTATTTCAGTCATGTATTGCCATTCCAGTGCTTGGCGGGGAATGTTCTTGCCAACTTTGATGTTCAGTTGCTCAACCTTTCTGGAAATCTGTTTTCCTATCGGGGTCGAGCATGGAGTCCTCGTTGCAGAGCCGTAGGACTCTCTTCGCGTGTGAACGTCTACGTGAAGTTAGTTTTGATACAAACATGGTATTCATTCAATACTACATCCAAAGTGCTTGCTCTGCTTTGGTGCATTACGAAGTTGATGCTGCGTATCATCGCTACGTGTAACGTTGTTAGTGCAATGACATGCGTACTCGCATTCGAGTATCGGACAGCCATTGCACTTGTGGCAAATACGCTGCTTGTGCGAGCAGACCATGAGAAATGCAAGAATAATGCGTCAACCCAATGGTCAATTCTAGGATGCTCGTCAACCAACACATGTGGTACTTCCCAGTGGCTTGGGACATTCTAAATTTCTAGGGTGAACGTGCAACTATGTTACAGTGGTAGAGTCAAAGTTCGCTGATGTGGCTGCTCTAATATAATTGGATGAAACAAAAGTAATTTTATTTATTTGTCCAACAAACGTTCTAGTTCCATCGCATGATGGCGAAGCATTGGCTCACACGGAAGAATCTCTAATTCGCACGGATCTTCGTACTTCTACTTGAAAGTATTTACGCGTGTTCATGAAGGTGTATTATGTGAATCCCGAGAAGGGGGTGGCATCTGCTAGACGGTAGGAAAAGTTCGATGTCGACACCTCCATTTTCCTACCGTGAAAAGTGAATATAGTTCCCGTGGCCTTTCTGTTAAAAACATCAAAAATACATTTTAAACATTTGTCCAATCCATACAGTACCTTCTACCGGATATAATATGAACATTATCCGGAATACTGCCTTGCAGAGAGATGTGTCGGACGATGCGCAAGGAAGTTCTGCTGCGAGTAAGCAGCAGGAAGAATCACGAGGTGTGGACTACTTACTGCCTTGACGGCCTGACAGTGAAGGTGTTGTCGAAGGAGTAGCCATGGTCATTGTGGTGATTGAAACTACTTCCTGTAGCATAGGCTCTGTCATTACAATCAACAAGCAATGGATACTGACCGGTACTACATAACTACAGTAGGTCAGACCACGAGACTTCATTTTGCATTATCGGAGACCTTGGATGGAATCTACTCGTTCCTTGGACGAGTTCTGCCACAGCTGCCGCACGGTCGCGAGCAATTGCTGCCGATCTCCCGACGACTCGACCCCGTTCGTCCGCGTCAACAGCTCCACGCACGCAAACCGCGCTTCGGGGGTCAAGTCCACGCCATTCGCCATCGCCATCGTCAGAAGTGCTTGGCAGTCATAGTACAAGTCGGCTTGTGCCGACAGCACCAACGCGTTGGACACGGTCGTGGGGTCGAGCGGAAACAGGCCTGGGAACTCGACCATGAGGCTAAAGTACGACAGCGACTCGTCCTGGACGTGCGGTTGGCGTGTCGATCGGACTTGACCAACAGTGCGGAACACGCATGCGACGGCATCGCGGCTCAGCCGTTCGTTGTGCGCCGTCCATTGCCGCAGGAGTCGCTTGGTCGTCGGCAGGTCGACGGCGTCGGCGGCATGGCCCAACGCCTGTTCCACGAGCCTGCAGCTACTGCTGGTGCTGGTTGTCGTCTTGGTGCGGTGGCGCGTCGTGTACTGGGTCATCACTTCGTCTGCCAAGTGCCACGTGCTGGTCCGTCGCAGTGCCACGTAATACAAGGCCGCAAACACCGACTCGTCCACTTGGAGCGCTTCCGTCCACACAAAGCAGCGCCACAATTGCATCGCGTCATCCAGGGTCGACTCGTCTGACGATGCAGGCAGAACCCGCGCTTGCATGGCGGCCGCCCACGCTTTCGGCGCGGCCTTGACGACGCGAGGAAATCGTTCGTACAGGTCGTACAACGTCCCTGACGTCAGAGTCGAGAGGACAGCGGCCATGTCGCGCTCCGAGGCGGCAATGCCGTAGTATTGCATTTCCTGGAGCAGCATGGGCACGACATCCTTAGCCAGTTGCTCATGTGTGGCGGCAATGTGGTGGAGCAACGCGCCACTCCAATGAAACCCGACATGGGTCTCGTCATCTTGGCAGGCCATCACCACATCTCCCGCTACATATGTCCATGTGGAAAACATGGTAGAGACAGAGAGAGATATCAGCGTCAGAATGCCGATTCAATATCAGGCAAAAGAGGAGGACACTTTCTGTAGTACCTTGGTTGGCCGCTTTATACTGGTCAACAAACGCCGAGCGCAGCCGAGGATCGGACGCAGTGGCGACGGCATGGCCGTAGCTCACGTCCAGAAGAGGTAGCCGAGTCAACTGGGCTCTATGGACAAGGGCCATGGCGGCGGCGGAGTGGCCGTGGAGGGCGGCGGCGCTGAGGGCGGCCGACACATGCTGCGTGGACCAGGGAAACACGGCCGCATCGTGGTCGTTAAACAGGGTGTCCCAAACAGAAGAGGCGTCTTCTACCACACGTAGATGAGAGAGAGCTCGCAATGACAAGGAGATAGATGGATGGACGCAAGAGGGTTATATAGGACCTGCGTCGTCGGAAGCTAGCATGGCCATCACCACGTTCAGAGTGGTAGACACCGAAGCAGGGAAGCCCTGGTCGCGCATGTACGACAGAGCGATGGACGACACTCGACCTTGTGTTTTGGGTGTCCTTGCCTCCTTGCAGCTGTCCGAGACCAAATAGTTGCCAACGTCGGGGTCGGTAAGGCCATACTCGGCTTGCATGTTGCGGTACAACTCGACGAGTTGGAGATGGGGGTCGACACCGTTCATGGCGGTGCTGGCACGTGAAGATGATGCTTCTTCAGCTCGGAGAAGCGTGAGGAGGGACCAGAGGACATGCGTGTCGACGGCGAGGGAAGATGCACACGTTCCCGCGTTGTACAGACTCACAATGCGCTTGTGGGTGTCGAGGAGGGGGCCCTCATTGCGAAGGAGGGAAGAAACGACCTGTTCGGACGTAGAAGCGTCGAGGGTTACGTGAGCCGGTTCGATGGCGTCGAGGACGGCGGTCAAGGTGGTCGCATCGTCGTGATGGAGGCAGAGATGAGTCACCGCGTGACTAGCATCCTGCAGGACTTTGCGAGAGACTGCGTGAAGAGGCAACGCTGTCAGCATGTCAACTGCCTGGACGGCGGTCGCCACATCATGCAAGTTGCAGGCAGCAACGAGGACCTGCTGGGCAAAGAGGCTGGTGGTGCGGGGAAGCCAGGCTGCGTCGCGTTCGCCCAAGTACAGAGCGCGGTACAGCACATCCACGACGAGATCGTGTCGTTGGGCAGCATTGAGGTCTCGGGCTTCTTGCCATAACAGGTCTACACGACGGTGAGCCGGCGATGGACTGGGTAGTGCGTTGAGTGAGGTACGTACTTTCATTCGCGTACTTTTGCAGGATTGTCTTCGCATGACCTTCGCGCATGCTGTGCAGTGAAACTTGTTGCTTCTTCCAGATAGGAAACTCGCGTTCGTAATGGAACTGCGCCACGCCCGGAGCATCGGGGTGGACAAGTGATGTATGTTCGTGGATGGTGTCCTGCAGACGAGAGATGTACGCGGCGTTCGCTGCAGAAGACGTAGATACATGTTGCATTAGCATTGTCGCCAATGGATGTCGCTTCCATGGACAAAATGCAGCATGAAGAACCTTGGAGTGCCGCCGCCACATGACGACCCTCACGCGTGTCCCTTTCCCAACCACTTTGGAGATTTGCTACGAGAGTTTGATTCGCTAAAATGTATCCAATTAAACGTCATGGAAACATCTGATTCGCTACTGCTTTATCATTGCAAGAGGCGTTTTTGTCGGCAGAAAGGAGGTGCGCGCCTTCGTGGAAATCTTAGTGTCATGGGCGGTCCATCTTGTCCTGATGCACCGGACTGCGCATGCCGAACCATGTCCTTCTCATGCATTCACGTGCTACATGTCGGTAGTAGCGTGCACATGGACGGACGGCGGCCTACAGTACCCATGGAACGGCAGGGTAGGATCGAATGTTTGGTCGGGTGTCTGTTTCATGGAAAAGTCAAGTTGGGGTAATAATGGAGCGGCAGAGTATTTTATTCCAATGAACATACATTCCGATACAAAAACCAAGAAATGAGGAGCCAGACAAATTAAATTACAGCCGCACAGTGGGCTGCTCATTTTCCTTGATCACATTGCGGGGACAGATCCTTCAAGATGCGCTCGGCTGCGTCACGCCGCTACCTCTGGAAGCTGCCGATCATCTATCTCGTGGTGCATATGCTTGACGGGGTGTCCGGTCGAAGCGATCAGAGTGCGGGTGTAGGTACAGAGATCCTTCTCCCGACGCCGCCTGGCCGAGAAAGGGCAGTTCTCCTCGTGGGTCAGATGAGCGGACAACTGATTGCGTTCGATGCATGGACAGGGGAAATCATCAACTCGATCGACTCTGGAGGGGCCCTCGTGACGAATTGCCGCAACGATATCATGCAAGATCTGCATCCCGACGGCAGCACGACGACCTCGCTTCAGTCCACCACCACGCGGCAACAGACTCGTGTAACAACTACGTCGTTGCAGACGACGACGACCGAAGCGTTCGACCAGCACAACTTTGCACCCACAATGGACGGTCGACTGTACCACATCAGCAAGCACGACGGGGAATGGAAGGAAGTGTTGTTGTCGACGTCGCAGCTATTGCAGGCGAAGAAGCCAGTGCGCGCCAAGGGTAACCCGGAGCTCGAAAACGTGGTGTTTGTCGCGGAGAAGAAGCAGCGTTTGTACACATTTGACGCCGACACGGGTCAGATGTATCCGTTCTTCTCGGCCGATGCCGCCGCGGCCGCCGCCACAGGCCCATCTTCAACTGGTGAACAGTCGACGGTGTTGATGGGTCGCGTGGACGTCACGACCAAGATGGTCAACCTCCATGACGTGTTGGATTACAAATGCGTAACTGTGTCCGAATACTTTATCCAGTTCGCCGCGACGGCGCAGTGCAACTTGGACACGGACGACGAGAACAGCGGTCCATGGATCGAGCTCGAGGTGTTGGCCGAGTCGAACGTGGTGTCTTTGGCCGGCTACGATCCATCGTCCCGTCGGATTCTGTGGAAGTGGAACTCGCATGTTGATCTCACGATGGTGTACGGGGTGCTGCCCAAGCAAGGCGTCAAATTTTTTCAGTGGAACGTGACGTCTGGCCTCGACCATGCAACGACTCAAACCATCGACGACGACGAAGTTCCGTCCAGCTGCCCCACGCCGCCTCCCCTGATCCCGACCACCACGTCGCCCCCCCGCGACCCCACGTCGTCCGCCGTCACCGTGTCCCGGTCCCCTCGACCCAACTTGCTCTACCGGCACATTGACGGCCAGCCATACTTGCTTCCGTCCCCAACGGAAGCATCGTCTAAGCATGTCGCGTCTCTGCCCAACGGCACCAACTCGGTCGTTGTCAAGCGCCATCAACAGCAACGGCCGTGGAATTTCAAAACCGTCGAAATCGACGGCGAAAAGGGCGTCGTGCTCACGTCCACACACGTGGCCGGCATCGTCTTGGCCGTGGCCGTGGTCGTGATGCTCGTGGCGTACGTGTTTTACCGCAAGGGGCTGATCGCCAAGCCCGAACCACATGACGACGTGCCGCCGTCGCCGCTCCCCGCGACCCCGCCGTCGACCCCCGTCCTGTCCCCACGCCCCGAGCCCGAATCGAGTCCGAAGAGCCCCATCAGTGCCGGTAGCCCCAAGAGCCCGTCGTTGCATCGCCACAAGACGGGCCTCGAGCACCTCCTGCGCATGGCCTCGCCTGCGAAAATGCATCGCTCGCTATCGTTTGGCGGGTTTTCCCACGCCCCACCCCCCCATCGCCCCAACGCCCACCACCATCCTCACAACAATGGCACGTCGCCGAAGGCGGAATGGAAACAACCCCCCGTGTTGCGTCTGTCGGATCTGAATGCCGACGACTCGGGGGAGGACTCGACCCAAAGCGGCGGCGTGGACGTTGCTGTCACCCCAACACTAAGCCCATCAACAACCTTGTCGCAGCCCGTGACCTCCGCCGCCACGGAAGAATTCAGCAAAATCCTGCCATACATTTGCCGCGGCCGGTTTGCCAACGAATTTGAAGAGCTGTCGACGTTGGGCAAAGGTGGGTTTGGCCAAGTTATGCTCGCCGAAAATCGGCTGGACGGACGCCAGTACGCGGTCAAGCGCATTGGACTGAGCCTGCGCAACCAAACCAAGCCCACGCTGGAAAAGGTAGATTTGTATGTATACCCCCCTGAAAACAAGCCCGTATGTGACACGGTGATTTGTAATAGTTTTTACGCGAAGTCAAGATCCTGGCGCGGCTCGACCATACGTACATTGTGCGGTACTACCAGGTGTGTGGACGCTCGCGAAGTGCATGTACTCGATAGCTCAATATGGCTGGTCAATAGGCGTGGCTTGAAGAGCTGGGGGAGGACGAGGTGGTGCCGGCGATGAGCGACGCCGCTTCGTACATGACGACCCGCACACGTCGGTACGGCCCGACATCATCCGTGTACTCGGCGCGCAACATTCTGCAGCATCGGTCGTCGGGCGAAGCCAGTTTCGACGAGGATGGCGCAGATTCGCTGTACGCCCCTCGTCATCGGTTCCGTAGCCATCCTGACGACGACGGTGACGAAAATGGTGACGACGACAACGATGACGACGGAGGGTTTACGTGGGATCGTGGTGAAGACAACGAGTCGATGGAGCAATGGTCCGAGCAAGACTTGTACGATGACACGGTGAGCGCCGCCCGACAACTAGAGTCCACGGCGAGCACTCGACGCCACCAACGCCGACATAGCACGAAGGGAACGAACGCAGGTGCGACGCGCATCGACCATTGGCTATACATTCAGATGCAGTACTGCTCCGAGCAGTGCCTCGCCGACGTGCTGTTGGCCCCCGGCCGTCGCAACTACAGCCACATGCTGGAAATGTTTTACCAAATTGCGAGTGCATTGGAGCACGTGCATTCGCTCGGGTTGATTCATCGCGACTTGAAGCCCCAAAACATCTTTGTCATGGACAGCGACACGATCAAGCTGGGCGACTTTGGCTTGTCCAGGTATGCCGGGTCACCTCCTTCTTCGTCGGAGACGGCCTCCCACGACCCACCGATTTCGCTGGCCAAACAAGACGAGTCGTCAACGTGGAGCGTCGAAGATGAAAAGACCGCCGGCGTCGGCACCTACTTGTACGCGAGCCCCGAGCAAATCTCGGGCGAAACGTACAACGCCAAGGCGGACCTGTATTCGCTCGGATTGATCTTGTTTGAAATGATGCACGAACCATTTGGCACGACCATGGAGCGCGTGGTGACCCTGCGCAACCTCCGCGACGGACACCTGCCGTCTGCGACGTGGCTCCACGACCATCCCCCCGTCGTGGCCATGGTGCTGTCGCTTGTGACAGCGTGCCCGTCTGACCGGCCGACCGCGTTCGACGTTGTTGCATGGTGCCAGACCCAACTGCACATGAAGTCGACCAAGAACGGGGTGGTTGGGTCATTATTGAGCGGCGGCAACAGCCACCACCTGCACCAGAACGCCACCCACGACGAAAACGTACACGTGCTGCAAGTGGAGGCCGTGGAATGGGACAACAGCACCGTGTGCCACAACTTGCTCCTGGCGCTATGCGACGTGGTTCGGGCCATGACGTCAGTGGTGATCGTCGCGTGCGGGCTGAAGCAACACCTGAGCCACGGCCAAGTGCTCGAGTTCACGTTGCATGTCGAGACCAACCAAGTGCTGGCCCAAGTCCAAGACGCCATCGTCGCGTTTGAAGGCGTCAAGCACGTCGAGTTGTTGAGTTAGATGTACCAACAGACAACCAAATAGTATATTAATTTACAAGTAATCAGTGACAGAATATATAGTTCGAAGGACGTTTGGCGGCGACGGACCAGGGCTAGGACGTACACGCCACATGGGCAAACGAAGATGACGAGGGATACGCGTAAGCCGGTCGTTTGGGAGGAAGTCCGAAGTTGGTGTAGTCGCCATCAGCGTCCGCGCGAACTGGATACTGGTGGTAGTGGGACGTCATGTCCGCGTGGGATCGCTTGGTCGGATGGCGGAGATGATCCGACGAGTACCCGCAGGAGCGTTGACGCGCACGCTGTAATGCGCACTGCACGTGATGTCGCTCCTTGGACAAATACGCAAGGACATCGTCTCGGTTCGAGGCGCGGGCACGGACGTCAACGTGCATGCGGTGGGCAAACTCGTAGTACGTCGCGCGTTCCCCCGTCTTTTGTTTGACAAAGTACGCATATCGCGACACGGCTTCGTTCAGGAACGTCAAGTGGTGCGGGTCTCGCGCCGTGGATGCTTGCATTCGACCGGAAAGGACGTCGACGGCGTCCAGTTGGTCCAGCAGATGCGCGATCGCTTCGACTCGCATGGCAAACCAAGCAAATCCAAGAGTGTGCTTTTGGAAATTCTGTGACGGGTGCAGGATTTACACACACTCTGAAGTCAACAAAGTGATGGTCTTCGTACGAGGACTATTCGCTGGCCACTTTACAACCAGCCTCCCAGACCATTCCGGTCGCTGTGTACCAGTACCTGTCATGATGCTCTCATCGCATCACACCTTCACGCAGGATACCGGTATATTTTTCTAGTTTTAATTTGTTATATTTTGATATTTTAGAGGAAACTATTACTAGTATTATATTAATATAATAGTACTCCGGAGTAATACTCTTCAGACAATTTATTCCAAAAATCACGCGTAATTCGGATAGGACAATTTTATCCGGATGTTCACCATTTCCCACCCAAAGTGTTCCTGGTCAGTATGAAGCGTTCACGGGTGGACATCGGCTTGTCGAAGGAGCAATATGCGGATGACGAATCCAAGGATGAAGTGACACACGGATTTGGCCAGCATGCAAAGGCGTCGGATGAAGTGATGCGCGGTCGACGGGTCGTCAAAGCCGTCGTGGCGTCCACACGCTTGACGGAACTCAAGCGCCACACATATGCGTTAAATCAGAGCTTTTACCAAGGCATCAAGCTGCAATCGTCGCAGAATGCCAAGGAATCGTGGCTCGAAAACATGAAGGAGTACTTGTCTTACGCGCAGGAGATCGACGGTCGATACGGCGACCACCGCGGCGTTTTGTTGACGTTCGGGAGCGGCGATTGCGGCCAGCTCGGCCACGGCGTCGAGGAAGACATCGACATGTGCGTCAAATTCCCTCGACCAGTTCAAGCGCTTTCCATGCATCGCATCGCACGAGTTGCATGCGGGGGCTTGCACACGATGGCACTGACGCACGAAGGCTCCGTGTTCACATGGGGCTGCAACGACGACGGCGCGCTCGGTCGCATTGGCGACGAGAACCTGCCGGGTCAAGTGACTGGGTTTCCCGAGGGCACGACCATCGTGACCGTACGTCTCTCGTTGCTCTAGAACTTCTTCTTCAACGTGTTGCTTAGATTGTCGGCGGCGATTGCCATACGACCGCGGTGGCCGTGGACGGCTCTGTGTTTACATGGGGCTCGTACAAGGACAAGGAAGGAAAGTTGTGGTGTGACGGGCCATCTCCGAACGACACGTTCAAGAAAAAGCAGGTAAAACGTCCACCGGTGCTCGCACATCCTTGCTAAGCCCTCACCACGTGGGTAGTTGACGCCATACTTGGTGCCAACGTTGGCCAACGTTGTGGATGTGAAGAGCGGCAGCAGCCACAACCTGGCGCGGTGTGCCGACGGCCACGTGTACTCGTGGGGGCTGGGGGAGATGGGCAACCTGGGGCGACCCGTCTCAACCGAGATCCGCGACGCCCACGGCGAGTACAAGCTCTCGGTGGTGTTCAACGACCACTTGACGCCGCAACTGGTCAAGCTCAACGGAAAGCCGTTCGGGTGCAAGGCCCTCGGCGCAGGCTCGTACCATTCGCTGTTCGTGGCCAATGATTCCGGCGGTATTTACAGCTGCGGCCTGAACAACTATGGCCAGTTGGGGCTCGGCCACGATGTCAACCAGACCGAGCTGCAGCTGGTGGAAGCCCTTGGCTCCAAGAACGGACTGTTCGTGGAAGGGGGGACCCATCATTCCGTGGTGCTAGTGACCGACGGCACGCTGTATACGTTTGGTCGGGGGGATAGCGGACAGCTAGGGACGCTCGACGATCCCGGCACTGGAGCGTTCAAAGACAGGTACTATGACCTAACTGATTTGAATGTCGTTCACTTCAAGTGGGACGTTGTTACTTGTGTGTCCAAATATATTGTTTGATTTTTCTTTAGCATTGACGTGTCTGAGCAGTATTTCTTCGTGTTTGGAGTATAAATGACACTATTTTGTGTGTCGGACCTGTGTATTGAGTGGGTTTTGTGCAAGCTGTGATTGGCTACTTTGGCAAATGTATATATATATTATTGCTGAATGCGGCGAGACTTGGGATATATATATATCTATATTGTAGCCCGCAAGAAATCAAAGTACCCGGCGTCACGGGGTTCCGAGCGGTCGCGTGCGGGTCCAACCACGCCCTTGCCGTGACGGACCAAGATGCGATCTACTCGTGGGGATATGGAGACATGCTCGCTCTCGGCAACGGCGTCGAGAAGGACGAGCTCAAGCCGCGCCGCATCGATTGGACCAAGACCAAGTTTGGCGCCGCCAAGATCTTACAAGTGGCGGCCGGGGGACAGCATAGTGCTGTGGTGGCGGAAAAGGCGACGACGACGTAGGTGCAGCACTACTGTAGGACCAATTTACAAAGGGAAACTTCGAGTGCGGAGGTGGAATAATGAACAGGAAAAACCTGGTCTTACAGTTATTGTCCTTTTCAGTCAAATTTGCCTATTTTGGAGGATTGAGGAAATCGCCAACTAATCGAGCAAAGGAGTATGATTGGCTATAAAGAATGAAGGTTGAAAAATGATTGGCTCAAAATATTGAATGATGCTTTGCAGATACCTTTTTATATGAAATTTCGAAGGTCCGGCGGTTGTTCGGCGGTTGATTCAACCAATCGCCGGAGGAAATTTTGAGTAAAACACACAATATTATAGTCGAAAAAAAGAGATCGTTTTTTGGAGGTTTTGATTTTGTGGCAGTCGATCGTATATCCGGATGACGTTAAAACAGAAAAACGTGCTTTCTGGAAAAGATCGTCATTCTGGGCCATTGTAATCAAATTGGGGAGGAACGACGGACGACTCAATGGCGGCCGACCCAAACTGCGCGGATCCTGTATGTCATTCCAAGACCGACATGTTCCGGACTGGTGTCTTGGGCAAGAAGAAGGTCAAGAAGGAAACGAACGCTGCTGCGAACACATCTGCGGCTCCTGTGGAGTGCCCACTTGATCGCGAAGAGTTGGGTCGTGCGACGTGGGGGTTGGTGAGGAGTCGTCCGCACGTTCTACCATGTCGTGGCTGATGGCGGGTTGTATACGTACCTAGTTGCATACCATGGCAGCGTACTTTCCCGAGAAGCCATCCGACGCGATGAAGGCACATGCGACGTCGTTCGTCCACGCGTTGGCCGACTTGTATCCGTGCAAACATTGCGCCGTGGACTTTCAAGAGTCGATCGTGGCGATTCCTCCTCGGTAGTTTTGTACTTGCGAAACAACAGCGTCTGTTCATTAGTAGTATTCGACTGTAGCGTGAACTCGCGCGTTGACTTTTCCTTGTGGATGTGCGAGCAACACAACCGCGTGACGACCAAACTGGCCAAGAAGCCATTCCCGTGCACCATGGACGCGCTGGACAAGCGGTGGAAGACGGGGGACCCCTCCTGCTCGGCCAAACGACAAGACGAAGCCACGAGCCAAGAGTCGCTCGGCCAAGACGCCGACGACGAGTAAACACCGCCAAGCCTTGACACATAGCACAAATTAACATACTGACGTGCTGCTGCTGCTATGGTTGTTGCAATATGATATTGCTGCTAGCGTTACACGTTTCATCTACCTCGTAGTATACTAGTATGTTAAAATAGTTCCCTTGTACATATGCCATACGCACACAAGAAGGCAGCGTTGGATGTAGTTACGGTAGTTATCGTTATCTCGAAGCCACGACCGGCAACCCTGCTCCGCACCGAAACCTCGCTATCGTCAACATGCGCTGCTCAACTGGTCCATGCAGCTCAAGTGACACGCGGAGTTCTTGCTTAAGCCAGTGATGCTCGATTGCATTGCCAGCTCCATCATTCCTCGTTGCACCGTCCATTCGTCCAGTTGCACACGAGCTTGCTTGACGGTTTCGACGAGCAAAATCCAAACTCCAAAACATGATTTGATTGGCTCAAGAAGGGATATAGTGGGCAATGATTGGCTGGCCTTGCAATTGCATTGTCCAATCCCACACGTGCAATTTTGGTTGATCCGCCGGCCAAGCAGGTGCGGCGTGGATTCATTGTGCATCCATCGGCGCAGCACGTCCCTTGCACATGCTAGTTTGGCGATCCCGTCCTCTCACGAGATCCAAGCTTTTACTCGCTGTTCCTCGTCGTTTCTTCACAGACGACGCCTCATCACCGCCGTCAACTCCCAGACCACCACTTCCACTCACGTCCCTTGCCGCCATGGACGTTACCCGCCACAACTTTGCCGAAGCGTTGGTGGATCTTGAAAAGCAGCTCGCGTTGCCGTCCTGTCGGTTCGTCGCGATCGACACTGAATTCACAGGGCTGACGCCGTCCGAGTTTACGCGGGAAAAGGTCATCGACACGCTCGAAGAGCGATACGCCAAGGTCCGGTCGTCTGGCGAGAACTTCCTCATCACCCAATTCGGCGTGGCGCTCGTGCATGTCGCCGACTCGATCGACGTTGAAGATGAGGCCAAGACGTGGATCTCATGCTGGAACTTTTACGTGTTTCCTCGGCCATATCAGAACGTCGACGCGCGCTTCCTCTGCCAAGCGTCGTCCATGCAGTTCATGGCCGAGCACGGGTTCGACTTCAACAAATTCATCCGCGACGGGATTCCGTACCTGTCGCGCAAGTCCGAGCTGAGTGTGCGCCGCAGCCACGAGAAGTCGATCGCGAACCTCGGCAAGTCGCCGCCCGAGAAGATCACTGTCGGCCGCCACTTTGACAAGCTCTTCTTGACCGAGACAGTCGAGCGCATCGACACGTGGCTCGCCGACTCTGCGTCCGCCGACGCCAGTTCGCCCGCCGAGCTGTTCATTTCCGCGCGCAACTCGTTCCGTCGGCTGCTCGTGCTCCACGCGGCGCGGTTCCTGTCGACCCATCCCGACGCCAAGTCGCTGTACATGGAGACCAACGACAACGGCGTGCGCCTCATCCGCACGTCGTCGGCCGTCGAGCGCGATTCGCTCAAGAAGCGCAAGATCGACGCCATGAACCAAGACGTTGAAGCCGCCATCGGGTTCTCCAAGGTCATCCAGCTGCTAGGCAAGTCCAACAAACCCGTGGTGGGTCACAACTGCCTCCTGGATTTTGTCTACTTGTTCCACCAGTTTGTGGGGCCGCTGCCGCCCACCCTCGTGCAATTCAAGCTCCAGCTCGGCAAGGCGTTCCCCGCCATCTTCGACACCAAGCACCTCGCCATGATGTCCCCAGTCCGCGACCAGTTCGAGTCGACGTCGCTGTCTGCCATGTTTGAGTACATGCGGGACCACCTCGCCCTCGATGTGTCGACACTGGTCAGCCCAGACACGTCCAGCTCGTACCACCACGCGCTCAAGAAGCCGTCCGCTGACGCCGCCGCCATGCCATGCCACGAAGCCGGCTTCGACGCGCTCATGACCGCCATCGTCCACCTTGGCTTCACATCGCTCTCGGCCAACGGATGGTCCACGGACCTCCCCCTCGACCTGCGCACGGACTTTCGGAACCTGTCCTTGTACGAGAACCGCATCAACCTCATGGTAGTGGATCGTCCATCGTATTTAGACGTGGGCGACGTCGACCAAGAGCTGGACCGGCGACATGTGTACGTGTTGTCGGGGGACGCGGCGGCGCTCAAGGAGGCCCGTCCCGACGACATGTTTGCCGCGTCGCGTGTGAATCGGGTGGTCCGGGAAGACAAGGAAACGTACGTGTTCCTGTCGGAACCCGTCCAAGGCGACCTCCCCACACACCCACACCTCGTGGTTTCTCCGTTTGCAGAGTACATCAAAGCCACTGCGAAGAAGAATGAACCCAAGTACGACGACCAAGACAAGGCCGACGACGCTGCTCCGCCCGCCCGATGGTGCACGATTCAATAAACGCTAGACATGCCATTCATGATTGATGTCCAGTCTGTTGTTGTTCACAGTCAGTGTATGTACAGGATTGACTTGCTAACGTTATGTCATGTGAAGTTGTTTGTGTGCTGGTTAGTTAGCAACAGATATATGTAGTTGTATGGTGAGTGCCTGCACCTAAGAAATGTTCAAGTTGCAGTTTGGTTCAACACTTGCACTTTGAGTTCGAACTTGTGGCTGGTGACTTTGCATACAGTATTATTCTCTTGAGAGTCATTTCATCACTTGATATATCCTATTTAATCTTGTACTCACTATACTATACAACGATGATTATATAAATGGTTTTGCCCTATGCAGACGGGTCAAACGTTTGGATTGGCAGAAAATTGACATGACGTGATTTGATTGGGCTCAGGCGGTTCTTTAATCGATAGTCGATTCTCCTGAGGGCTCCAGTTTCGAATCGATTTGAAGATACTGTCAGTAAAAAAACATGTGCCATGTACTACGTAGTATTGTGCTTTCGTGTTGTGGTTTCTCGTTGGAATTTAAATCGATTTGATTGGCTACCTCAGATGAGCTCAAAATTATTAGCCAATCAAAACCCTCTCAATCCCTCTTAATAAAATTCAACCAATCAAATCGATTGTGCACCGGTCAGCGCGATTCGATTGCACCCCCTCCCCAAATTCGTATCAAATCGACAATAGTATAATATTAATAATCGTAAAACCAACAAAATACAGTCGAGTTGGTACGCCTTCAACAAACTGGTAATATTACTTTAGAGACCGTGCCAAAACACGGCTCTACAATCGCCTGGGCGCACCGGAGAAGTCAACATACTCTTCGAATCGATCGATCCCTTGATGGGACGCGTCGCGGGCACGAAGATGGTTTACTTCTTCTTGCCGGCCGCGGCCTTGCCCTTGCCACCAGCTTCCTTCTTAATCACGGAGTGGATGACACCGACGGCCACGGTCTGACGCATGTCACGCACAGCGAAACGGCCAAGGGGAGGGTATTCTTGGAAAGATTCGACGGTCATGCCCTTGGTGGGTTCCAAGATGACGAGGCAGGCGTCGCCCGACTTGACGAACTTGGGGTTCTCTTCGAGCACCTTACCCGAACGACGATCCATCTTTTGGGTGATTTCCTTGAACTTGCACGCAACGTGGGCGGTGTGGCAATCCAACACGGGCGAGTACCCGTTGCCGATTTGGCCAGGGTGGTTCAACACGATCACTTGGGCCGTGAAGGTTTCCGTGCCCTTGGCGGGGTCGTTCTTGGAGTCCGACGCGACAAACCCGCGGCGCAAGTCCTTGACGGCAACGTTCTTGACGTTGAATCCGACGTTGTCACCAGGGGTGGCTTCGGGCAAGGATTCGTGGTGCATTTCCACCGACTTGACTTCCGTCGTGAGGCCCGAAGGACCGAAGGTCACGACCATACCGGGCTTCAACACACCGGTTTCGACGCGACCGACCGGGACCGTGCCAATACCGCCGATCTTGTACACATCTTGGAGGGGCAGGCGGAGGGGCTTGTCGGTGGGGCGCTTGGGGGGGTTCAAGCCGTCGAGGGCTTCCAAGAGGTAAGGACCCTTGTACCAGGCCATGTTGGGCGAGCGCTCGATCATGTTGTCGCCTTCCCAGCCGGAGATGGGCACGAAGGGGATCTTGGCGGGCTTGTACCCGACCTTCTTCAAGTAGTTGGTCACTTCTTCCTTGATTTCGTTGTAACGGCCTTCGCCGTACATAACGGAGGAGTCGTCCATCTTGTTGATGGCCACGATCATTTGGCGCACACCCAAGGTGAAAGCCAACAAGGCGTGCTCGCGCGTTTGGCCTTCCTTGGAGATACCGGCTTCGAACTCACCGACACCCGAGGCGACGACCAAAATGGCGGCATCGGCTTGCGAGGTACCGGTAATCATGTTCTTGATGAAATCACGATGGCCAGGGGCATCAATGACCGTGAAGAAGAACTTGGGGGATTCGAACTTCCACAAGGCGATGTCGATCGTGATACCACGTTCGCGTTCGGCCTTCAAGTTATCCAACACCCAGGCGTACTTGAACGAGGTCTTGCCGAGTTCGGCAGCTTCCTTCTCGAACTTTTCGATGGTACGCTTGTCGATACCACCGCACTTGTAGATCAAGTGACCGGTGGTGGTGGACTTACCGGCATCGACGTGTCCGATGACGACCAAAGAGATATGGGTCTTTTCTTTAGGCATGTTGAATTCCTATGGACAATCATCATCAGCATTGCTCGCGTTCTTGCATCATCCTTGTTGGATGCGCACAGAGCGGCGACGGACGCACCTTTTGATCTGCAACGAAAAATGGAGAATGAGCTCCTAGATCCGAATCAAAGGGATATACTATACAAATTCCAAGACAAATCTCCTTGCGACGAAGGCCGCATATTGGATGGCTTGCATTCTCCTCCACTTCTTTTAACCCGATCCCTATGTAATTCCACCAATCGTTGGCCTGGATTCGGCGAATTTTGAACCACCAATCACACCGTTTTATTTGCCGGAACTTCAATCGACCTGATTTTTGTATACTTAATGGGGTTGATTCGAACGATAACAAAATTAGGGGGACCCATCCTTTTTCGCAGCTGAAACCGATTGTGTAACCGACCCGTCAAAAGTAGTTTGAGAAGATTTCGAGAAAATCGGCGCAAGTCGGTGAACGTGTTGCTTTTGCGCCAAGATTGCTTGGGATGGACGTTGCCAAATCGGCTTCGACATGTGCACGGGGCCGTCAAGATCGAGGTAGAGTGACTGTGCTATATTCGGTGAGTTAACTAGTTAGTATATAAACCCAAGGGGGGCTACGTATTGTAGTAACGTTGAGAAATTTGGCGTTGTTGTCGCTGGCAAATGGTGGTTTAGCTGGAAAAGATATGTCGAAGTGAGGGTATGGCCCTGTCTGTTGTTGACGTTCATGGTGACGTTGCTCACACAGCTCGGGTTCAAGAGATAGCCGACAGCTTAGCATGACGCATGTTGGAAGTGGGGAGAGAACCTTCGCGTGGTAGGTAGTGTGGGCCTTCTAGGGCATATTCCCACTAAGCTCCACTATAGTGTTAACATTATTACCGAAGTTGTAGTGTTCAACATTTGAAATGGACTCGTAACCATATTTGCGTTTTATTGGAATGTAGCCGAAGGGTAGCCGGCTACCCTTCGGCTACATTTCTGCTGTATGGCGGAACGTTGTCATGCGGAATATTAGCGCTTTGTGATACCTGCATGTGAGCATTAGAACTGTACGGCATGCGTGCCAACCGCAGTAAGCTCCTGCCACCATGAGGCCAATAACGTTGCTTAGGCGGTTGACCTTAACATCAAATCATGGAAGTTCTACATATTAACTTGAACCCTGAACGTAAGGGCATGGATCTCATGGCATCAAGCAATAGGGGGCGTATGGGTTGCCCTCGTTCCTAAGGGATCTCTGAGCGGACTAATGCAGTTAACCCTCTACATCTCATGAAGTTCACGGGGGTCGGGCTGGCCAACGTGCCGACGCTGATCGCCCTAAGCTCGAAGCATCGTCAGGCCTTCACGACCAACATGCAGCACTGCATCACATCATTTCAAATTGGCTAGCGATTGCAACCGCACGTTTCAACGACGGCGTTCTTTCATTGCAGAATATTAGGCCGTCAAATAAAAATCACTAGAAATTCACTTGAATTTTGTATGTCATGTCGTCCGTCCCATTTCCATTGAAAGGTTTCCTTGAACCCCAGTTCAAACGGACCAATCATATCGCGCCAAAGATTTGCACACCTCCGAGCAATAACGCTGGAATGATGTTTTGAAGGCGAAGAGGTACAGGCCAATGAAATGGCTTCGTCGCCAAAATACTGGCATATAATTGGATTAGTTTGATTTTCCTGTGTAATCTCGATATTTTTCCGCCAATGAACGTGCGGGCCGACCGAGTTGCGTTTCAAATATTCGAAGGGCACCAAACGGTAAGGCTGGGGTCAATAACCAAATAGCCACCACCATGAGCACTCGCAGCGGCCGCAACGTGACCAAAGTCGAGCGATTCGACCCCACGGATAAGAAGCGCAACATCGACAACTCGAGCGAGGAAGAAGATGAGCCCAAGGTGACCAAGAAGGTCAAGAAGACTGCCGTGGCCGCCAAGAAGGCCCCCAAGCGCAAGGTATCCAAGGAAAACGCCGACGGTACCCCCAAGGAAAAGCGCCCGTTGACTGCGTACTTCTTGTTCATGGCTGAAGAACGCCCGATCTTGGTCAAGGAACAACCTGACTTGGGGGCCAAGGAAGTGATCTCGGAATTGGGTGCACGGTGGAAGGCCCTCCCGGAGGCGAAGAAGGCTAAGTTCAACGCCGCCGCCGCCAAGGCCAAGGCCGAATATGTCGCAAAGAAGGAAGCGGCCCCTTCCGCTGACAAGCCCAAGAAGTCCAAGAAGTAAACTAGCGTCGACAGTTATGTGTGACTTTTCATTTCATTGCTTCGTATTAATATGATTACCATCCCTTTCAGTGTACGTACACAACACATGTTCCCGAGTTGACGTTTAGCGATTGGAATTGTTGCTGATTTCGTCTGTCGTGTGGCGCCGGTCTGTAGAGACCGGCGATGGGCGGCCGGAATAACTAGTCTCGCTCGATGGCGCCAACTTGGTGGCGTCCATGAGAAGTCTTTTCATGGACACAGGCGATCGTCGAATATCATCTGCGTTCAAGGGCATCATCGTCGGCCCCTTGTCGCCACGGTACTCTGACAGATGCTTGTGCTGCTTGGCTGTGATGACCCCCCATTCTGCCTTCGACAAGTTGCGCACAGTGCGGGCATTCTGCATCTGGTATCGAATGTTCTTGCCAAATACGCCACCAACCGAGTTGTGGTTGTCCATCGACGTGCAGGACTCGACGTCGCCGTCGTCGTCGCCATCCATGATGGGGTCGCACGAGAAGGGATCGTTCGTCGCCATCTCGTACACCGTAGACGATCGCCGCATCAGCGCGCTGGTCATAGACGCCAACTTGCCATCTGTCGCGGCGACAGTCGCTGCCGCACCGTCAGCGGGCTACAGACACACACACACACATATGTACAATGGGCGGTACACAGTGATTATTGACATTGGGAGATGGTGTACCCTGTATCGGTCGGACTCTTGGACGAACTGCGCACAAAAGACACAGATGCGCACCATATCGTAGCAGGTGGGAGGTCGGGCGCGAGTTGGATTGAGCTCCTTCATGTGCGGGTCCCACGACCGCCGCAGGTCCATCACGGCTTTGTACGGCACTTGGTGCGGAAGGTTCTGCTTTTGAAACGGATGCAGACACAGGGTGCACGTGAGGACGGCGCGCTCCTTCGGCCGCGGCGGAATGGTCTTGCCGATGCCTTGATGTTTGAGCACCATCTCGTACGTGTTGTGCACGTGGAGCTCTTCTTGGACATGTGCGAGGCCTCGGCGGACTTGGCGCATGCGAACGTCGTCGGATATCCACTGAGACGGCGCGGCGGTGGTTTCCACGATGGACGACGACGACGAGCAACATGGCGACGGAGCTGGCGCGATCTTGTTGATTGCGGATGGTGATGCGCCAAGCAAGATTTCTTTCTTGGCTGCCTCGATCGCTTTGAGCTGTGGCAACGACGCTCGGGGTTCCCGCTGTTTCAAATTCATGTACTTGAGTAGCCGCATGTCGCCCCCGTCGAGTTGGTCGTTGGTCGGGCTGCGCCGATGATGGTGGTGGTCTTGGCCTCGTGTTGGAGTGGCTAATACACTCCGCCCTAACGTGGGTGTGGAGGTGGACGTGGCTACTACGGCCGCCGACGCCGATTTCGGTCGCAGTGACGGCGACGACGCGGACGACGGCAGATGGCCGTAGTTGTCTGGCAGAACAGTGGAGGTCCGACAGTTTGTCTTTGGCGTGATGCGAACGACAGATGGAGTGGTGGCGCGAAGCCGGGTCTGCCTTTCAATGACGCCGACGTGCACGAGTGCCGACAGCGTCGACTCGTGTGGGTATTCATGCAGGAGGCCATGGATTCCAATGGCGTGGGTCATGTCGTACCACACGTCGGGGGATGCAGACACGGCCTTGGCCACGAGTTCCTTGGAGAACGCTGCCAACGTGTCGTACATCCCATGGTGCTTGAGATGGTCTTGCACCAACAGCAACGTGAACGCCGCCGCCGTCGCCGTGTCCATGGACAAGTTTGGTCAATGTACGGTTTCACGTTGTAACTGCCATCTTACGGTACGTTTGACAACCCTCCCATCCGACCAGTGCTGTCATGGCGGCATCGCGACCAAGGTCGGCTGCCAAAAAGTCGGTGCTTGCAACCACAGGCTGCAGGCTCCTTGCTTCCATCGAGCCAGTAGACCGAAATGCGGCGGAAGGCCGAAGGTGTGACCTGATCATAATCCTTCATTGATGGATACCAACCAAAGTGTCTTGTAGAAGAGTGGACGACACCCCGTCGTTGGAAGACGCTAGGCGACTCGTGGACGAAGAGAGGCGGCGCACGACGACGGACACGCTGCAAAAGTTCATCCTCGACGCCAAGTTCTTGTTCCGAAATGGCGGGTTTGGGCTCTCCCAGAATGAAAGTTGCATCCAACGGATCACCGCACTTGGTCGGTCCAAGGTCACGGACGTCAACCTATCGCATATGCACCTGAGCGACCTCCTCGTCGAGTCGTTGGCCAATTACCTAAGCACTCCGTCGTGCATCGTTGTGTCGCTCAAGTACACCACCACGATTGAACGACTGAACGAACGAACGACGGTCGTGTGTTCGTCTTGATAGTGTGGCCTGCACCAAGATCGTCCCTAGCGCCGTGCTGCGGCTTGCGGCGGCGTGTGGCCCCAAGGTGCAGTACTTCACAGCCTCCCGCACCACTCTGCCCACTTCTGTGGTACGATCCAAGCGTGTGGTGCTGCCACGTGTGGCCGCCGACCATCTCGACGCGGCCGCGATCGCAGCGTTTGTAGGCGGCAGGAAGAAGCCGTTGGTTGAGGTACTCTAAAATGGCGAGTGATGCAACAACAGTGATTCATTCATTTGATGCGCTCAAGGTCCTCGATGTGAGTGGCAACGACATCACAGGTCCAGACGACCGACGAAACTTGTTTGGAGGGCTCGAGCTCCTCGCCAACGCCGTGGCAAAGTGCCCCAAACTCACTCGTGTCATGTGCGAAGACGATGGCACCGTCGTTGGGAATGATGATGTGTACTTGTATGCAGGTTGAACCACGTGCATCTTCGGTCGGATGGGTTTGTGTTGCTGGCGTTGGGGCTACAGCACACCACGTCCATTCATCACTTGGAAGTGGGTGGGAACGCCATGCAAACCAACGTGTCCAATCAAGTGTGTTACAACGGCGTCGACTCGCTTTGCGAAGCGTTGCGTGGCAACCACTCGATCCGGTTCTTGGGGTATCTAACTGTAACGTTCGTGCTGTGGAGCTGTGTGATATATGGCATTTTCGTAGACTCTTTCAAAACGACATGGACTACACATGCGTGTCCAAGTTGTCAGCCATCCTTCTCGTCAACGACACTCTGGAACATATCGACCTGTCTCAAAACCCGCTTGGATCGGCGGCCCTTTGCTGCCTTGCTACGGCACTCCGCGCCAACGTCCCACTACACACGCTCAAGTAAGCGATGATGCTACCCCTTGGTGTCACCAGGGGTTTGTACTAGTGTTAGCGATGCCCAAGCCACATGCAAAGGCTGTGTGGCGCTAGCCGACAGCTTGTTGCACAATACCAGCCTCACGTCCCTCGAGTCAGTAGTTGTTCATATTTCGACGTTAGCTATTCATAAACGTTTTGACCATATTACATGGTCCTATGTAGTCTAAGCCAAAACCCTGGCATTCTAGCCCTGGGACTGACCACTTTGGCTGGAGCCCTCGAACGAAATGCATCGCTCACGTGCGTCAAGTTTACACCCAGCACATCGGACATCGCCCAGACTGAACCCCTCGCGACCTTGCTGCAGCTCACCGAGGCCAACGCGGCTCTAGGCACCATGAAAAAGGTACCTACGCCCCCCATTATGGAGGATGCTCCCCTTTTTTCCATGCTGTGAGCCTAAATACGATCCACGTGTGTAGGCGCTGACGTCGTTCAACTTTGCAGCGTTATCACCGTTTGCGCAAGTGAATTTTGTCAACAAGCTGGACGCGTGTACAGAAACGGAGCTTCGGTCGCTGCTGACCAACCAATCGTTTGTGCAGTGCAAACTGTCGGCGGGGCAGCTCTGTGCTTTGCAGTACTATGCCAGTCTCGACATGTACACACCGTTGAGGCGGCTGCTGTGGGCGTACGACGCGCTGCATCGACAGGAAGCGGCGCGACTGGCGGCGTCCGTCCCTGCTGACGACGACGAATTGGCGTGGCAGGAGTCTCTCGTGGACTTGCCCCCCCTTCGTTCAACATGACCCCCGTCATCAATCACACTATCAGTACAGCGTTTTACTCTAAATTAACAGCCTTGGGCTTCAGGGGGGGCTTGGTCCCCGCCGCCGCTGGTTTCGCCACTTGTTTGCATTGCCGCTTGATGGATCTTGGCGACGACGAGTTCTGGGACGTTGTACTGGCGTCGGACGAGTCGCCGTCGTCGGCTTGGGCTTCTCGGACAAACTTGACTGCGGCCGCCGACCGCGCACTCACGAGTTGTGTCACCTACGACCATCCAGTTGACGATTACCATATATATATACATACCCAGGAATCATCGACTACAAACACAAGTGACAGAACCCACCTGCTCGGTGGCTATTCGGTAGTTGTAGCCAGCATCGTGCAACAGCATGAGCGCCTCGTCCGTTGAGACTAGTCCCCGCACGTAGCTCACGTCGACGACAAGGGACCCCGATCCGTCTAGGTACACCACGCGAAAGCTCTGGCCACCCTTGTACTCCTCCAACACGCTCAGGATCTGCTCCTTCGCCTTTTCGTGCCAAGCGTACACGACGTTGCCCACGGCGATTTGAATGCACTCGATGAGCGTGAGGAAGGCCGACAACGCGGCGGCATCTGCGAGGCTCGGCTGCCACCGCCGCATACCGCCGTGGGGATCTACCACGTCCTTGTTCGAGTCGTCCCCGTCGCTGCAGTTGCCGGTTGGTGGTGGACATAGCTTCATTGGTTGCGTATCGAATGACGGCACGTCGACCTGGCAGTCGTCCCCCAGTCGTACACTGACGCGGTCTTCGTCCGTCACGAGCTTGGTAAACGGTGACGGGTACTTCCACGCGTGAAACGCGTACCGGCACAGGTACGTGCTGACGTCGTCCGGGCTGTGGACAAGTTGGTGGTGGAATGTCGACGATGACACGACGTGGCATTTGCGCACGATCGCGGCGACGTGGTTGTCTCCTGAGTACGTGGACTGGAAAATTTCTCGGTCTTCGCACTTGAGCACTTCGTTGGGAGGGGTCTGTTCCGCGGTCGACGAAGCAGGCGCGGCAGTGGACGACTCGGGGGCGGTGATGTTTTGGGGCGCGGATGCCGAGGACGGGAACTGGGCCATGATCTTATCGCCCAGGTCCCGGGGGGTGTAGTAATATTGACCTGTGAATCCCACGTAAGGCGTCGTCCACACTGACAGAATCTCGACGATGTACAGTACGATTTCGCTCCCCAGTCGACCAGCCACCTCCACAAAGTCACCCACGGCGTACGGCACCGTCCCAGCAGGGGGCGGCGGCCGAGGCGGTGGCGGCGCGATCGAGATGTGCCTCGGCATAGGTGATGCTTCTTCTTGCTGATGATGCTGGTGGATTATTGACTTGGACCAATATGTCGTAGAGACATGTCCCACTGTTTGTTGTGCCCTAACCACTGGTCGGGGAAATCCGGATACCGCGACCGAAGAACCTGTAACGTTACATGTATATCGAATCGCATCGATGGGGGCGCGGGTGATGCGTGGGGGCAACGTAGTTACATGTAATAATGCGGAATCACGATGAAGTAGTGACAATGAGGCACCGAAGCATTGATGATGGGGAGCATGGGGGCCACCTACAACCAGTATTGTATACCTAGATCGCTTTCAGGGCTGTATGTAGAAAGGACGACGACGCTTCTGACATGTGACTACCATTCAGGGGGTACAACTCAAAAGCTATGTGTTCCTGAGTAGTTTGTTTCTCGATCGTTCCAGTCCATTATCGATTCTCGCAGGATTTCTGGGTTTACACAACAGTGTGCCACAACTTTAGCGTCTTGTCGTACGAGGCCGTGACAAGCATGTCCACACCATTGTCCAGCTGGGTGTACCAGAGATCCCGGAGCAGTTTGTCGTGGGCTTTGACTCGCTGCACGACCTTCTCAGACGCGACACTCCACATGACCAAGCCCCCTTCGCCCTCGGTGTTGGACACAACGAACTGCTCGGACGAGTGCCATGCCACCCGCGGCTGGCTGTACGGACCCGCCTTGTGTCCGTAGAAGTTGCGCAGCACCACGTTCGATTGCACCTACAATCACCCATCGAGCGTTGCCATCATCAACGTAGCCACATCTTGAGCGATGTACGTACCTTGACGACAAAATGGCGGTTGGCATCGGTCGCTACGAGCAAGTAGTCGCCACTTGGGGACGTTTGCACGTCCATGATCGTGTACGACACATGTTCGATGCCGTCCACGTTCATATTGAGCCTACAGCAGCAACAACGGGCAGTCACAGCAACAACGGGCAGTCACAGCAACAACGGGCAGTCACAAAACCACACACCTGGTCTTTTCTAATGTTGTCGTGTCGATGAAATGCACGTAGCAGTCGTCGCGCACGGCCACAACCACTAATTCGTTGAACGCGTGACGTGGCGGCACCACAGCCAAGGCCTCGATCGTGCCGTTGAAGTAGTAGCTCTTGGCAATCTCAAACGTCACCGCGTCGGTTTCACCTGTCGTTTGGCGATACACGTGCGCGACTTTGTCGCTGGCTGCCGTCGCAAACCCCAACAAGTCCCCAGATGCGAGCCACGCGTGGCGGATGTTGCCTTGGCGGGTGTGGTCGTGGAACACTTGGACGACATGCAACTGGTCGCGTTCTAGGCGCAGCACGTGATGCCGCCCGTCCATGCCGCTCGCCATGAGGTAGTTCGCATGCGCCTTGGCGGGATGGAACGAGAGCGCGAGGACTGGCGCGCCGGCATCGTAGGCGGCCACAAACACCTTTTTTTGCCAATGGTGCACTTTTACGTACTTGTCGGCGCCACCGGACGCTACGAGGGCCGGGTCATGGAAGTGCCCACTGACGGACAAGATGTTCATCACGTGAGCTTGTTCCAGTACGGCGGCTTCGTGCACTGGAAGGACCGCATCGTTCCCTGGTGTCAGAAGAGATTCCGGTACTGCATCTTCTTTCAACGAAAGCCCTGCCACGACCACGTCCACTGCCGCTGCATCCACCGCACCTGCGATCGCCACGGCCAGCTGCGCCTTCAACGCGATGTTTTCTTCACGGAGGACTTCGTTGGCTTCTGAGAGTAAGTCATTCTCCTCGTTCAGCTTGTAGATCTGGTGAGCTGCATCAGCTATCTTCGCGTCCGTCTCCTCGCGGAGCGACGCCAATTGCGCCAGGACAACCTCGACTTCCACGGTGGTCATGATCCTTGTTTGGTTTTGCTGTGGGAATGAACATCCATATACACTATATTCGGTCGAAGTCTGCAATAATGAATGTCTCACGGTGACAGCATCACGACCAACATTCTGATTTGGAAGTACACTAATTTACAGGCACGTATATTTCAATGAAAGTGGTCGTCATCATCCAACTGCTCATATTAATAGAACGTTATTAATACTTCGTTATTTATAGTTTTAATTAGCAAATATTAATGTTGAGCAGTAACACTATTTGAGAAATGCACTAAACTGATCTACGTAATCATGGTTTGCCCCTTGCGTTTTGAAAAATCGCAACCAACCTGCAGCATGGGCTACACAACTGTCCGCATCCACCTGCACAAGGCGACAGACCTCCCAGCCGCCGACTTTGGCATCATGGGCGGCAAGGCCGATCCATACATTGTATTCTCCCTCGGCGTGCACCAAGCACGCAGCACATGCGTCCGCGGCAGCTTGAATCCAGAATGGACCCATGCCCACTTCGAATTGAAAGTCGATGCCGAGCGGTACGCGACGTCAACGTTGGATGCGAGCGTGTGGGACAACGACAAGCTCCGCAAGGACGACTTGCTTGGTATGGTGTCCATCCCGGTCAAGGACATCGCGGAAAAGCATGTGACCTGCACGGCGTATGACATCACACTGGAACCCAAGTTTCTACCGCGCCAACCCAGAGTACCAGTCGCGCCCAGCCGAATTCACATGACGGTGCAAGTGCTCGCAGCGACCGAGGCTGCAGACGTGTTGTACTATGAAGTGTGGGAGAACGAACGGTACGGCTCCACGAGTGTCTACAGCATCCTCAAGCGAAAGTGGAGCAGCCACAACTTGAAACGAGCATCTGGCGACCCGAAGCGATGGCTGTGTTCATCGTCCATGTCCTCCATGCTAGGAGACACCCTCCTCGAATCCGACAAGTTCGACGACGTTATCCCGACCATACCGGCTGGGTATATGCAAGTGGAAGGCTGGCATTACGTCAAGACGTCTGGGGACCTCCAAGGCTGGGTGTACTCGCGGTCATTTGAAGGCCCGTGGTTTGAAGAGCCCATGACATCGTTTTACGTGCGTCGACGGAAATGGATGCAAGTGCTGCATCGTCGTCAAGAGCTCTAAATAAGAGTCAATTTACCTGTCATATTCGCTCGGTTTCGCCTGGATATATATGTACTGTACAACGAAGTTACTAATAATATTAATAATATTTATTACAGTTACTGTTATTAATAGCGAATGTGAATTACTTTTTGGCTTTCATTTTGGCTTTCTTTTTCTTTTTGGCTTTCTTTTTGGGTTTCTTTGTCGACAATGTGCTGCTCATCTGCACATATTAGTAGTTAGAGAGCAAAGGACCAATTGTATGGACTCTTACCTTGAAGAGCAGGCTTTTCTGGGCCAAGAGGGGGTTGTCAGGTAACCTTGAGCCAGGAAGGGGCAGATGTGCGACGCATTCTGCAGTGGTCTTGTCTTCAGGGATAAGCAGCGCACTACCATCCAAGAAACAGTCCACCATAACGTCCCCGTTTCAGAGTATTATTCTATACCGCTCAAACACTTGATTCTCGAACGAGAGACGATGGCGTTCAAAGGCGAGTCGGATTTCCTCGATCTCGCCCATCTGGTGCATTCGCAGCACACTGGAGTACGCGTGGGTTGTTTTTGGTCTGGCTGCTAACTGTGACGACTCTGGCATGGAAGGGGTCGGCGGCACCATTTTGGCGGGGGACGACGGCGCGGTCGCCACTCGAACCTACCACACGCCAAGATGAGAAGTCTCAAAGACAATCAAGCCGCCGTACAGTCTGTCGTCGCGAGGCAAATGCGTCGAGAAAGATCTTCATCTCGGGGTCCATCTTCTGGGGTGACGTGTCCAGCGCCACCTGGGGCGGCCTCTCCCACAGCGGCAGGGGCAACAAGTCCACTTGACTGGTCGGTTGCGGCAGCCCTCCTCGCATCATGTGAGCCATCGACGCTATTGGCGCCTCGATGCCGCTCTGCCATGCCTAATAGTTGGTTGTCGTTGATCAAGGGAAGGACAAGCCAAGAGCTTCATCTCACGTTTCGTTCAGAAGATGGGGCGTGCCCAACCAGTTTGGTGGCACTGGCTGTGACGTTAGGTGTACTTCCTTGTCGGTGGGTTGGGTGGGTTTGTGGGGACGATAGCAAAGTCGTGGCGGCGGACAAGTCCATGTCGATGTCTTCGGTGGACCATGGCTCAATGGAACTAGACAGAGGGACGACATGTTTGAATGTTGAGTGATTCGTTGGTTGTCTTGGGCTGTCAAGAAACGAACATTAGCTCTCGTATTGCTCGAGGGGATTTTGGGGACTGGGTCGTCGTGTCCGGAGGAGATGTTGGGGAAAGCGATAATGAGGACGATGATGGGGGTTCGGAGGGGGTCAGCGGGGGCGTGGAAGGGTGAAAGGCGGTAGCTTTGGGACTTGCCTTGGGGCTATCCGAGGTCTTGAACGACGACGGGGGAAGCGGTGTTTTCAGCCGATGGCCCAGTGGTGGCGCTGCTGCCGCCGGCATGGTATGTGTGTAGCGTGTCAGTGTATTTTTAGATTCGAACTTCCTTGCTGAAAAGGCAAAAGTTAACGCCAACACTTGAAGCAGTAAGGATTGAATTGGAAATGGTTTGATGCGGTTCATTACAGCGCCTCTACAATCTACTTGGCCTTTTTCTTCTTGCTCTTCTTGCCCCCCTTTTTCGCCCCCTTCTTGGTCTTCCTTTTCTTTCCGCTGCCATCCAATCCCTACAAACAACAAAACCCATGATTGCAAGGACATCCCAATACTTGTCGTCGATTGCGGACCTTCATGAGTTTCAGCTTGGTCGCCAGGAGGGGGTTCTCTAGAAGCTTGGAGCCGGCAATGGGCAAATGTTTGGCACATTCTGACGACGATTTGTCCTCTGGAATGAGGATGGCCCTATGCATGGATATATAGTGGACACATGACTAGATATATACGTGTACCGTTCAAAGATGGCTGGGTTATACGTAAGGTTGTGTCGTTCGAACGCAGCTCGAATGTTGTCTAGCTCATCCGACTGTTGCACTCGCAACGAACTTGTGCCTGCGGCCAACCCCATCGGTCGCTTCACATCGACGGCGCTGCTGGCATGGACAAGGGTCCTCGTCGTCTGCTGCTGAACGAGCTGGTGATGTCCTACCAACGCCCCGCGGCTCGCAGCAGCACCCCCTCCTCCCCCAGTCGCCCCTCGTCCCTGCTGGAAACATATCATCCACATTCAGCCCCATTTCACTTAACTTCACAATAATACCGTAATGCATTGACGTTCCATGGAGGCTTCGTGGAAGAGTTTGAGCTCAGGGTCGCGCATTGACGCGGGGTCGCTATGGGTTGGTAGCATGCCGCGCAAGTCGGTGGCCTTTTTGACTTTCTAGTCGTTCCAACGAACATTCGACATAGTCACAATGAATGAACGACATAGTCTGCATGCATGCAAGCCATGTACCCGTTTTGAAGTCATGCGCTGCAGTTGGGCCTGCTTGGCATCGGGGGCGACGACGGACGTATACGAAGCCGTGAACGGCATGTACTTGTTGTCCTTGTCCTTGGCGGCAGCAACGGATGGCTCCCCGAGACTCATGGCGGAGTTGTTGCGGCTCATCCTAGAGCATGATTCGTGTTTGCCAAAAGCAGGCACGAGACATTGACGTACGACGGAGACTTTGGATTGAGCGACGGCGGAGGCGTCGCGTTGTTGGCGATGGGAGTGGAGATTGCCGTGGGGGAAGGACGGTAGTTTGGGGGCAGCGGATTCCGGTATCGCATGCCCGTGGCAGACGGTTTCTTCTTGATCACGACAGGCGCGGCAGAATGTTTCAGCTGACTGATGGACGACGCCGTCGGATCGAGCGAGTATTCGTCTTGGTTGGTCGTGTCCTCGGCGATGGTCACATGGAGCGGCAGGTTCGGATGTTGCTTATGCGCCATCATACGCGTCGATTCCTAGTGCAATGCGTGGGTTGTACAGATAAGAGCTGCCGTCGAATGTCACCTGCTTGCGTAGGAATTCAGCTTCTTCGCGACTGCGACCGCGGGACCACTTGTGTAACACCGACTCAACCTCATCTAGCCATACCAACCATTGGTGTCGATAACAAGAGGGGGCAGGTGTGCCAGTTGTACCGTGCTTGACTTTGTTGGTGGCATCCTCTTGTCGTTGCAGCAACCACAATTGGTTGAGCTCGTGCTACGTGGTAGTGAAATACGACTTGGACTGTTGGCACCAACCTCGGCGTCTGTTTCAGGGGTGTGGTATTGATACTGGGCGTGAACTCTGCGGTCAGCAGCATTGGCCAAGTGGGCTGGGCGAAGAAGCGTGGCCTCCGTTTGATTGTTGTTGTCTTCTTCGGGGGAAAGCTGGAGCTGCAGCGGCAGCATGTTGATTCATCATATGCAGCAAAAACGCGTTTCATGTGACCTTACCTCGCGCGGGGACGCCACCGCGAACCCTCGATCTCGCAACTCTGCGATGCGGTGAATGTGGCTGGTGCGTAGATCGCGCTGTTTGAATTTCTACTTGTATCGAATTTGGAAATATATTAACAGCCCCCAACCAAGTTCAAAGGTTTGCACGACCGTAGCGTACCTCGAGCTGTTCGGAAACGGATGGTGGCTGGGACGTTGTCGGTGGCCTGAACATGTCGCCGGATTGTTTTCGCGGTGGCTACATTCCAACATGCAACTGAATCCTTTTTTCCACGTTAAAGTTATACTTTGATGGGCGACACATGCGCCAGCGAAGTAGCCACGTCCGCCTACGTCCAGCGTGACTATAGAAAGCTCAAAAACAGTGTAATGTAAGTACTTGTAGGTGGTCTCGACCCGAATCGTCGAACCAATCGAGCACCTTTCGAACACACTCTTGGTGGTACGCAGTATTCTAACGTGCCGTTGAATGGGTTACGAATAGACTCAGATTCTGTAGATAGATCAACCTGAACGCGGTCGCATTCAACCATCATGTGACGAAGGGCCATGTATCTGACGGCCGTCCACTTGCTTTTTTCGTCGTTGTCGGCATACGTGACATGATCGTACGCCAGTACGTACTTGGCCACGCTTTCAAAGCCGTGGAGGTCCGAACCCAGTGGCGGCAGCTCGTGTTCTTGCATGAGGATGTCTGCAAAACACAACATTATTCATTTTTCAGTTCACTCGTCATGAATGATTGACAACCATCGATGGTCAGTGCATGCAGAGCAGATGGTTGCAGGGATCGGTTCGCTGTGAGTCTACAACGGTTCTTAGTACCCAGGACTGCAATACGGCGACCTGGTCGCTCGTACATGAGACTGTCGATGCGGCTGCCCACCACAGCACTCATGCAGTCGCTTCGGGTTTACTGTGTATGCTCAATGTCTAATTCCGACTTTGAAACGGTCTCGTAACTATCTTGCGTTTCAATTATCCATTACTCTACGACATGATCGAGGAATATATCCATGTCGTCGGTCTTGATGGCGAACGCACTGCTCGTGGGTTGGAGGCTGTGCCTGAACACTCGACCTGCCAATTGCACGTTGGCATGCTTGCGCCCTTCCTTTTCAAAGTTCTTGACCGCACGAGCCGTGGCTTGTTTGACGCGGAATTCACGTTGCCGACGACCGTCGACGACAGGGGGGTCCGTCGTTCGGACTCCCGAAGTGGACGGCGACGAGGAGGAGGGGGGTGACGCGGAGTCGGCTACATCAACGTGACACCGCTGCGGAACCATCCCCCGACTGCTGCCACCACTATTCCCCCCACCCGACGTCAAGGGGATCCTCTTCACAGGGGGTGGTCCGAGCCCATCTCTGCGTTTGAGCATCGCTGCTTCGCTGGCCCCTTGGCGGTTGTACTGTTCCAAGCCTGCTTGAGCCACCAGTTCAAAGTCTACGCCACATGCGTAACGAATGAATGAAGGATGGCAAGTCAAACCCATCAGGATTGTGCGGAGCCGATGGAGGGTCGTGAGGTGCGCAGGCCGCTTGCCGCGACCGTTGGTGGCCAGCACACTTCGCCATCGTGTGATTTGGGCTGTTGAAATGACTGTAGGGGAGGCAGTGGCTACGTCTTTCAATGGTAAGTCCAACAACGCCTGCACCGTATCGACGTGATTTCGCCGCGCCGCCCTAGTTTCCGTCTGTTTAGCCTTCAGTGACTTTGAGGAATCAAACCAGTGCACTGGGTTGTCGCCATAGTTGTCGAGGATATTGCATGGCAGTCCATATTCCAGAAGTACGCGCACCTACATACCACCAGGACGACGATCATGCCATGTTTCAGTTAATGTTTCAGTTAATATTTGAATGACCAACCACATCGGCGCGACCTGCGCGGGCGGCGTCGTGAAGGAGCGAAAACCGATTGTTCACGCAGTCGAATTGCCCCAAGTTGGACCCCTTGTCCACGAAATATCGTACCAAATGCTAACCTTTGGCGTTATTCAAACCCAAAATTCAAAACCCAATGAAGCAATATTGTATACCACATGACCCGACCAGCAGGCCAACTGGAGCAGCGTGCGGCCGTTCTCAGCTTGCGAATCGCGCAGTCGGAAAGCTCCGGCACCGTCTTGAGCCGCCTTTTTGCCCTCTGCAACCGCGAGCTGGTTGATTTTCTCCACAGGCCATCCTTCCACGGACATTTTACCATAACGCTTTAAGGAATGAGCTCACCTTCAATGACTGCTTCCCAAATGGTCAATTTCCGCTTGTGCTGGTCGTTGCGGAACTTCTCCTGGGCGCTTTGAATGGCCTGCCGCTCCACTGCGCGCATATGAATCGCGTCCTTTTCGGCTTGAGCGGCGGCCGCTAGGTCTGCCTCGCGTAACTTGACGCCGTCGATCCAGCATTGGCGCAGCTCGGAGATATCCAACGACATCTTTGTACGTCTCGCTTGCTTTGGAAGGACACGACTATCTCCTGCGGACGTGGATTGCAGTTGGGACGGCAGTACTGCTGCTGCTTCACACAATGTGCCTTGCGTACTACCAATGTTCTCGATATTTAAAGTGTCCTTAGTGTTGTTGCCACTGGTGCTTGGGGAACTTGCGTCGATCTCCAGCAATGCTTCGTATGCCGCCACGGACGCCAACATGGCCACAACCGAGCCATGCCATTCGGTAAACGATCGCGACGGAGGGACGGCCATGCCCCCCGTGAGACTCTGAAACCCCGCAGCACCCATCGTCTTGCGCAGCTGGCCTTCCACGCGCAAATGCGCCTTGTGCAGCGCTCCATCATCGTGAGCTGCAGGGACAGACCACTTGGAAAACTGGAGCCGTGCTTGGTTCACCCGAAACAGATCCAGCGCCATGAACGATTCGTCGTGCGACGCGATAGTGCGATGCAGTTGCAGACACGCCTTGCGCACTTGGACCAGCGTGGTATTCAGGTCTTCGCTGTGCAGGTGCAGGAGCGCCGCGGGGTCTTCAACGACCTGTTTGGTGGCATCGAACGTCGACTTGATATACGTCCATGTGTCTTTGAACTCTGCATGCAACGCTGCGAGAGATGCAACCATCTGAGCGTCGTCGTGGTGACTGGCAATGACATGGCGGTGGGAAATCGCAAGCGATAGATCGTCGAGCAGAACATTGACATGGCGACATTTTCGAACGTACGCTTCGTGCATGATGGCCGACGCGTCCGTGGTGGCAGTGGCGTGTTCGTTGACGGCATGGAATGCCGGCGCATCTCGCAAGGACTTCACAATGAGCCTGGCACGACGCACGCGAGCGGCGCACTGGATGACGAGCGCCGCCGCATGCGATGGATCACGAGCTTTGGCTTTCGATACGAAGCGAGGCTTGACGGTGGTACAGTCGCCCGTGGTGGCGTTGATGTAGTAGAATGTCCTCGTTCGCGGATCGAACTGTTGAATCCAAATCAAGTCGTTGCTGGGCTTGCTTGCCGAGAGATGAAGCGAGTCCTCTGGAAGATGGAAGCTCTGCGATTTGACCAGCGTGGTATGTCTAGCCTTATTGAGTGTTGTATCGTGGCTGATGCTGCTGGAACGAATTTGTCCTGAATGGTCTGTGCATGGAGAGTGCGATGTGGCGGGTGTATGCTGAAAGACTGCCTCGACGGCTTCGTCTACCAGAGGCGGGGGCGATGCTTCTTCATCGTCCTCAAAGGAAATGGCGTAGAGAGATTCATCTACGCATGGACACAAGTGAGAAGGCGGTCGCTGCCGACCGACTCACCATTGGTGTCGGTCATGGTTTCACCTGAAACGCTTGCTCGTTTCGTTATCCGGTGTCATTATCCGGATATCTCCATCATCACAACTGCGTGATTTCAAGCATGACAGCTCGCGCCAGTCGCTTGGTCGACCCTTCCTCCATGTGGCAATGGGTTGCGTCTCAACCAGGTACATGACATTCCTCATCTCATAGCCATATAGGAGTTCTAATCTTAATATGCAAATGAAGGCTTCTTGGCTGCGCAGTTAGCCAACCCCTCGTCTCTTACTCCGCTCGAACGATGGTACTTCGAAGCAAGGACTATCGCCGCGCAATCGTCTCCCACAACATCGTTGTTGGATCCACTGAATACTGATGTCAGCGATATGCACGTCTGTTGCTTTGACGTCCATTATGCGAAGAACCACAGTTCCCACGACTCAACCCAGGCCAGAGCGGTGTACGGCCGCAACACCTGCAACCCCAAGGAGTTGGCACGCGTAGACGAGTGCTTTTGGTTCAAGACGATGCAACATGGCCAAGTGTGGCATGTCTCTGTGGCTCGCATGGCCGACAAGTATGTGCTGGGAAGTGACATCCACATCGACGAAACCAAGTGCAGCGACCTGGTACCTCTGCTCAATGGCACCTTTGCGAACTTCCATGACGTCATATGGGGCAATGGCAAGGCAGTATAACACAGGCGACACAATAAGTCCATTTTTCAGTTGGTTCATTACGTTGTCTACCACATCCGTAAGGACGTCCGTCAGTGTCGAAGTGCCAGCATCATCAGCAGCTTGTGCATTGGCAGGGGGGTTAGCGCCACCAATGCAGTCGCGCAAAATGGAGTCGCTTAAGCAGTCAACAAGCACGCACCGCCCACAGCCTTAATCTTGTTTTCGGCTTCTTGGGAGAAGTACTTGGCCTTGACGATCACAGGGACAGCGGGGAGACGGCCCTTGCCGAGCACCTTGAAGTAGCCGGCCTTGGTCACGTCAATGATGGGGGCCTTGCCGTCCTTGGAGGCTTCGGCGGTTTCCTTGACTTGCGCCGACACCAACGACCACAACTTTTCCACGTTCACGGTGGGGCAGTGGTATCTGTTGCGGAGCAAGTGGAATTGGCGCATACCGACCTTACCGAAGTACCCAGGATGGAACTTATCGAAGAGGATGCGATGGTGATGTTGACCACCGGCGTTACCACGCCCACCCGGATGCTTGCGATGCTTTCCGATACGACCGTGACCTGCGGACACGTGACCACGCTTTTTACGGTTCTTGTGGGTGGCGGTAGGCTAGACACACACGAACGACACACATTTAGACATCATCCCCCTCACAGACTGACTCCACCATGTTCATGCATTCTTACCATGTTGGTAGATGGAACTGAAAAACAACACTAACAGCATTGGCTCAAAAGCCATCCCCACGCCACCAGCCAACCATTCCACCAATCACAACCCGACTCTACAAATGAATACCCTAACAATTGGCCCTCCGCCATTTGCATAATTTGCCACTTAAAACCCTGTACAAATACATATCACGGTATATCCGATATATTAACTTACACAGGTAACTCCGACCAAAACATACTTATACGAGGGCATCCCTTCGGTAACGTTTTTTTTTTCAACCAAACTTTGACGAAAATGACGTTTCAAAAACGAAAGATCGCGCGGATCATGAAGTCCTTGGCCGAACCATTCCTCCTTGTAACAGAGGCCACCACAGCGCCGTCACCACCGCAATCTAGTAGCATACGATTTCTTATGTGCATGGGATGTGGTCTAGTACTATTCCTCGGCTCCTTCGTCTTGTAAGTTATCCTCATCGACCTAAACTCGAACATACCACATGCTTCTTGTAGGTTTCCGTTCTCGATTACTGCCTTCGGCGTGGTGTATTCCATGGGTTCCCTCGTGATCATGGGCTCGACGTTGTTTGTAGCGACCATCAAGCAGCAAGTCGAGACCCTTCGAGCCAACTCGAACCGCGCGTGGGGCTTCGCCACGTACTTGGCGTCCATCGCCCTCACATTATGCTTTGCCTTGTATCCTGGCCTATGGTTCCGATCTGTGCTCGTGTTTTTGTCTGTGTGTGTCCAGTGTGGCACGTTAGCATGGTACTGCCTCAGCTATTTCCCAAGGGTGCAAACCGGCCTCCGTGCGGCGAGCATGTACATTTTGGTGCCGTAAGGCCAATATTTAACAGGTGTATTGTTATATTATGGAGCTGCAGCCGATGCAATTGGTACGAGCGACGAGAGAGTCTATCAGAGATGTCATTATGAGGCCAAGTGAGGTGAAGTTGTAGGGTACCGCGTCGATGGCGTCGAACTCAACGAGAACCTCATCGAGCTGCGCTTGGTTGAGCTCCAACGTTACCTACGCACAATACTTAATAAGCACACATGATTGGCATGGTTAGAGGAACAGATGATAAGACCTCGCGATCGCCCGACAAGTACAATTTGAGCAACACGATGGGATATACGTCGCCGTGAAGGGTGCTGCTCGATAGAACCAACTGCACACACGCATCAGCCAAATAAAGAGTTAGTGCTGAAGTCACGCAAGCATCGTCAGTGGCATTGTGGTCGTACTCGAACGGAATAGTCAAAGTCCACCAGGTGAGACTTGGAGATGGACGCTGCTTGGCGAAGGAGGTATCTGTGAATGTCAGACGCACGAGCGTCAACAATGTCTCGAATCGTGTCGATCATGTCGCTTGGAATGCCATACTCGGCCACGAACGCCCCAAACTACATGCGCTGTCACTAACAAACCACCGATCCAGGGATGCTCGACCTGGTCCTTGGTGGTTCCAAGGGCTTGGACAAAGAATCGCTGCCACTTTTCAGCGCGAGGAACTTCCCCCCTTCCCATGGCGTCAGCAGCTTCATGTAGCGTGTCCTCGAGGCGCTCTGCCGTCAAGGACGACCGACGGTGCATGTTGACAAGGAAGGTTGCTGCTGGCAACGTGTATCTTTTCAGAAAGTGGGATAGCTGTATTTTAATAACGTTATGAGACAAAAACACGAATTATATGAACTTGAAAATTGTATATTGTGAATGAAACGTTCGAGGTACTGGTAAAACACCACAATAATATTGCATGTCGTCGTTGGCGCAAGTGGTGGCAGCCGCCGTGCTGTCGAGGGCATGGGTGTCTGCCATGGCATTGGTGAGCCACACATTCATCACGCCTTACGACACGTCCGCGCTAGCGCACTCCAAGTCCATTTTCAGCGCATTTGCAGCCTGGGACGGTGTGTACTTTGTTGACATCGCCGGCGAAGGCTACCGCTACGAAAACACTCATGCGTTCTTTCCGCTGTTCCCACTCCTGGTGCGTTGGACAAGGTACGATCGTGCGCTACTGCTGTGCCTTGAGAGTTATGCGTTGTCCTGATGCTATGTAGTCCGCTCTTGTTGCCTGTGTTGGACAAGAACACGTCTCTGTTGGCTGCAGGTTGGCTCATCAGGTTCCAACCATATCGTTGACAATTCTTCATGGCGTGACCAGTGATTCCCATGTCGGTCGTAGCAACGTCTGCTTTGTGCTAGCGGCCGTCTACTTGTATCGTCTTGGGCTATTGGTACACGTCCCTCGTCGACATTGTCGTGTGTCACCTTTGTTCGTGCGGTAGTTGCTGAACAACGAGTCATTAGCCAAGCGAGCAGCGTACTTCTTTTGTATCTGTCCTTCGGGCATCTTCATGTCGGCGTGCTACAGCGAAAGGTTGGTCATTTCCATTGGGGTATATCGTCATCGACATGGGTCCTCCTGTCTAGCTTGATGTGCGTGCTCAGCTTTAGTGGCATGTACTGCCTGGAGCGGTACCGCACGGCCGCCCGCTCCACCAGTGGCCACATCTACCTATCTCTCTCCGCCTTGCTCTTTGGCCTGTCCGCCGCCACCCGTTCCAACGGCATCCTCCATTCTCGTACATCATTTCTTCTTCTCCCTACCATTCATTTCAGTCACTTTGGGGTTCTAGTATACATTGCGTACTACCGACTTCTCACGTCGCCGCACCCGTTGCGCGCCTTTCCGCGGTTTTTCGGCTATTGGACGTACACGGCCTTGCTTGGCGTCGTGGCCATTGGTTTCCAGGTTGCGTACTTTGTGGTCGGCGTTGCCGCCTACTGTCCGTCCTTTGCCGCTGTCATACAGCCCCTTCGGTATGGCCCAATACCTCTCTCCTTTTCACTTCATCTACCTTGCATTTAACCGGCCTCAATAGGTCTGTCATGGACATGCCCATGACGTCGGCGCTCACGCAAGACCGGCCGTGGTGTTCTCAAGTGCTGCCAAACTACTCTGCCATGTACTTGTTCATTCAGCGAGAATACTGGGGCGTGGGTCCTTTTGCGTACTACCAACTCAAGCAGGTACAACCCACGCCTATGACGTGGCACTCTCTCAAGGACGGACCGTGATGGTGTCGTTCAATATCGCTAGATCCCCAATTTCGTCTTGGCTGGCCCCATGATAGCGCTGGCTGCCTACGCTGTCTACGTTGGCTGCATCAGTCCAAAGATTCTGTCGTTTTCGGCTGCCAGGCCATACTTTGTCCACGTGGCTTTCTTGCTGGCGAATGCGCTCGTGGTGGTGCACATCCAGGTCATCACGAGGTTCTTGGCGGCATCCCCACCTATCTTTTGGGCGGCAGCGTTCGTGACGACGCCCGACCCGAAGCAACCAGCGAACAGCCAGGTTCAGTCGGCGGTGGTGGTTACCCACGGCCTCGTACTGTACTTCCTCGTCTTCAACGTCGTGGGTGCGACGCTGTTTCCATCGTTTTACCCGTGGACATGATGACAGCAGCAGCCGCAGCAGCACCTTGAGATTGACGTCTAGCCAACGTTCTGGTGTCCCTGTTGATGTTTGAACGCGATTTGGATACCTCGAAAACAAGTTGTCATTGCGTCCACGACTGCTGTACTACTGGTAAAGCGAACAGCTTACGACTTAATGGGGTCCTGTATTCCACGTACTACAGAAGTACTTTGAAGTACTTTAGTAGTAGTTGGTGACTGGCGGCATGACATACATCCCATATCGAACGACGAATAAATAACAGTTGATTCGTGGGAATAACACACTATGTACGGCACTACTAGACTTCCCATACATGCATCATGGGCGCAGATTGGCCCAGATAACTCTGGGTCGCGACCCTTCGCTTGGTTGGCTTGGCAAGCGGAGAAGACACGACGACCGCCGCCTTCTTGGACACTTGCTTTTGGTCTGCCAACACACATGCGCGACAGAGGTTCTCGGGCTCGCCGAGACCGGGGGGGGGGCGAGTCACGGACAAGTTGCACGGACCGCACACCATGTCGGCGCAACCGGCGCATTCGTATCGGATGGCGCCGAGGGTGTCGTGGCAGCACGCACAAAAGTCGTCGCAGTCTGCCACGTCATCGTTCGACGACGGAATGTTCAGACCGAGAGACAGGTTGAGCAGCCGATCGTCGGCGTCGAGGTCGTCCGTGCCGCTATCGCTGCCACACGAGTCGTTGCTACTGCCACCCCTCGGCGGCACAACATCCGGGCTTTGTTTGAAGTACATGGCATCGGCGATGGCGTCGACGATGGACGACGGCGCGCGCGGGCGGCGCCGAGGGGTGTCCACAGCGTCGGGGACGGACGGCGTCGATGGAGACAACGGGTCTTTGTGGACACAGGCCATGCATATGCGCACGGACGCGACGCGGGTGTCGTTGTCGATCGAAGGCAGCACAATGTCCACCTTGGGCGCACACGTGTCGCATGCGACCTCCCCGCAGAGGCGGCAGTGGTGGCGGCGCTTGTGCACACGGAACTTGGTCACGCAAATATGGCACGTCTGACGGATGCCGTCGCGAACCCACGCGGATGGCTCCGCTCGATCGCGGAACGACCGGCTCACGCGGCGAGACACGACCGTGTCCTCGAGCTTGAGCAGGCCCAACGCGAGGCGCTGGTACCGCGACCGCCGTGGCAGGTTGATGAGGCCGGCTTCGACGAATGACATGGCGCATTGCACATCGACGCCGGTGCCGTCGGGGGATTCACGGGCCATGTACCCTCGAGGAGCGATGGGCTTGTCCTTGCTGGCGGCGTCCACCGCATCGGGCAGACTTTGAATCACCCGGACATACATGTCGGTCGCTGCCGTGCCTCGTTTCACCCAGTCGGGCGACACGACGGTGGAGAAGTCCACGAACGACGTCTGGAAGCGGGACTTAAGCATGTTGTTTCGGTCCGCCACCATGGATTTCACACTCAGGAACGAGCCCGAGTCGGTCTTTCGCCGCCCAAGGTCTTCGTACTCGACGACCTTGCTGCCAAAGAAGAAGTGCGCAGTATCCTGCATGTTGTTATTGCTGTCGTTCATTAGGATTGGAAGCACTTCACTGAGGTGGGCGGCGGGAACGTGCATGGCTGCTCGGACAATGTACAAAGTCGAGTCGCTGCCCTTCGACCGGAGCACGCGCTCGTCGAGCTGGAGTCGTAACCGGCCGGACGCGGGGTGCATCTGCTGGGACACTAGGGAGTATTCGGTGGCGTCGCCAAAGCAGAACAGTGCCAATGACGAGCGCGCGTCGGCTTCCAAGTCGTCTACCGCAGTGGATGCTGGCATATATGATTTTCCTGTTTTAACTGGTTGGCAAATGGCAAACTGGGCGTGCCGCGGCATTTTGGGTACGCACCTCTTCGGTTTTAATTCGCACGGGGCGGCGAGCATACAAACCCCAAGTGTAAGGCAGGTTACTTGAATAAAATTACTTGTTGAACTTGATGCACCATGTGGTGCAGTAGACTCAGATGAGTCAATGTGCATGATGTACTACCGGTACTGTAACCTTCTCGGCACATGCTGCGAGCATTGGTGTTCTGCGGCCAGCATTGGGCCTTGTTTAGCTGCCTGAGAGGGAGCCACCGGTGGTAAATGGAGCTGTACATAGCGGTGTAGGTACAGTACAGTATTGGCGACCTGACAACTCGATCGAAGTGGGGCTACAGTACAGGGAACGGCTGGTTGCATTTCACGGAATTGTCAACATGTTCTTGTGCTGCCGAGAACAATTTGAAGCCGCATGCATACCATGGTGTGCAGTAAGTTCGGAAACAACATTACTGTAGCTGACGTTGAGCCAGGCTACAGTGCGCCGTGGAGACTTCCATTCAGTGATGAGTAGAGGTGCGATGGAGCTCGATGGGGGACGCATGGCACGTCGAGTTTGCGATTGTGAGGGGGAAGTCTATGGCGTGAGAGCATCGTACCACTGGTGTCTCAGTGGCTACCACTTCTTCGTGTACACTTCGAAGTACCCATCACACATGTCAACATCGGCAACTGTGAAGGAGGCCAAGGCTCAAATCACAAGCTTCGAGCCTTCCCCGAAGGACGAGCTACATTGTATATGTACTGTACTGGTGGTAGAGAGCGTCAAGTGGTCAAAATTCTTTGATGTGACGGAATGAGACACTTGCAATTTATTTGATGGGAGTTGTCCGATAAATTCCGGATAATTGACCTTTGTCATACGATTAGTGAAACCATTCAGTCCGATATTTGTCGCTTACTACCGGTAGTACAGTATACGTATATACAGTAGTACCTCGAAGTACCTTACATAGCAGGGACGACACTGATACTGTGAGCACTGCGACCGCGGTACAAACACTTAGCAAGCGTACCACCAGAAGCTGCAGCTAAAGTTACGTACTGTACCTTAAGATGCTCTACATTTCATTCAAGCGTCAACAAAATCTCCATGTCTCCTCATCGCGTGAGGCGAAGGCCACCGGCGAGCCACAGCTGCTGCACTTCTTTCCGTGCTTCTCGATCGATCAAATTTTTGGCGGCCACCACTTGGTGGCGACGGTACCAACTGTCAATTTGTCGACAGGTTTGATTGAGTAGAGTCCACGCATGTTCCACGGTATGTATCGCGAGCTCGAGCTCATCAAGAGTAGAGCAGCCTGCTATCAATGCGCCGGCATCGGTGCCACCGGCCCTCGCAAGTTGCCGCAGGGGGGCATGCAGCATCCGTGCCACGTGAGCCTTCTCGACGCGGTGGAAATTCCACGATGGGAACGCGCGGACCAACTCGAGGTACTCGCGAACGAGTCGAAACGGACTGAGCCGTTGGGGACCATGAAAGAACGCCGGGTTTTCCAGCAGTGCCTCGGCGGACATTACGCCTCGTGCGCCGGTGGCGGTCGCGCAGGCTGCCAGGTCATCAAAGCATTCGACTCCCCCGTTGGCAATGACGGGTACGGACACGCGGCGCTGGATGGCGGCGATGGCCACCCAGTCTGCCGGACCTGTTTTCCGACCGGTCATGACGCGGTTGCGGCCATGCACCGTGATCGCCGACGCCCCCGCGGCTTCGATTTGGTCGACGAGGCGGAGCGTCGCTTGCAGACCTCGGTCCAGCGGGTCTTTGCTTCCCTCGTCGATGATGCGAATCTTGCATGTGAATGGAATGGATAAATGGGATTTCCAATCGCGGAGGATGCGCAAGATAGTGTCCGAGTCTCGAAGGAGGAACGACCCATAATGTCCTTTGCGGGCAATAGGTTGGGGGCAGCCGAGGTTGAGGTCCACGGCCAATACGCGGTCTTGAACGAGAAGGGCTGCGTCTAGTAGAGCCTGTGGGTCGTCGCCCGCGAATTGGGCAATCACGGGATGGTCGGTCGTATTCGTTTCAAGTAAGTCGTAGTCCAATCGTTGGGTGCGGTAAGTTGGGTCGGTGAGGAACACCTTGGCATGAAGCATCGGCGTGTAACAGAGCTGGGTGCCATATCGGCGGCACAGTGCCCGAAATGCAAACTCAGACTGATCGACCATTGGAGATCCGACATAGAGCAGCGGCGACCGCGACCACAGCGAGTCCATCAAATTGGCAATTGAGATGGGCAATTGGTTGGCTGAATCCAACCAATCAAAACCGACGATTACGCCGCCTATTTTTAGAACACTGTCATGGCGTCGGAGTCCGTCGTGGGACGGTCCGACGACGACGACCGCGAAGTGGCGAAATGGAAGCGGCGACTGGACGAAAATAAATACATTCGAGCAAACTTGCTGGATCAAGCCAACATGCTGTCGTACACTATGCAGCGCTTGAGTGCGAGGCATCGGGGGCTTGGCGTGGTAGACGTTTACTCGATTTGGTGGGAAATGATGTTGAAGCCCCAGGCAATGTCACTGAAAGGTATGCACAGGAGGATGTTGGGCCAAGGGTATTCCATTGACGAACGAGACGACAATGTAAGAATGGATCCAACATGCAGCACATACGTGGCTAACTGGGCCGTTGAACTTAGGGCGTGCCACCGTTGGTGCACTGCGCAATTGTACGATACAGTACACACATGACATCTGTATCATGACGTTGAGGCGTGTAGAGAGGATGGTTGGGCGTCATTCTCATGTTTAGCCAGCATCCCCACAATGTCAACGTTACTTCCACGGTAATCCACCCATCACAAGAAGCTCGTGTCGAGACGTACTGACGGCTCCATGGCAGATGCAAGAAACTGCCGTGAGTGCGGCATGCCGTCGTGGCCACATGAACGTGGTGCGGTATTTAATCCGTCGAGACGCCGACTTGAGCGTTTGTGATAAAGTGAGCGGGAACTTGTGCTTGCTTTGCATCTCTAACAGTGTCACAGTCTGGGTTTTCGTGCTTGCGGTGGGCAGCCAAACACCGAAACAAACACCTCGTCCGGTTACTCTTGCAGCGTGGAGTGTCTGTGCAAAAGGTTTGCATTCACGAGTCCACGGAGGCGATGCATATAGCCAAATTCCTGCTGAAATCCTAACATCATCCAGGATTGCGGCACTGTCAACCACTCAGCCTTGGACTGGGCGCGGGCAAATCACGACGAAGACATCGAGAATATGTTGGTGGCCGTGCTTGGTGGGTCGATCATTGTATCACAAGGCCGGGATTCATCTGTGGTGTAGTCGAGGAGAAGAAGGTTCAAGTAGCCATATTGCAACAAAAGGCGAAAGCGACGCACGAGAAGTCGGCTGCTTCTGCTGCTAAGGTGGTTGCAGAAGCTACCGCAGTAGTTGCCGAACCGACGATGGAAGAGCGGCGCCAGGAACACCTCAAGCACCAGGAACAAGAGCGAGATGCAGCGTTCAGGGAGCGCGTGGATGCGTTGTACAGCCAGCAGCCAGTGCAACTGCTGAAGAGCCTTCGACCTATCGAAGTGGCGCCATTACCAGTGCCAGTCGCTGAAACAGAGTGGCGCAAGAAGGAATGCATGGCGTGGGAGCGGGTGGCTGTATCCCCCAAGCGGCAAGAGGAAGCGACGCCCCATGTAAACATGACACGCATCAGGCAACTCATGACAATGGACGACGACGTCGAGGATGCAAGTATGGATGCGTTGGTCTCCTTCGCACAACGTGCCAAACCAAAGCCTGCGTCGCTGAAGTTTTATTGTCCAGAGGTTTAACTCTCTACTGACGCCACACTCGTGTGAATATGACATGTTTTGCATTGGAGGCAGCATCGATGGAGTTTTGGTGGCAGGTACAAACGAAACTGTGAATCAAAAGTGTATTGAATAATGTCATACAAGGACGGCACAGTCGTGGCCGTGCTTTTCAGCGACGACCTTCTGCATACCGTCGGTCAGTATCAGGTGGGATACTTCGAGGGATTGGTACGGCATATTGCCGAGTGCGCATCCATCTGCCGCACCATGACCATCTCAGCATCGCCCGGCTCAAGTGCATTTCATTTTCGGCATCAAGAGAAGCGTTATTCATCACAAGACCTTTCCGTTGACATTTGGATCCGACAGGCTTCTTGCTGCACGGGGCCATTTAGGAAAACTCTCAACCGTACTCTTGTATATTATACCATATCCACACACTTTCCACGACGCCGTCCCTGATTGCGCAGCTTAATTAGGCCATGTGGACATTCTGTAGGCGTTGCATCATCACCGACTGCCTTGTACATCACGCGCATTTGACCTCGCTGCGAGGTGTGGACATCTGAAAATCGTTCAATTCCTACACACGCATTGTAATGAAGGGTGTCCGACGGACACAATGGACAAAGCTACTGCCGTAGGACATCGCACCGTTGTTAAGCTTTTGCACATCGACAGGAAGGGGCGACCTTCCATGCCATCGACTACACAGCAGCCGCGGGCCCATCTCGTTATGGTCCATTTCCGTTACGACCGTCGGACACAAGGCCCCACAACTGTGGTGATGACGTGGGCTGCCATGAATGATAACCTCGACGTCGTGAAGTACCTCCACGACCACCGAAGGCTACACCGACAAGACCGCGGATTTTGCACAGCGCGAGGAGGGCACATGGACGTCGCCCAGTTTCTCGACACCCGTCGAGCAGAAGGGGGTGTACATCGGCCATCGACATGGCAGCCAAGAACGGACACTTGGGGATCGTGAAATATCTGCACGTCAACCGCACGAAAGCCTGCACGGGGACATTTGGATGTTGTGACTTTTTAGACACGACCCACACCGAGGGTTATACGACCAATGCCATGGGGTGGGCTGTAACCAATGGCCGTTTGGATGTGTCGACGTATTTCCATCAACGAAGGGCCGAAGGGTTCCGTCGTGGCGCTGGATTGAGCGGCGCGAATGGAAATTTAGAATGTGTGCAGTTCCTACATCGCTATCGCGCCGAAGGCTGCACCACGTATGCCATGGAGGCGGCTCGACATGGACATTTCCACGTTATGCAGTTTCTCTCGGAGCAGGCGCAATGCGCCGGCGGGAGGACATTGTAAATTGTGAGATGTTTGAATTACCATCAGGAATATTTTGGTGCAAGAACAGTATCACGTCCAAATAGTCATCCAAGGCACCCTAACGTTGCGGCGTCCTGATGAAAGCCTCAAGAGTGCGTTGCAAAGCTCCAACAAAGTCGTGACCGCTTACATTGAAGCGAATAACTTCACACAGCTGCCCTGTGCTTGGGAAGTATTGTCCGATTTTGACGATTCGAGGTTTTAAGCAAATCGCGATTTCATTGGTTGCAATACTCAAAATAACCGTTAGAGTCCTTTCGCCAGGTGTTGTAAATTGTAGCAACTCCTTCGAACTTCGACGCACAGTTAGACCTTCCCAACTGCATGACCATTGTCTTGCACTTTGCAAATTCCCATGGCGTGGCAGTGCAGTGCGAGCAGCCACCGTGGCCTCATCGATAACCTCGTCCAGGTCGGGCTCCTCCGCACGCCAAAGGCGATTGCTGCCATGGCACACACCGATCGAGGCAATTACTGCCCCATTTACCCCTACATTGACGCCCCGCAGCCCATCGGCTACGGTCAAACAATCTCTGCACCGCACATTCATGCAGGTGCCCTGGAGCAGGCTAGCCCCCACCTCCACGATGGCTCGCGCGTGTTGGACGTTGGATGCGGCTCCGGATACTTGAGCGCTTGCTTCGCCCGCCTCGTCGCCCCCTCCGGTCGTGTTCTCGGAATCGACAATGTTCCCGAACTCGTCAATCTCGCGTTAGTTAATACCCGCCATGGAGACAAGGATCTGTTGGACAAAGGCATTCTGTCATTCCGCCAGGGCGACGGCTGGCGGGGTGCGCCAAACGAGGGCCCATACGACTGGATTTATGTGGGGGCAGCGGCATCCCAAGCGCCCCCTGCTTTGCTGGCGCAACTCGCGGACAAGGGCAGTTTGCTGATCCCTGTGGGCCAGCAAGGCGACGCCCAAAGTTTGCTGCAGATCACGCGAGACGGGCCCACGTTCCACAAGGAGTATTTGGCCGCGGTGCAATTCGTCCCCCTCGTTCACCTATCGTCCCCTTGATTTCTAATAATAACAAACTCACTGGCTGTTGAAACTATTCTTGGGCATCGCAAGTATTGATGGCATCAACGTCCCCACCACGGTCAATCTGCGTGCGCCATGCCACTTCTGACCACCGGCAATGGGCCACGATCTCCCCCTCCATCAGTCTATTGGAGCTACAAGCGCTAGTCGCGTCCATGTTTGAGCTTCCCGCTTCGACATCCCCAACAACCCCATGGCATTTAGAGTACATAGACATGGACGGGGACGTCGTGCGAGTGGCCAACGATGCGGAGCTGCAGGAAGCTTTGGCCCATCTCCCTGACCAAGCGTCCGAGTTGGTTGTCAAGTTGACGCTTTCATTGCGCCAGCGGGCCTCGATGACGTGGCAAGCGTTCGTGCCAGCGTTGCAACATGCATTGAAGCAAGCTGAAGAGGCCACGTTAGCGTTTCTAGACCAAGACGGGATGGACTCGACGAGGTTGTTGGTTCCCCGACATCGCCAGGCAATGCTCCTCCTTCGGCCCGAGTATTCGGATACGGAATCCGAGTCGGACGACGACGACACTTAGTAAAAAAATCTCCAATGGATTGTGTTCGTTTTTGCAAAATAAAAGTCTAAATAATCTATAAACAACAAATGGTGAGAGCAGCGCTACGGGTCGGATCGAAGGGGGGGGGTCTCTAATGGTGGTGGGGGGGGTGGTCCCCCGTGGCCGCCTGTTTCGGCACCACTTGCTGCAGCCAGATGCGTGTCTTGTAAATAGCAAACAAGTCGCGCACCAACTCGCGAAAGTCGATTCGTCTACATGGCGAGATTCCATTTACAGTGTGCGAAAATGATTGGAAAAACATGTCGACAACATATTGTACCGCTCAGCTTCAAAGTAAAACGTGAGCTTGTGGCGGTCAAATTGGTACTCGGCATCAATCACATTCATGGGCAGCATGCGCTGGCGGACTTTGGTTCGACACACATGGAGCACCTCCTGCTCTTCCTTATGCTATATCCATCCAGGCTTGAGCAACTTCACATACCTGGCATGCATTTTTTGTACCTGTTGACGAAGCAGATCGCACTCGGCATCACTTGCCAGTCGCATGATTCGCTTCACGCTGCCCGACGCCGAGTGTGTCAAGTCGTCCTTCGAGTCGTTCGTGATCGTTCCAAGCACACGACCGACATCTTCACCGCGGTCGCCCTCCACCTTGACGTAATCGCCGACGGAGTAGCCGCAGATGCCAGCGAAGCAGTCCTTGCGACACCGTTTAAACTGCACCTCGTACGTCGTGTCCAGGACCCCCAGGTCCAACGGCATTGGGGGCAACGTCGCATGGAAGGACGATAAGGGCTGCTCTTCGCGGACCGATGTGGCGCGGGGCTGCCACTCGTAGGCGGACGCCTTCAGCGGTAGCGGCGGTTGCTGTTGTTGGGTCGGTTGTTGCTGTCGCGGCGGGGCAAGCGGGCGGGGCAACGGACTCTTGGTCACCGACGCACCGCGGAATTGGCGCGGGTCCGCCGCGGGATGCAAAGATGGCGACGGGAACGACCCAATGCTGTACGATCGAATGCCACGCGGCGGTGCTTGCGTGTCCTGGTTTGAGCCATACACGTGGGTGTCGAGGTCTTCTGAGTACGATCGAAGATGTTCCATGGGTTGGTCGGGCGGCTGGCGGCGAGAAGACAAGCGCGGCGGCGGGGCGACGAACGAATGGTTCTGTTGCATGGAATTGTGTGATTGCATAGTCGAGAAGGACTTGGCACGCAGGCGATGCTGATGGGACAAAGATTGGTTGTCGTGGACGAGAGGCACACCCAGTGGACTGAGAGGTTGTGGGTTCCGACTACTTGCCGCCGTTAACTCGTCGTCGTTGTTGCTGTCGGACGGCATAGACAGCTGCCATGTTGCCCAGGAGGTTGACGAGTCGCCTGCAGACGGAAGGGATGCCAGTGGAGACATCGCCAATACCAACGGGGAGCCCACGCGACGCGACGGAGATGCGGTGGAGATCGGTACGGGCTTTACATGTTCGGTCAGTGCCATCGACGTGTCGTTGCTGGGGTCGTCAAGGGACAAAACTAACATGCTGGAGCTGAGAAAGTCGTTCCACTCTTGGCGGGATTTCACGTGGAAGTGACTGTCGCCGATGTCGTGGGTCGCTTGATTCGATGCGGCGTCTGGGTGCACGGAAAGAAGGTGCTCGTCGGAGATAGGGAGGAGCGTCTGGACGTTCATGGCCCTTCAAGGTGATGCTAGTGGTGGAGGTGGCGGCGGCCGTGGCGTCGATGTTGCGGGAGGTCGGGCAGTGGTGGCGGCGGCGGTGACCTGAGCAAGCTCTCGACGAAGATGTCCCTCGGGGAGAAATGCTTTTCCAACTGATGTACGTCGACCAGAAATAATTTTATTGATTTCTGGTCCGGTGTGATATAGAACGTAGGCAATTATTAAACGAAAATTAAATACTGCTGCCCTCCGTTATACTAGAATTCACAGTACCATACAGTTCAGAAGACGTTTCCAGTTCCCCTTGCCAGCTTCAACTACACTCACCGTGCTTCGAAATTCGCACTTCAAGGTGCCTGCTGCCATGCCATTGGCTGGATGTTGTTGACAACATAACGACCAAAATAATATTATTCACAATAAGTGAACAAAGCCGCCACTACTACATGCGCACTGGGGACAGTAGGAGCAGCAAAGGTTTGTGAGAAGGGGAGAAGGGGAAACTTGTTTTGGTGAAGGAGCTGTTGAAACTACTAATCAAAGTCCAATACTACGTAGTATAGTAGTAGTAAGTACTTAATGAAATGTGTTAACGTTACTCTCAGTATTTTTATAATACTGCGAGTCTGTCCTGAAATTTCTACTTAACGTTACTGTTAACGTTGTTACAGTAAGAACTTGAAGTAATATTCTGTTGTCCCTAGTACATTCTTGTAACCAAAAGGCAATTTGAAACCGCCCCGACTCAGCTTGAATTGCAAGGCAGACGACACTGAAGCCGCATATTAACAAACACACTATAATACTCTACTAACGTTACTATGTAGTGGTGGCTGGCTAAATGTTTTAATATTGCTGTATTGTTGTGAGAAGTTGGTCTCCACAAACCATAAATATTAAATGAAGGTGGTTACACGTCATGACACGGTTGCAAAACAAGTTTGTCGTTCTTTGCGGAAACATTCCGCCACCCCCGCGAACCCTGGAGCGGATGTGTTTGATCCGCGTGCAATCGCAAGATACCATGAAGGACAGCCAAGACGATACCGCAGGAGGGGGCGTTGCTGCCGCGCTAGGCCTTCGAGAAGTAAGTTCTGTTTGAAGTTCAACGCCGTATGCGACATGTTGGGCGACAGGTTATCCGCAACAGCGGGGAAGTTGTCGAAGCAGGGTTTGATGGAGACGTAGCCGCGATGACTGCGCTGTTGACGAAAGGGTTTCACGTCGAGAGCGAAGATGGCCACCGCCACACTGCTCTCTCTGAAGCGGCGTGTCAAGGGCATGTGGAAATGCTACAGTGCTTACTCTCCTTGGTACACCTTGACGACGCTATGGCATCATCATTTGTCCATGACGACTTGCCTACACTGGGGCTGTAGGGAGCCAACCCCAACGCAATCAACGACACTGGTCAATCGCCATTGTCGCGCTACATTTTCCATCGAATAGTCATATTACAGTTAACAAATCAATATTACAAGGGGGTATTGTTTTACTATTGACCTTTTGTTTGCTACAGGGACGAGGTTCGTCGTTGGTGGAATTAAATCGTCGGGGGGGGCACTGGCTTTTGGTAGCGCTGATTTGGACGGCCGTTGGTGTTGTCGTGGGGAATGATATTCTATCTCAAGCGAATTCTCTCAATCTTTGAACATTACCACCTTGAAATTGCACAAAATGTCCACACTGCCTTCACCGTTGTCGACTTGAACTTGCCTTCGTAAAGTGAAACAAAATATTAATCCCTGGGAGATGCGGGAAGTGGCGAAAACTCATCGTAACACGAAGTTATGAAGGCCAAAATCGAGGCATTCATGGTTGGCGAAAGCGAAACTGGAGTTCTTCGCAGTCATCCGACTTGTTTGAGAGGGACATTGGCTGCTGTACTGACACGCCGTTTTTTATCGCTCACTGCATGTGCGATGCCTTGCATTTCGAACTTCGCGCCGTTTCACCTTGAACTTTTACGCATCGTTCGAGACATGCACACGCGCAATAAAAATATTGCATCCGCAAAAGTAAGGAAATATCCGGAACTGTTGTGTATAAGAACACTTTTTCCAAGGCGCTGCCGTGGAAGGAATGTAACTCGACTCGTAGGTATTGGATTATAATTCTACAATATGTTACATGAAGCCAAAGTCCAGGCCTATTCGGGAGTTATGAATGCGCTATGATTCCTGTTATAATTCATTATCATTCACATCACTTTGTCCAGAAACAGCTTAAAACAAGCGGTCCAATTTAAGGTGCACCATTTTAAGCTTAGTCTTTGTATATCCATTTGCATATTTTTGGGCGGTTAGGTTAAAAACTGCCTTTGTAGGAATTGATTGGCTAATTCGCGTGCACCTTAAATTGGATCGAGCACCTTAAATTGGACCTTTATGTTGAAAATGGACGAACTTTGAGGACGCTTTTCTCGAGCTGTGTAATACTTACTTACCGGTAGAGCAATACAACTCGTACTACTAGATAGTGCATTCCTAGTTCGGCCTATGCAGCATGGTCTGTGCATACACAGCTCTCTCTGGCATGAGGCATCTTACCCGCATGTACACGCTTGTTCTTGAAATACGACGACTTTGGCAAGTGTTCGAAGTTGACTTTCTCTACAGCTGTTGATCCAGGCGACATGCGATACGGTGTTCTTGATAGTGAGTATGCGTTGAGAAATCGCTGACCTGCATCGCGCCTTTCCTGCATGTACAGTACACATGCACATGGTATGAAAAAAAGCATAAATAATTATGGTGATGAATAAAAATACGCATACTGTACTTAATGCAAATATCAACATATATATATACTTAATACAAATATTAACATAAATATGTTCATGCAGGATGCATGCAGCTTTAGTCAAGTTGTCACGTGCGAGTCAACCAGGAACTGAATATAATCTGCCACTTCCACGGAATCAAACGGCGTGTGCATCTCTCTGCTGTTCTAGACGAAGCGATTTGAAAATATTTATGTGGATTCATGTGGTGGTAACATATCAACGATGCAAACATTTATTCGCTGTCGCTAGGAATGCGCTTGTAGAACGCGACGTCGCGCGCGAATTCAAAGGACTCGACCAAATGAAAGACATCTTGGTCAGTTTGACCCCATCAGTCTTCTGATGCTCGCCTGTTTCCACATATCCGTCGATGAGGACTTCGATTTCCTCGTCGTGGATGGTTTCTAATCGCGCGATGCCCGCTTGTACCCTTTGCCCACGTCCTGCAACGCCTTGGCTTCCATTTTGCTCTGAGTGAGAGCTGCTTGCACAGCTTTGTACTGCTCCACGAGCGCTGAGATTGTGTCAAGCGACGCCTCATGCTGCAGCATATGTACCGTTTCTTGGAGCGTGTCCATGGCGCATTCGAGCTCGGCCACTTTTTCGTCCTTCGCGGACTCTTGGGCTTGTTGGAGTTGCGTCATCACCGCCCGAAGTTTGTCTTCGCGACTGGGGAATTGCTTGACTTGGGCGGCCCGACGAAGTTGCCGGTGCGTTCGAGCTCGAGAGTTGGGACGGAGATGGATTATTTAACCCAGATGCTTTCCCTGTCTTGGGCTAAGACAATGGTCGCGATCATCAGATCATTCTCACCTTGTCCGAGAGGAAGCTTTGGACAACCGATGCCCGAGTGGTTGGGATGTAGTGCGGGGACGTAGTCGTGGTCGTTCGGATGCCCCTTGTTGTTATGGGGGGGTATTGGTGTCAATGGTGCTATGTGGAATGGCGGACTATGTATGCATTGAAATATGTACGGGAAGTGGAGAGATGAGGTTCGACGTATGTTACCTTCGCTGTCGTTGCTTTCTTGGTCCCTGGAGTCTTAAGGGCTGCTGGAGCAGAGGAAGTAGGTCGGAGAGAGAGGCGTGGCTTGTCCGTGGAGCTGCCAAACCTGGGGTGCTTTACTGGGGACGACTACTTGTATCGAGGAGTGATCGAGTTGGAGGGAGTGAGAATGCCCGAGGGTTTTGGTTGCTTGTCAGGCGACGTTTGGCGCGGATTAATCGATGCACTCGATGGACGTGGGACCGCAATCATGCTCGTTGTGGTAACGACTGTGAAAACGGGTGTAATCTCTACCTTGTCACACATCCTTTAGTTGAGAAGAATAGATGAAATGTTTCACAAACTCAAGAAATCGTTACCTCGTTGTATTCTCTGCCGTTTCACTCATCCAATAGATAAGATATAGATGAAAGGTAAGAACCATGACCACCTCGGGGTGGAAGCGCTGCATTTCGACCCCAACACACCTCTCCACGCGCTCCTTGACCCCACATTCCATTGAAGTACGTCAATGGATGTCCAACCTGTACCATGCAGAGCAACGTTGTTCCAACAACGAGATGATGTCGTTGGACCTTGAGGTGTACTTCACGTCCCTCGCTAAGTTCCCCCCCAACAAACGTTCATGTTTCGACGCTTCGTTCGCCTTCCACGCGAATATACTACGTCCGTTCCACCTCCTCTTTCGATATACATGCATTGGGAAGCGTCCGTCTAGTTCTTCTTGCTTTGTGGCCCCCTGGACGGAGCTACCAACATGACTGCCTACCTTCATCAATCTTACTGCAGATGGCTAAACCCTCGCTAGTCGAACAGCCAAGTTACAGCGAAAGGTGCACATGTGCACAGACAACTCGTTCGTTTCCAGTTGGCAATTTCGAGTGGTTACGCGACGCAACCGCCGCCTTGGTTCAATCCCAAGTCGAGTAGGTACTAACTAACTACTGTATCTGTCGCGGTCTTGACCACCACTGCATCGCCACCACCACCACTTCATCTTCCGTCGGCCATCAACGCCAACCACTTGCGGTTGCGGTAGCCGGATGTGGAAGCCATACACAAATGGTTAATGATGGCAGTTACACACCGTGACACCGTTGCAAATGGGCAGTGGGTCCAGCAAGCCAATGGATAAACCGGCGGCGAATTGGACGCCGATCAACCTAAGCGAGTACGTCAATCAGTCGGCAGTATCGAACGATGCCAAAGCCGCGATTGGAGCGTGGGTAACAGACAATGGTAGTACAAGTTCAAAGTGGTCCTGGAACCCCTTCACATTGATTGCTCGATCGTGAAATGTAGCCATCACGGGGCCCCAACTTTTGGACATGGACACAGGTATGGTGCTTGCGCAACTGCGGCTCCCGGACGGGGATGCGCCGCATGTTGCAACGTTTCTATCGGAACTGCGGACTCTGGCCGCCACCGAGTCTGCCACCGCTGCGATCCACACGACGCTCAAAGGCTTGCCAGCGGCGTTGGAAAAGGCAGTATACGTGTACGAGAAGTACCCGCTCATCATCGACGAGACCGGCCAAGCTGCGCAGTTCTTCAAGTACCAGCGCGGCTGCTTTTTAATGGCGGGCAACCCAGCGGACGTTACCGAGTCCGTCTTAAGGCGGTCTCTTGTTGGTGCTGTAGCTCCAACTACAGTCCTTTCCTGTCTTATCCATTCATATGGTCTTAGCGGCGTTGCGTCTTGGGACGACCATGACGTTGTGCCTGGACAAGCTAGCCGGCCTCGAGCTCGACCAATTCTTTTCCGACGGGTGGTTTCCATCGCAAGTTCTGAATCGCCACGAGTTTTCCAAGCCAGAGGTATGGGCGCCACTGCTTCGCCCAGTAAGTTGGCCTCTGGCACGCGATGTTGTGGGAAAGTATAACGAGCTAACGGGCAAACAGGGCGAAGGCGACCCCGACGCATCGTTGTTCTTGCCATCGGACGCATTCAAGTTTGTCGTTCTTTGCGGAAACATTCCGCCACCCCCGCGAACCCTGGAGCGGATGTGTTTGATCCGCGTGCAATCGCAAGATACCATGAAGGACAGCCAAGACGATACCGCAGGAGGGGGCGTTGCTGCCGCGCTAGGCCTTCGAGAAGTAAGTTCTGTTTGAAGTTCAACGCCGTATGCGACATGTTGGGCGACAGGTTATCCGCAACAGCGGGGAAGTTGTCGAAGCAGGGTTTGATGGAGACGTAGCCGCGATGACTGCGCTGTTGACGAAAGGGTTTCACGTCGAGAGCGAAGATGGCCACCGCCACACTGCTCTCTCTGAAGCGGCGTGTCAAGGGCATGTGGAAATGCTACAGTGCTTACTCTCCTTGGTACACCTTGACGACGCTATGGCATCATCATTTGTCCATGACGACTTGCCTTCACTTGGGCTGTAGGGAGCCAACCCCAACGTAGTCAACGACACTGGTCGATCGCCATTGTTCCGTGCGAGTTACAACGGACATTTGGACGCAGTGACGTTATTATTGCACGCAGGGGCTGACCCTCGCATCAGCACGACACAAGGGTGCTAAGTGCAATAGCCCCATCATATGCTTGTTCGGTTAGTAATAAATATGATCTCGTTTTACATGACAAGGGAAACTCCATTCGACGTGGCCAAAGGCAAAGACATTGCAGAGATGTTGACGGCGTGGCCCGTGGCTACGACCGACAGACTTTTGAAGGAACGACGAGAGGTATGGTCGTAGTCGTTCCAAGGATGTGAGAAGCTCAACGCGATGACACTGCCAACATGCGTAGCTCATGGAGAAAAAGTTGCAGGAACGCTTAACTAGCCATGTCGAACGAGAACACGTCGCCAAGCTCCGCATTCGCGATGACTTGGTGGCGCTTGCGAGCTCGACAGCGAGCACTGCCGCGGGTGAGCTTAAGGCCATGCTGCTCGGTCTGGCGGCTGATGCTGTGGTGAATGCAGACAAGCCTCGAGGTAGTGACTTTGCTGGCATGTCATGAGGTGTTTGTCTGTGATTGATATTTCCTGGTGGGTCACAGGGTCAGCCAACTCGCGCGACGAGCGAGGTTGCACGTTGCTGGCGTTAGCGGCGCAGCACGACAATGCGGACGTGGCGACCTTGTTATTAACACACTGGAAGGTCAGAACATGTATCAATTAACCATAATAGGACGACTGAATTGTTGTTGACGGCAGCAATTTCAAGATGACAGTCACCCCGTTGTACGAAAGGCCCCCCATGCCAAGGACACGTACATCGACGTGTTTCGGGCCCAAGTGAACGCGCGAGACATGAAGGGATGGACCCCCGTGGCCATTGCCGTGTTCCATCAAGCGAAAAGGACGACGCGGTTGCTGCTTCAGCACGGCGCCAACCCCCGATTGAAGAACCAGGTGCTGGACGATTCATTGCATTATAAGCCATTACAGTTCACTTGTATATGCCACTATGTATAGTACAACAAGAGCGCAATGGACTTTGCTCAGGACGAACTCGATGCAGCGATGAACGTCGTGACGAGCAGGGCAGAGGTACGTCATGGTAACAATGGACCAATTTTGAACGAGCAATGGTAGATTCGGTCAGTGCTCGATGAATGGGAGTCGGAGCAACTTGCTAGCACACTGGAAAACAACCGCAACAAATTCTCCGTGGGGGCTGCAGAACCCTTGCCTTCCGACGGCGGGGCCACGCTGTTGGCCATCGAAGTGGCTGAGGAAGCGCAGCAAAAAGCCTCGTCAAAGAAAAAAGTACCTGGCAAAAAGACCAAGTCGAAAAAGACCAAGTAGCAGTAAAATAATATTATACATTCAGGACATGGCGGTGGGATTTGTATTGTTGGGACGACGGAGTCAAGTCGTCGAGGAGTTTCAGCTTGAGCGGCGCGCCAGTGTCGCGATGTTTCATGCGCAAGAGACTGTGGGGGGTGGAGCTACCCCCGATGGGGCGAAAGCCCTGGGCTAGTTTGGCGCATTCGCATTCGGCCACTTCACTAGCGCTGTTGATGGTCGTGGATATGTTTGTCATCGAGTCCTCCGTGGCAGTTATACTGGCCTGGCACCGAGGGCGCTCGACTTCCATGTGCACCGCATCGAAACAATACAGTGCCGACGAATTTTCAAACGGCTGACAGTGCTTGGCGTGATGCAAGAGCCCCACGTCCATGAGCGCATTCCCGACACGAATGGCTTGAGGGATGTTGTGCACGAGTTCCAAATCAAACATGCAGTCCACCAAGTGTTCCCCCTGAAATACTTGGTGCGCGCTGCTGTCCTTCGTTGTCTTGGGGCCAGACGACGTGCCAGCATATCGAACGACTTGTGACAACTGGTCGGCCAACGGCCCTAGCATGTCGTCCAGCAGCAAAGTCAGAGTGGCAACTATCGCAGACGCGGCGGGCCTTGACGTCGGAACGTCGTGCCACGCCGCTTGGATCAGTTCTTGCAGGGGACGGGGGACGTGCGCCCCCAGAACGGGGCGATGGCCTTGCAAAACAAGCCCAAAGATCTGCAACTGGTTGGCCGTCACATACTTGTCCTGGTCGGGATGGAGGATGTCCCACATCGTGACAGCCAAGCTGTAAATATCCACTGCTTCCACCATGTCGCCACCTCTGCCTCGGATCACTTCGGGGGGCATGTACTCGACCGTGCCGACGACGGTCATGTGCCGAAGGGACGTGCGTTGGGGGACGTCCGTCGTGCGTTGTTTGGACACGCCAAAGTCGGTTACTTTGATGCGGTGGTTGACATCGACCATGAGGTTGCCCGGTTTCAAGTCGCGGTGAATAAACGGCGGGGAAAAGCTGTGTAGGTACTCCACCGCTCGAGCAGTGTCCAACATCATGCACAAACTCAAGGCCGAATGCTGGGGAATCTGGTAGTGCTGCTGGATGGCGAGGACATCGTGCATGCTGCCCTGGCAAAGCTCCGATACCAGACAAATCGTGGGGGGGCACACACACAATCCATAGAACGACACTATATTCGGGTGATTCAGCGCCCCGGATAGCGCCGCCTCGTGCGAAAACGACGCGACGACCCCTTCGTTCACCTCGGGGGGCGTAAACACTTTGATCGCTACGTCGATCTTCGTGTGCAACTTACCGCGAAACACGTCGGCACTGGCCCCTCGACCGATGCGGGACATGACCTTCAAATGGGCAAAGTCAATGATGAACTTGCGGTGCATTTCGATGAACACGTGCAGCCCTTGCGCGGACGTAATTTCCGGAATAATGTTGGAACCGTCCCCGTTGTTCATGTGGGCTTGCAGCGAACACGCCCGCTCCCCCAGTCCGCGCCAGTGACTTGTGTCGGCCGTGAGCAACCACCACACAAAAAGGGGAAGAGCGGTGTCGTAGTACCCGGCAACCACAACAAACGTGGTGGCAACTTGGAGCAGTTCTGGCGCCGCGTGGCTTTGCCGATAAAGTTCATTGTACGTGACTGCGATGGCCTGAGCGCCAATGAAATACACGCAAAACACACGTAGCGACCACTTGCTCGCGCGAGAGCGAGGCTTTGTGAGCATCCACAGGTAGAAAATGCTAAGGCCAACGCGGAACGTTGTCTGAAGCAAGTAGGTTGACATGGTATCAATGGCGGAAACCTTGGCCACCACTTCAAGGATCACGGGAAACAACGACAGCACCAAGGCCATCCCGGTGGCACGCCACAACGCTTGGACCGACACGCTGTTTTGGTAGAAGTAAAGGATCACAAGGAGGAAGATGAACTGGCGGCCAGCATACACAGCTGCCAACGCGACGGCATCAAACAACCACTCAATGAAATCGAAGGTGAAAGTCGTCCACAGAAACGCGCTGTACATGCCCAATGCCACGAGCAACATCCACAACATGGGCTCGAAGGTGGGCAATATGACGTGGCGAGCTGCCACAACGTCGCCATCGTAGGCGCCGTGCCGCTTGAAACGGAGGTAAAGAACCAGTGCCAAGGTCAGGACGAACATGATCACGTACCCCACCGCGGCTTGTATTTGGATGGTGTGGAAGGCGTTTGCGAGGTACATCATCGCCACAGAGTCCGACGCGGGAATGGGAGACGTTGGATCGATAGACATGACGTGCACTTATTATGGAATAGCAGCTTTGCATTTCGAACCAAGATCGCCACCCTGTGTCTGAGAAAAGTGAGTTTGGAACGGCGGAGATTTGGACTTTTATTTGGAAACTGTGGACGAGATTACAGTAGTACCGTTGTATGAAAGGACACACACACCCGTTTCGACGGTTACCACGTAACGGCTGAAATGCATGTTCACGACATTGCAGTTCTCAAAGGTACCCAAAAAGTGTTTGGGTGGTAGCTTACATGGCTTCACGTAAATCCTTGGCACTGGTGCTCTAATCGGCATTACATCCAAGATCGCCACCCTGTGTCTGAGAAAAGTGAGTTTGGAACGGCGGAGATTTGGACTTTTATTTGGAAACTGTGGACGAGATTACAGTAGTACCGTTGTATGAAAGGACACACCCGTTTCGACGGTTACCACGTAACGGCTGAAATGCATGTTCACGACATTGCAGTTCTCAAAGGTACCCAAAAAGTGTTTGGGTGGTAGCTTACATGGCTTCACGTAAATCCTTGGCACTGGTGCTCTAATCGGCATTACATTGACGTCAGTGAATTACTAACTAGTATTGACAATGTGTAGCTGTGCAGTTTAACAAGGTTTGAATCCTCAGGTCATAGCATTCGTACAATCATCGAAGGGATCGTTGGAGCTTAGACACTAGCTTAAGATCATTCGTCAGGTTGTAGAAATATCACAATCAATCAATATTCACTACGCAGTGATGATGGCGAACAAGCAAGGTGTCGCCGTGATGGTGCTGGAGGTGGCAAACTCTGTGCTGTCCACGCTTTGATTTGGCAAGTTGGCAGTCTGCCTATCGGTGAAACAACTCTTCCCGTGCTATGGTCGGTTTGTTGTGATGGTCTTGCCCTAGCGTTCGACACGTACATCGCCCTGTATCGCCAAGCACAGATGTGCGAGCAATAATCACCGGCGTTTCTTCGTCTACGCGCGGTTCCGACTTGTCCTTGAGATCGTTTGGATGTGATTGTTCATGTCCAATCGATGTGTATCAAACAAGTATGTTGCCGACGCCGCAATTTCAAACGGCATGCAATGCTTCGCATGGTGAAAGCAACCGGCGTCCATGAGTGTGTTGGCCAAGCGCACGCCGCTTTGTTGCAAAAACGCATTACTTTATTCCACCAAGCACCCGACCAACTCGCTTCTACGCATGACCGGTGACTTTGCCTTTTTGTTGGACTTTTTTCAGCCACGTACGTGACACAGCCTGTCAGTCGAAACGCCCCCTGGTCGGCCAAGTCTTTGTGCAAGTCTTCGAGTACGGCCACCATCGCCTTCGTCGATGGACGAAACGATGCGTATGTATTCCACGCAATCCCTAATGAATCATGCAGCCCGGGTGCACCTCAGGGTCGATGGGTGGGCCGTTCAAGACCATTTGAAACACGTTCAAATGGTTTTGCTTTCTGTGGGGGTACACTTAGCTTGACCAGGATGGAGGATGCCACATCATAATTGCCAAGCTGTAAATGTCTGCCGATTCCGAGTGTGCATCATGCCTTGCTTACCTTCGATGACTTTCAGGGCATGTACTGGACGTTACCACGGAGAGTCATCTTGCGGTCGCTGCAGTGCAAGCCGGACGTTTTGGTTTCCATGCTTCGCGGTTCACCAAAGTCCGTCAGGTTGACAACGTCGTTGGAACCGAGCAAAAGTTGGCCGGCTTGATGCCTCGATGAATTAACGAGTGGAGGTGGGCTACTGCCTGCACTGCATCCATCATATAACACAGTTTGGAGCTCGACGTAGTCGTCGGCGGCATGGTGTTGCTTGGCGAGATGTACTCAAGGCCGCCGCGACACAGGTCGTACACCAGACAAATGGACCAAGGGCAGATGCAATGCCGTGAAACTGCACAATGTTGGGATGCTTGAGGGCGCACATAGCGCGGTTTCTATCGAGAACTCGACCATAACGGTCTCTGAGATTTCAGTGGGGAAGTATACTATGACCACTACAGGCGTGGCAGAGTGCAGGACTCCGCCGAACACGTTGGCCGACGCCCCGCTGCCAATTTTACGACGAAGCTCCAAATGAGCAAATGCAATGATGTCGTTGCGGTGCAGTTCCAAGACGATGTAGAGGCCCTGGACGGACACGATGTCTTGCATCCCTCGCCTCCAAGCAATGATGACCATCAAAGTCAAACGCTTGATCGCCCACGCCGCGCCAATACTACACTTGTATGTGTCGCCAATGAGAAGATGCCACACGAACAATGGCGTCACCGCGCCGAAGATGACACTTTGAAAGACTACGGCGGTGCTGCTGGCCGTGTCTTGGTTGTAAAATAGTGTTTGGAACACATACACAGCCCCAAAGTACACCAGCACGTACGCGTAGAATTCGCGCTGGGTGCGCAAGAGTCTGCGCGAACAAAGAGCCAAGTGAACCACGCAATATAGAGCCCGCGGGGATGTATTGGGCGACCAACTTGGTGGTCTCAGACACGACGAGTGCTCCATGGCTTTGCCATGGAGCACTCAACACCACAGTGCGAACCGAGGCCCGACGCGTCACACTTCGCTGTAGGATGAGCACCACCACGAGAAAATGAACGTAAACTACCGGCCTTGGGGAAGGAGCTACTTTACATAGATGGGGGCAAAACTTGTGGCGGAGGCAACGAAGGCAACGACGAAGAAGAGGATGTACAGGCCAGTAACAGCCGCTGTGACCCCATGAGCGACTGACTCAAACGCAGGCAAAATGATCTTTTGGGCGGCGTCGGCGTCACCGCATTACGCTGTCGAACGATTCCGACGCAAATGCCGAATCAGAGCCAACGACATCAAGCACATGGCCCCATTTGTGAAGCAGTGCACAAGTTGAAGTCTTTTGTACTGTAGCTTTGGTTGAATGTCTTTGCGACGTAGCCGTCGCTAGAACTAACACTGACAACGATGCGTTTTAAGAATGCTTCGACGGCACTCTGACGTGGTTCCAAGGTCAGGTCACGTCCAGTTGGTATGCGAACCCAATTTCAATCCCGTTGGTCCATTCGTAGCCGTTGAGGTAGCCTTTCCTTTGGACCGCAAATTACGTTCGTACTATGCCATATTGCGAAATTCGGAATTCTGCGGTGCAAAACAAAAACCAGACGTGCTCTAGGTTTGCTGGGGAATCTGGATGTCTGTTGAGGGAAACGTCGTGTCGATGTATCCAAGTAGAGGGGACAACAATGTAAACGCAAATGAGTGGCCTTTTGCATGCTCTAGCCAGGTACTGAATGCTCATCGATTTGCACGGGCATTACATGTTGCATATGATTATCAAGGGTACTATTAGAGTAAGCGGGTTTAACAGTAAACTGCATTTCATTCGTTGCACACATGTCCCTAGCAATTTGACTGTGCATTCAATCGATATCTTGGATTGCCTGAGGTCAAAGTTCTGGGTTGGCCTGGTGGGTGCTTTTCAGTTGCTGGATTTTATTATTGGGTACCGGTAGGTAAAATGACTGGACGTCAATATCCTGAAATTTTAGACATTCATGACACCTTTCAACAATCAGTAGGATGAGCGCAGTACAGTTCAGTTGCCTCAACGAAGTGCGGTGTGTACTACATCAATATTAAATGGTTCAAATTTCTTTAGTCAGCATCAGAATCTTCGTAACGTTAGTCGTGCTCAGTGCCATGCAGTAAACTCGTACAATAAATGCAAGGGAAGGGTGTTGTGTGTGATAGTGAACCTTACAGCGGTGCCATTGGAAACTTAATTTACTAGGAATGGTCACAATGCTACCATGTGAAGCTTCATTGATACCATTCGACTTAGTAGCACTGGATTCGTACTGTTATTAGTGAATGTTGCGATCAGTCAAACGATACGACTGGTCAACTTAGAAAACATAGCTCTTTCTAAGACACTTATCATTCATCACACTGGTCAAATGACTACTACTACTAGGCCATGTGCATGGTCAAAGTTCGTGTGCCAGTTGCATTCGAACTGGTGGTGGAGGGGTAGCCCACAAAGTCCATGTCGCCACCAGTTTGGTTGAGTAAATTCACAGCCAACGCCATTTGGTTGTCGTCCTTGCGGTTTCGGAAGAACTTTTTCCGCAAGCCCTTGGGTTTGACGTGACCTTGACCAAGCTTCCGACAGGCACATGTGGCATTCACATCACCGAGAATGGATGTGCCGACGTACCCCCCGCTACCATCGCCCAAGGTGCTACCACCGGCGGCAGTCATTGTGTCTTCCAGTGGCTCGTTCATTTCCAGCTGGTAGCTGTCAAACGTATACGTGGCCGTGACCGAGTTTTCAAACGGCTGGTTGTGCTTGGAGTGGTGCAAACATCCGGCATCCATGAGCGAATTGCCAAAGCGAACGGCTTCTTCAATCTCAAACGCATAGCCGTGATCAATGAAACACTGCACGAGCGCCACCCCCGAGAAGGTCGACATTGAAATGGCAGATTTCTTGGGCTTTAACGTGGCCAGATAGGACACCACGCCCGACAACTCGTGAGACACTTGGCCGCACATGTCCTCCTGCATGTCTTCGAGCACGGCCACGACCATTTTCGCCGACGGACGGAAGATCGGGTCCGAGTTCCAGCAATTTTCAAGCAAATCTTGTAGCGTTTGGGGGATTTCCGGGTCGATGGGGGGGCGCTGGCCGTCCAACACCATGCGAAAGATGTTGAGGTGATTTTGGTTGCTGTTGGGGAACTTTTCTCGCCCGGGGTGGAGGATGTCCCACAACGTGATGGCCAGGCTGTAGATGTCCGCCGTCTCCGTGTACAAAGCCTGGCCTTGCTTGCCATCGATGATCTCGGGGGCCATGTAGTCGACAGTACCCCGTACTGTCATCGCCCGATTGTCGTTGGCAATGTCTTCGATCGTGAACGCCATGCTGCGAGACTCGCCAAAGTCGGTCAGCTTGACCACGTTGGATGCATCCAGGAGGAAGTTGGCGGGCTTGATGTCTCGATGGATAAAGGGTGGGGAAAAACTGTGGAGGTACGCGACTGCTCTGGCGGCATCCAGCATGTAACACAGCTTGGGCCACAGGGGCTCCATGTGATCTGCCCGAGATTTGCGCAGCGCATCTTCGAGGCTGCCGCGACACAGTTCGTAAATCAAACAAATGGATGGAGGGCAGATGCACATGCCGTGAAATAGCACAATGTTGGGGTGTTTTAGGGCTGTGCAGAGGGCGGCTTCTTGGGAGAACTCCAAGATCGTCGACTCGGAGATTTCCGACGGCGAGTACACCTTGACTGCAACTTGTTTCGTCGAGTGGAGGACCCCGCGGTACACATTCGCCGACGCCCCGGACGCCATCTGACGTTGGATATCCAGGTGAGAAAAGTCCACGACATCCTTGCGATGCATCTCCAACATCACATGGAGCCCCTGCGCCGACACGATTTCCTGCATGCCTTGGTTCTCACGAAAGAGTTGCTGGAAGTCACAAGCGCGGTCGCTGAGTCCGCGCCAGTGCTGGGTGTCGGCCTTGAGGAGCCGCCACACAAAGAAGGGTCCAAACGTAGCCCACACGACCGCGCAAAACACGAGGATCATACCGTTCTGGTAGTCCTTTTCGTAGAAACAGAACGTGTACACGTACACAATGATGTAGTAGATGAGGGCAAATAAGCACAGCTCTTGTTGTGTGCGGACACTCGCCCGGGGCATGGGCCGGAAGAAGAGGTACGCAAATCCCCCCATAAGTATGGTGCGGTACGCGGCCACGACCACGAACTGCAGGAGCTGGTCTTGGCTGGTCACGTCGAGCAAATGCACGACGATGACAGGAACGACGGCCATGACGAGGGCTATGAGCACGGACCGGACGAGGGCTGGTCGAGACACACTTCGCTGAAGGAGGAACGCCACTATGAGGTACAGGATGAACTGCCGGCCTTGGACCAGCAGCTCGCCAAACCAACGGTTTGTGATGGGTTTAGTGTAGCCGAAGATGGTTGCTACGAAAAAGTACGTCGTGTAGATGCCCGTGGAGCACGCAATAACCCAAAAGAGGGGCTCAAACGACGGCAGGATGACTTTGTTGGCCGCGATCACGTCGCCTTTGAACGCAGACGTGCGGCTCCGACGCAGGTAGATGATCAGCGCCATCGTGAGAAAGAACATGAAGGCATACGTAAGCGAGTACACAATTTGCAGGATTTGGTACTGTTCGTACAGAAATATGTTCTGTTGTATTGCAAATTGCTGTTGGGGCGACAACGTGGGCTTTGCCCCGGGGAGGACGGTAACATTCGTGACAGTACCATTGATCGTGGTTGTGGAAGTGGTGGTATTCATGATGTCTGCCAAGGTCTGTGAACCGGCCAAGTTGTCAAATGAGCTCGTCCTTCAAAGTTTGCGATGTTGATATTTTGTGCCTGTTGGATATGATGGGGTCAAGTCAGGATCGCGAGGGATTGAGACAATCAACCCTGTAACGTTATCATGAGATTCTTGAACCATCGAATCGAATTGTCCCTAAACGTCGTTGGTTCCCAAAGCAGTACACTCTGTTTTGTTTTTCGGAGATCCCCCTATCGCCTTTTCCTAGAACACGTTCCAAGGCTCCTTATCTTTCCAATCTCCGTCGACGTGCAAAGCAGACACCAAAATGCTGAGAATGCCCTGCCATCAATTCCGTCCCCCAAGAAGTCTACATGTAGTCCAGGGGCTAGGTTCTTTCTCGCCTGGGCACTAAAGAAGGAGTTCTTTGGCCCCAGATATCTCGTGGTCAACTACAGTTGGGTACATCTCAAACTTTCTGAAACGTTGTGGGCATTTCAGAGGGAGCGAATATATATATATAATATACCCTTTCATCTCTTTCAACACTTCGTCCCTCGGCACATATAATAGACCTGCATTCCACCATATAAATTACTCGTCGTATCTACATCGGTTCCTGTGTGCTGCTACCGACATACAACGCATGGTCGTGGAGCAATTCCACCGTGAGCAAGTTGTCCTCGTGCGCTCGTTTCTTTTTAAAGTCCCTGACGAGCGAGTTCCGCCGGCGCCGCCGTCGCATGCCCTGGGCGTATTGTTTGCAGAAACAACCAGTCCGAACGCCTCCCCCCAGGCTAGAAGTACTCTGTGGTTCTGTCGATCGCGACGAACAACTAGCCACTGACGTCGCGCTCATTCGCGAGGACGTAGCATACATGGGTTCCCAGAGGTACCCCCCGTCGGGCACGAACGCCGCCGCGTGCTTGGCGTCATGCAGATACCCCATGTCTAGCAGGGCGTTGCCGATACGAAGGGCTTCGCGAGTGTCTCCAGCCACTTGGAGCCGTACGAGGTTTCGAACAATGTGTTGACCATTGACCACGGCAACACCTTGACGATGGCCGGTAGTGGATGTGGTGAAACTTTTGCACGACAAGTGGAGCGATTGAACGATGGGAAAACATTCATCCTCGAGCAAGCGTTCGAGGTGCTCGACGAGGTCGACGGCGGACGGACGGAGGTCGGGATCGCCGTGCCACGCCAGTTGCATCAGCTCTTGCAGCGCAGGGGACACGTCCGGCCGGATCGACGGCCGTGTGCCGTTAAGCACGACTCGGAACAGATGCATGTGGTTCTGGCCAGGGTACTTGGTCGCGTGGGGGTGACAAATGTCCCAGAACGTCATGGCCAAGCTGAACACGTCCGCGCGTGTGTTGTACGTGGCGTGGCCTTGCTTGCCATCAATCACTTCCGGCGCCATGTACTCAACGGTGCCGCGGACCGTCATGCGCCGCATGCGATCTTGTTCTTGGGCCAGGCGCGACTCGCCAAAGTCGGTCAGCTTGACGCGGTTGTGGTGTTTGTCGAGGAGAAAGTTGGATGGTTTGATGTCACGATGAAGCACGGACGGCGAGAAGCTGTGCAGGTACGCTACGGCCCTGGCGGCGTCGAGCATATAGCAAAGCTGGGCGACGGGGTGAAGGCCTCGGGTTTGCTGGGAAGCGAGGAGGTCGGCGAGCGACCCATGGCACAGCTCGGACACGAGGCAGATCGTTGGGGGCGACACGCACAGCCCGTAGAACGACGTGATGTTTGGGTGGTCGAGGATGGCCCACACGGCCGCCTCCTGGGAGAATGCTTCCACGGTGGCCTCTGAAATCTCGGGCGGCGAGTACACTTTGATGGCCACTGGTTCGTTGGCGTGCAGTGTGCCTTGGTACACCTCGGCGCTGGCCCCGCGGCCGATTCTCGAGGCGAAATCGAGGTGGGCGAAGTCCAAAAGGTCGTGCCGGTGCATCTCGAGCAACACATGCAGACCTTTCGATGACAACACTTCTTGGATCGACTGGTGCCCAATGAGCATGCGCTGGCCGAGACCGCGCCAGTAGTGCGTGTCTGCCTTGAGCAGTCGCCACTCGAAGATGGGGGCTAGAGTCATCCAGACACATGACGCTACGGTGACGTACGTGGCGGTGGCCACGGCGTTGTCGAAGGCGAGCTGGGCCGCGACGAAGAGAAGACAGTAGTTGGTGAATGCAAACGCGCTGAATTCACGGATAGCTGAGGCGGAAGCCCGGTCCACGGGCCTGATCAGCTGATGTAAGAAGAAACCACAGAGGAGGACCCGGACGGCGGAGGTGCCAATGTACCGCGCGAGGCGGATATGATGCGGCATGACGAACAAGCCAAGCACAGCCGTGAGTAAGACGGGAGCAGTCACAGCCGTTACGGAGAGGATGGCCGTTCGGACTACCGCCGGCATGGACACGCTCTTTTGATGAAGGAAAAGTCCGACAAAGAGAACACTGAACTGCTGGCCTTGGGACGCCGCTTCGCTGACAATGGAGAACGGGAGGAGAGGCCACCTGAACGACTGGATAAGCACACACATGACAAAAAACACGAACGAGACAGTGCCAAACACCCATAGCATGGGCTCGAAGGGAGGGAGGATAACCTTCAGAGCTGCACGAGCACTTCCTCGAAGCGCCGTCGAACGCTGCTTGCGGAGATACCATATCAGGGCGGCCCATAGGAGAGTCATTGTTCCATATTCGATCGTGTATACAAGCGGCAACAAATCAAAATACATGGCACCATGGAGGAGGGACTCATGTGACCAGCCACCCGACGAAGACTCGTTCATGCCTGTCGATTAGTCGGGAGAGCCGACCGGTGTGACACGGACGCGATGTATTTCGAAACTTGAAGATGACAGCAATAAGATCTGGTCGGACGACGATGACGACGACGACAAACGTGACCAGGACATCATGCACATGACCAAAAATATGCAACTACTCACTACCACAGTGAGAAGGAGACAGGTTATTTCATCCTAGTCTTCACTACCAATGAACATGCAAAGGAGAATGAATGGCTTGAAATGGTGCAGATGTGTCAAGGTGAGGAAACGACTGAGGACGAGAACGGCAGTCGTTGGATTAGTGACAACCTGTCGCGGGGCAAAGAAGGAGCGGTTCAGGCCAACCCAAGTCGTCAAGAGGACTTGGGATTCTCAATTGCTTTTGTCTTCATGACGAGTACATATGTCGGCAAAAGGGTCTCCTCCGTGTTATCGAGCAAGCCCCCCATGCAGCATACAGCGGTAGCATTAGGAATCTCATCAACCAGACTGCTTGGCTCAGGCAGGAGATACGCGGTTGTTCCACGAGTGCTTCTCTCGTCCAGGGTCTCAACTGCTAATGCAACCCAAGAAAGCAGTATTCGAGGAAGACATTTCACTAGAAGTAACCAACATGATTTTGGATGTTGGGTTTTGCGCCCCTCCAAGATCGCGTAACGTTAAAAATAGATGCGGGTGGGTCGAGGACGAGATCGAATAATAATACCCTACATGAATACAAAACCCAGGCTAATATAATTCGAGAAGCGAAAGAAGCATGGGCGGGTTGAGTGACGGACGCAGCCCACGCAACTTGGACATGTCAAGAGTGCACGAGGGTGACCAATCGCTGAGTGAGATATCTTTAGTGGACCAATCAACTGTCTCCATCCAGGGCATACGGTGACCTGATTGGCCCATCTGAAATAATCTATAAATAGATTCCAGCATGGAAAGCTACCATTTTGAATGCCTCCACACTTCGTCGACGCATTTGCGTTTTCTTTGCGTGAAAGCATGGCGACTATGGCGAGGTAACGTGCGCCAGATTTACAGTCTACGGATGTGTGTGTGTGTGATGGAATCTTCCTGTAGACCGTCTCCGAAGCGACGTGTGTCCAAGGCAGGCTTCGAAGATGCTGCCGCCATGCACCAGTTCTTGGATAACTTCAGCGGTACCAACAGTCCCAAGCGCCACAACGTTGGCAGTATGTCATACGACGACCCACCACCGTTTCCCAAAAGCGTGAGTTTGCTTCGACAAGGTTAGTCGTCGTCGACGGTGGTGATGTGGTGGATATCTCAAGTCATACGACCTGTTTCTACTGTAGCAGCGCCGTTCAAGATTCTCATTCCCGAACATACCCCCCTGTCGTGCGAGAAGAGCAGCTTAGACGCATTGTTCCCAGCAGGACTAACTCCAAAGCATGACATGCGAGTGGAAAGTGGTGGACATACCAACAAGTCTCTTTCCACCGCCGACGGTTTCTTTGCCATTTCCACTGGACTCACCCCCAAACCCCACCGACACAGCAATCAGTCTCCTAGCACCAGTCCTCGGTCTACTACGTCGAGCGACAGCGCTGGACCCCAGGATTCGGCGCAAGCGTGCGATTTTGATGACTTGAGCGACGACGGCTTCGACTTTCTCACACCATCCCCCGAGCTGCAGGGACCCTCCTCAGTCGACTTTTCAACGGAGTTGGATACAATTAACAACAACTACAACGCAGCACTATGCACTCCCACGCCAATCCTGGAAATGTACAGCGGCAGCATGGACGCGACGGTGGCCATGATGGCTGCGGGGTACCCACGGCCCATGCTGATGAGTCACCAACAAAACCCCCATCACCACCAACTCACCCCCCATCAACTACAGCACTTGCATCACCACCACCAGCAGCAACAACAACACCAGCAACATCTACATCATCCTTCGTCGGTCGCGGCCGGATATCCGCAACTGTTTGACCTGTCGTCGTCGACCAGTTTGATGATGGACAAGGGCGGCCAAAACATGGTGCATCCTGGCAGCTGGTGTGAAAAAGAAGACAAGTTGCTACGAAAGTCGGTCAAGAACTTGGGCACAAAGAACTGGAAGCAGGTTGCGATGGTGCTTGGCACGGGCAAGTCGGACATGCAGTGCCTCCACCGGTGGAACAAGGTGCTCAAGCCGGGGCTGCTGAAAGGCGCGTGGAGTGCCGAGGAGGACGACGTCCTTCGCACGCTCATGACCAAGTTCGGCGTCGGCAACATTCGGTGGGCCGACGTGGCGAATCACATTCAAGGGCGGACGGGGAAGCAGTGCCGCGAGCGATGGCGCAACTGCCTCAGCCCTGACATCAACAAGGGCGAATGGACGCACTCGGAGGACGAAGTCATGTTTCGAGCGCAGCAGACCATGGGCAACCGATGGAGTGAAATAGCCAAGCTCTTGCCCGGGCGCACGGAAAACGCCATAAAAAATCGATGGAATTCCAGCGCCCGGAAAAACTGGTTTTCAAAGCAGGCGGGGATGCCAACGGGGCATCATCACGACGGCATGGGCGGGGAGGATGCGGTGGAAGTCAAGTCGGAGAGCGCCATGAGTCACTTTAACTTGGGCGACATGGACAAAGCCATCGTCCAACACAACCGCCACCGGTCCCGCAGCTACTCGGAAGACAGCAGCCTCTCGGTAGAGGACAGCTGCACCAGCAGCACCATCGACGACCTGGACTTGGTCGAAGACGACAGCTTTCCGTCCACGTTTCTGGACCAGCTAAGTCCGTCCAAGGATCTGCTGGACGACGACCTGAGCCTACTCTTCGACACGGTGGCTAAAGACTTTGAGACCATCACTGCGTAACAACCCAACTACTAGTACTAGTACCACTCGCCGTTAACATAAAAGTTTGATTAATTTCGTCCTTGTTATGCGTTGTGGGGCGGCAACAAGGACAGTTGCGTGACGTCGTTCCGTCGTGTTTCGGTGGCATCTTGACCCCCAAAGAACAGCAGCGACTTGTCTGCTGTGAGAACCCCCACGTGCCCAACGCGCTCCATGCCGTTTGAGTCGACCTCGACCCGACGCCATTCCCACGATTCTAACATTGGGATGAGATGGCTGAAGTTGTTTTGAGTTTAGGGGTACATACCAGTGTCCAACGCAAAGACATCGCCAAACAACTGCACTTTGTCGGCATGCTAATGAGAAACCACAAGTAAACAAACAAGATTCTTCATAGAGTACTCATGCGAAGATATGTGGCTAGGTAGTAGGTACTTAGGTAGGTACCTGAGGGTCCCATCCGCCATACACGACAATCGTGCGGTGGTCCATCGTAATCGTGACTTGGCCGGTGCGCGCGGTCGGGCCAGTGCCCACCACACAAGGATTGAACCAGCTCCACGACGACGATCCTGTTGAGAGATTGGATATGAGTTTGCATACAACAACGCCATATCAAGTTCGTGAACTCTACCATCATCTTGGAGGGTTCGGTCAAGGACATGCACGGAATCGTAGCTCTTCTTGGCGTCGTTGCCGCCGAATATGACGACGCGGTTGGGTCCCACGGCCACGGCGCTGTGGTATGTACGCGACGTCGGCGCTTTGCCGTTCACTTTGACATTGGTCCAGTTCCACGTGTCTAACGCAATATGTGACAAAGTTGAAGCAACAAAGGGGCAGGTTGATGACATCTATCACGTACTCGTGTCGAGGAGGTGCACGGTGCTCGGACGGTTGCGGCCGCGGCTCCCGCCAAACACAACCACGTCCGACCCTAACACAGTGCACGAGTGGCCGCTTCGAGCCAGGGGGGGCGTGCCGCTCACCGCGGGGGGGTACCACAGAAAGCACTCTAATAATCTCCTTGATGAGAGGACATTTCAGGGAGGATAGAAGATGCCAAACCTGTATCAAGAACCATGAGATCCGAGAGGGATTCGTGGCTGCCGTCCATCACACGCTCGCCGCCAAACACGAGCATGAGGTTCTTCCCAGGAACATACACGGACGCATGAAACGACCGGGGAATGCTCTCGCAGTTGAGCGGGCACGACCACTCGGCCTTTACGACGTCGTACACAAACAGGTCGGACAGAGTCGACTCGTCGTCCCCTTCACCTCCGTACACCACCACGCGCTGGTTGGACACCATCGTAGCGGTGCAGCCCCATCGCTGGCTGGGGGCCACTCCCTTCGGTTCCAGGACCTTCCACGTGCCTAAGTCGACAAATATAGTCATATGCTGTGAAAAGAGTATGAACACACCTGCACGAAGAGGGGAGTAGGGCGCTGTGGCCACCGATGGCGAGTTGGGCGACACGTCGATCACGCTGTCTGGGGTGGACGGAACGTCGTCTTGAGTGGAGGATGAGATGATGGAGTCGCACGCCTTGGGAGCGAAGAAGTTGAGCTTGGTGGTAGGAGGAGGTGCAGCCTTGGCTGTCGTCTTTTTCGCTTTCGGCTCCTTTTTCGCGGCTGTCTTGGCGGTTCCTACTTTGGTTGGCTTCTTGGTAGTCGTAATGTCAACGGGTGGATCCAATTGCTTGAGGGGCGCGCGCTTTGTTTCTGCGACAACAGGCGGCTGGGTGGGCTTGTTGACACTAGCTTCCCGCTGCGTCAAGAGCAGCTCCAGTTCGTCTTCGGAGCCGTAGATGTTCTCCTTTTCGCTTTCGAGAAACTGAATAGTTTTGGTTAAGTTGGGTTGTTGCAGCTGCTTGTCGTCGGGACTGATGACTTGGTCCACCTTCTGGCGTTTGACGTCTTCGTACACCGTCACAGGCGTCACATTGTCCACGGCCACGGACGCCGTGCGTTTCTTGCCTTCGGCAAACTTGGGAGCCACTGGCGTCAAGAACAAGTCGACCGACGACGGCGTGTGCTGCTGTGGCGGCGCGACAGCAGGCTTCGTCAACGCAAACTTGCCTGTAAAGTTGGTGCACTCCACGATGAGCTTACCGCTTTCAAAGAAGAAGCGCAGCCCGTCCACAGTGGGCACGTCCACATCCACACCTAGACATGTCGCCATGAGTTCAAGGAGTCCAAGGCTTTCTCCTCCTACGGCATCTCGTACCTTCATACGAGATCAGTGGCATGGTCGGTATGTTTTGAAATGGCAGGTAGGTCACTTTGCCGCACAAACCAAATTTCCCGCCAGCCTGTATCCGGATAGTATATCCGGATTGGCTGCCGCGACAGCTTTACCGCCGGTTCTTGCTTCGAAGTACTACGTAGTACTCCGGAGTAGTAATAAGTTAGTACTATTAATAGTAAGTACTTCACTCGATATACAGTAAATGGGATAACGTTATGGTACTACATGTATGAGCGTAGGACCATGCTGCGACCGTGACATGGTGTAACTACATGCCAAGTGGCCAAGTGGTAGTGACTGGTGGCGAAAGCAAACGTTATCCAACGTGTGGCCGGGTTCTAAATTTTGTGAAACCGTGGATTGGATCTTCGATCAAAAGGTTGCCCAAATTTTGGTAATCAAGTCATCGCTTCTTGCATGGCGTCGGCAACACAGGAGCAGCGGCACCATGTTCTCTCGAACGGAATGCTCATGTCCGGTGCGCTTCCAACCATTGGCCATTCTCGGAGTTGGGCCGCAACCCAAAACCCGTCGGCAGCGGACAACGACACGGACAGCAAAGCCGACGAAGCGTGGGAAAACGATTTCAATTTCGACGTGTTGCCCGAGACATCGGCGCCGCCTCCACGACGAGATGGCCCAATGGACGTAGCCACGCGGGTCAAGGGCGAGCGGTTAGCGCTCAACTTTCGGTTGGTGGATATCGTCGGGAGGGCGTACGAGGCAATAAACGGTATACCACACTCGAAATTGAACTCTTAGCCTCATGTGTCCATTCACCTGCAGAGCTCGCGGACGAAGAAATCAAACTCAAGGAAGTGTTCAGCCAATTCAAAGGCCAACACAGCGTCAACGTGGACGACGACAACGATAGCATCGCAGCTTGGATGGTTCGTAGCCTTCCCGACCCAGTTGTCATCTGAAAAATTCTAGGACCAAGTGCTGCAAGTACTCGCCGACTGCTGCTGTGTACATGCGGTTGGCCCCCACGAGCAGCCCTTGAACACTATCGACCGGTTGGACGAAGCTTCGCGTCTCGTCGTTCAGACCACCAATGAACTAACTACGACCCCCCAGATTCCACGGCACATGGTTATGATTGTGCAGTTGTGGCTCCACGTTGAAACGTACGCGCTATCTCTGGACAAGGACTATCCGGCCATGGTGTCAGCTATAGCCAACGCAGTGCTTCAAATGAAACGAATGGACAGAGACTCGCACAACAACCCCCACTTTGGCCTCACCGTGGTAGCGCTCAACGAAATGCACGAGGCGGCGTCGCGGTCTTGTGTTGGCATCTCCCCCAAGAAACAAGCATCGCATCTGCCAAAGTACCGCTCCGAGACATCTTTCGGTCCTCCGTCCACCAAGTTGACCCACCAGGTGGAAACGTTGCTGGTGTTGCGTCTTGCACTTCTCAGTGTCGTCCTCACATCATACAAGCACGACAAACGTCATCGTCGCTTGTGTTGGCCAGTCGTGTCTAGCTTGACATTGTGCTCTGCCCATATTCTGTCGGAGTCGTTTGACATCCCCCTCGCCATGGATTATGCGTGCCTGGCCAGCAAACTGGCTGCGTACCTGACGTTGGACGACTCCATGTTAAGCGCCGCCAAAGCCTTGCAGTGTCAGGCGCAGACGAGTCTGCAATCGCTTCAGCACGACAAGGACTGGGCCGACTTTGACGAGCACTACGAACACTCCCAGCGCATGTTTTCCATCAATTGGACGGGTCATCTCACTCCAAAGGACTGCCTCGTGACCAAAATTGGGTCCCCCACAAGTCAAGGCGACCCCGTCGGTCATGATGGCGACTCGGAAAACAGCTCGGATTGGGACGTTGACGAAGTCAAAATGCCCCACCTATGCTCTGGCATGTTGCAACAGCCAACCGGGAGCGCGTCGTCGTTGGCTTCAGTTCTGAACCTGCGGGATCTGTTTGTGCCTATGAAAGCGCACGCCCCGACGTCCTCTTTTCCAGCGATGCTCACCCAATCGATGGAACACCCGGCTCCGGACACGACGCCGCCGCTGCCGCCGCCATCGTCCCCGTACTCGAGGACGTTTGCTGCGTTTGAAACGGGAAATCTCCTCAGCAACTCGTTCCAATCCACGCGGTCCATGGACCAATGGCTGCGCGACCTGCCGTCCGACAACTCGACGGCGCGTCGCCGTCCCCACGAGTCGCCCCATCCCGACGACGCCGCCGCCGTCCACCACTTGACGACCACCCCTAAATTCACACAAGAGTGGGTCGACATGTATGAATCGTCGTGCCGGCACTTTGTTGTGTCTGCTCCAGACGCGTGCTTCCAACTGGTCCACACGTTCTTCTCCGACGTCGCCACGTACTTGGTCCATCCTTCTGGTGACAAAACAGTAACCTCGTCCACGTCCGCTGTCTTGGACGCCGGGTTGCGGTTGTGCACGCTGGTGGGCGAGTTCTTACCTCCCCAGTCTGTGCACACATACCTGTCGCTTCTGCAGTCGTGTGACGCTGGAGTATTCGTGCATCTCCGATGTACGCTGGTCGACCTCGAATTGCGTGTTCACCACGCGTTGGTCATCTACGAAGATGCCCTGGACTCGTCCGATGTATGGAAAACGTCATTGTGGGGCGACCTCCGCGACGCATCCAGTCGATTGCACTCTACAAAGCTGGAGACTCTGACAATATCGCAGAACGACAACAACGAGGATGCTCCGATGTGTGAAGTGCTGGAGCTGAGCATGCAAGTGTTATTGATAGCCCACTGTTTGAACTGTGGCATCTCGCCTCTGACCATGAAGCGCATATCAAAAGCCTGTCCAATTCTCACAAGTGCCGTCGACGGTTTCGACGACGACAACCACCTTGACAGACTGGTGGCAGTCTTGGATATCGTGCGGCACTTTGCCACCCATCCGCTGGCGGCGTCCGCGGAGGGCACGTGGCACCGCCTCAAGCTCGTGTATCCACTGCTGCCGCTGACGTCGCCCGTGCGAGTTCGCGCTGGCGTGGCCATGGGCATGACAATGCTAGTCCAGGACGACGTCCACGCTGCCGAGAGCATCGTGTACGAGTCCATCTACGTCTTACACACGCACTTCACATTGCACTCGATGACGGGGATCACCGCCTTGACCTTGTTTGGGGACGCGCTCTTGGCGGTGCAAAAGGTCGAGTTTGCCACGGCCGCGTTTGAAAGCGCGTGCCACATTGCCCAGCTGGTTGGCGCCACTTTGTCTGTCGTCGACCTCGAGCGGAAGCTAGCGGTGCTGTGCAGCGATCACGGCGATATCGACCGAAGCCTTCGGTACTACAAGCGCATTCGAGCTCGGAGTTTGACAAAGCGGATGTGGTTTGAGTACGCCTACATCTCGGTGGCCATGGCCTGCCTCGTCATGGACAGGGGCGAATACGCCACCGCGGCGCTAGACATCCATCCCATCTTGCAGCAGATGCAACTGCTGGCGCCGTACGAGGCGGACGTGGTCACGGAATGTCAAGTGCTCGCGATTCGGTTGAGCATTTGCCATTTAAAACTGCACTGCCCGCATCGCGCCATCTCGACGCTGGAGCTTTGCCTCCAGCACTTTCAACCCAAGGGAGCTAAACATGTCGTGGTGCTGATGTGGCTAGCCAAAGGCTATTACAAGTCAAGTCAGTTTGGTCACTGCGACGTCACGTTGAAAACGATTGCTAAACTACGCAAAGATTACAAGACTAACCACTACACCAGTGTTCAATTAGGCGGGTCGTTTGCCAAGCTACCGCAGCCCCTCCAGTATTCAATAACGTTAGAGAGGACGCCCCCTCACGACACGTCGTCGGATTTGTACCCACTGTACACAAAAGTAGCGTTGAAGCGCAACGACTTTGACCTCGCGGCGCATTACTCGGCGTTGTCGATCGTGTACTTGGAGCTCCAGCCACCCCCCGTGGCTGCGACCACGTTGCTCCAGCTAGCGCATGCCTACTACCTCCGAGGCAAAGTGCTGCAAGCCGCCGCGGCCGCCCCGTGGCGGTTTCCCATGAAACTGCAGAGTTTAGACTGCGAGTACCTTGTGTCCACTAAAGCCGCGAACAGGGGGCTCTATCGACGAAAGAGCTCTGCGCTTGTACGCGAACGGGTGCTCGTATCACTGGATGAATGTGCGTTGTTGTATCGTAATACTTTTGGTGGTAGAATTCATGTTGTTCTGTAGGCATGTACCACAGCCTGCGCGCGTTTCACCACAGCTACGAACTGTTCCATGGCCAAACCGACACTGTGGGCATGATGAAGGCGGCGAGTGGTCTCTCGGCAGTGTACTTACACAAAGTGTTTCTTCCCCATATGATATTGCAGCGACCCCTCGACCAACTCATGAAGTTCTCGCTCGCCCGTCGACCGTCTTCAGCGTCTGTTTCGTCGCACGACATCAAGACGAGTAGCTGTGTCGAGTTCGAATTTGCACTGGCCGACATTGAAACCCCGACCAAGTTTGTGTGGGACTCGAGTGTCGTGGCAACGGACCCTCGGTTGTACATAGACGCATGCCTCAACATGAGCCAGCTGCACTGCCTGCGAGGCCTTGGACCTGACGCCCTGGGCTTCTGGTACGAGGCTCGCGACGTGTTTCTCAGCTGCGTGCTGTGTCCGTCGGGGGCGTCCATGCAGCGATCCTTGTCTCGGCTCGTCGAAACGCTGCTGACGTTTGACAAGTCGGTCGTAAACGAGAATGTAGTGCTGTTGGAGCTTGTGGCGACGCCGTGGACATCGTGGCGGCATGCCACGTGTTTGAAGAAGACTGGGTGGCGCAAGTGTGCCAGGATAGCAGAGACGAGCACGAGTTACCAGGCCAAGGTGCTGCGCGAGAAGCAACCGAAAGGACCAAGCCACCAGCGCCACAAGTCGGACACGCTCGAGTTGTGTACGACAAGGCACACGAATGGACCAACGATGGGGATCAGCGTCGGAGGCAGTGCTAGGTCCCTGTCAACCCCTCCTTCCCCTGGGCGAGCCCCAGACATGCCAAGAACGGCGACCCCCGCCTTGAAAACGGTGAGCTTGTTGGACATAACAATCACACTGCGCGATTCAATACACCCCTTCGACTTTTGCGAGTGTTTAGTGGTGTGACTTTGGAGTTTTATGGTAGGATGGAGGCACCGAAAACGATCCACGTCCAACGGCGACGAATGTGGAAGTGCACATTCATCACGGCTTTGCCAGGCTAAAGCACCACCGAGACATGCAACGCAACGGCAAAGTGCCCCAAGATGCCCTCAAGACAGACGCAACGTGCCGCCGCTTCCTGCGCCAGATTTGGGACCACATGTCCGTGTTCCGAGGCGGGTGCTCGCTGTCCCTGTGGCTGTCGTCGGTCGGGTATGACAAGGACACCATGTCCACGGTGGTGTACGTGTTGGAGGTGGCCCCGGCGTTGATCGTGGCCAGTGTGGGGCTGGCCACGGGGATTTGCGACTGGAAATTCATTCAACAGAATCAAGTCACGTTGGTCTCTGCCGTCCCATCAACGTCCTCCGTCCCGCATCCCCCTATTCTTCGGCGCTTCCGCATCAATGAAACCAAAGCGCTGTCGTCACCACTATCGGCGTCCGTGGTGCCGCTTTTGTTTACGTGTTCGTCTTCCAGTGTAACTACCCAGCACAAGCAACCCCATCGAGATGCTTTTCACATGTTTGGCCGCGAATTCACGAGCTGCCTGTCGTTGATACACTCGGGCCTCGACGGAACACTCGAAGCAACCGACCGTCCGTCACACGACCAAGATCGTCACATTGTTGGTGGTGCGGTCGTGCACTACTCGCTCGTCTGCAGCCCGTCGTTGCAGAGCTTGCCTTGGGAATGCATGCCTGGGGTGGCCATGGTGCGTCGACCATCCGCGTTTCTCACAGACACACCACAGCCTGCCACGTCATTGCCCAGAGACCATCCAATCACGTTTCGCATCTGCCGGGTCAAATCACCTCGGCACGAGCACTCGACTACCATCGAAACGTTGTCGCCGTGGTGGACTGTGCTCGGGTATCCTTCGGAAGTAACGCTGTCACACAAAAAGGTCAAGTTCTCCAACCAAATCAAGGTCGTTCCCAAGGTGCAGTCCTCCCAATGGGACGACCTTCATCATGCGACTGGAGGAACCGAGGTCGAGATCGTGCTGGGTTCCTTTATAGAACTGAACGCGAACCCGCTCCTTTGCCGCCCCACGTCCACACGCCTCTACATCTTTGCGCCACCAATGTACTTGCCCCTCTTGGCCAAAGCCACGCTGAAGTCGCTGCCACTAGTTAAGAAGCCGTCGATGTTTTCACCACGACGGAACGTGCCCGCCGTGGCTGCGGCAGGTGTGCTTCAGAGTATTCAAGCCATCGTGTCGGCGTTTCAAGATTTGCATGGCGTGCCAGTCGCACTGTACAGCGTGAACCCGTGACTACCCCAAACACCACTCCTGCTTATATCGCACAATGAACCGCTTAATGGCATGGTCTGAAACATGCAATGACGTGGCAAGTTTCTGCAAGTTTGTTTCTATTTTCACCTGGTGTTTGCAGACGATAGTCGAGGAGGCATGTATAATAAATATAGTGGTCGTCTGTGGGGCTAGGAATGCAGTGGGGATGGTATCTGCAATACTACCGGTAGATGAGGATTCTCTCTGCCATCCATTTTGGTCTCGATCGTTCGTTCGATCGATCGATCGCTTGTTCGCGTTATACGTTGGCTTTGTCGCCGAGCGGTCGGTACACTTCGACCGACATGTCAAGCTCGTGCCCGGGGAGCGGTATCGGAGGCACGTCGCTGTCGGAGCAGGCTTCAGTGACCACGTCGCCGACTGCATCGTCTGGGTCGCTGTCTGGAACTAGAAGCTCGTCAGCGGCTGCTTTGCGCTGCGACCGGAACGTATCCAGCGTATAGATGACGAGCGCGACCCAGACCTGGGCGAATCCAATGGCCTTGGTGGTTTCGAACGGCTCATGGTAGAGAAAGATGCCAATGAGGACATTCAAAGTCGGCCCGATGAACTGCAGCAGCCCCATGATGGTCATGGGGATATACTTGATGGCGGTGGAGAAGAGCAACTGCGGCGTGACGGTGAGCACGCCCAGGCCGACCATGAGCACGTCGTTGGCGACGGCGGAGTGGCCAAACGCCCCCTGGCCTTGTCCTTCCTGCACAATCAAGTAGATCCAGCATGGCACGGACAAGTACGCAAATTCGAGGGCGATGCCCTGGACCGACTTGAGCGGCGCCTTCTTCGCCATGAGCGCGTAGAAACCAAAATCAAACGCCAACACGAGCGCAATCCATGGGAACTTGCCGTACAAGAACGTCACGGTGGCGACACCACACACAGCCAGGGTCACAGCGATCCATTGCCACAACCGAAGCTTCTCGCGGAGCACCACGACCCCGAGGAACACACTCACGAGGGGACTCATGAAGTACCCAAGGCTCATTTCGACGATGTAGCCTGCGTTCGTCGCCCAGATGCTCACAAAAAGGTTTATTCCCAGGAGCGTTCCTGAAAGAGCGTAAAATCGAAGGACAGACCACTTGCAGGCAGCCGACGTGGTCGCCGAAGCCAGGCCATGGAAGTAGAGCACAGCGAAAGCGATGGGAAACGCCCACACGATCCGATGGCATAGCAGCTGCATGGCGGGGATGGTCGTGAGCTGCTTCCAGTAGATGGCGCTGCAGCCCCATATCACGTACGCGAACACCCCAAAGCACACGCCGACGTGGAACTGTTGCATGTTTACAGCACTGTAAACTGAAAGAATAGGCACGGGAGCAATGCGAAGCGACAAAGGGATAAACCTGGGTAAAAGAGATACTTAGTAAAACAATAATTTCATTTTGGCAAAAATAATACAAATATGATGGAATCGAAGAATCCGTGACTTTTTATGGGGTTTTGCCGAGTACAGTGAGAGCAATATTTCCACACTTGCTTACATAGTCATTTCCACTGGTGCAAAGAACCAGTACAGTGGTTGCTGGTAAAACCCGGCCAGGGCAACTCTCCAAAATTTAAATAAATAACCAAAAGTAGGGATGTATGATTCTGTGTTTTGATTGGATAACTTCATGGGAATATTCGATAACCAATCACAAAGTCGCTTGCCTCTAATTGGCTCGATTCAAATCTACAAATGACGCTTTTCAAATCTGTCAGCAAGTCCAGCACGCATTTCCAAATGAGCGCAATGAAGGGAAAACAGACGCGATACACAAATGGCCAGCACAAACAGCTCCTGGCCAGGTTCCGCGCATCAAATGGCACCAGTGAACGCCAGTTCTGCCGTGACAACAAGATCTCCCGTGACACATGGCAAGACTGGCGTTCACGAGAGTCAGCCATCATGGCAAGCAAACGCCACAGCAGGCATGCGACCTTGGGCGGTCAGGGGCGCCGTGAGCTGTTGCCGTTCAAGGACGACCTCTTGGCCTACATGCGAGCCAAACGAAGAGCACCTACGGGTGTTTCACCTCATGCGCTGGGTGAATACGAATCACAAAGAGTGGCTCGTGCAGTACCTGGCGTCCAAGAAGAACGAAGCGGTGGCGTATCAGTCGTTCCGAAGTCTCATGCATCGCTTTGCCGACCGACACCGCTTCCGCCACCGTGTCCCCTGTGCCAGCAAGGTCAACCAAAAGGTCCTGGACGACGTTTGGATGGGAAACCCCTTCCACTTTTGGTCGACGTATAGTCACTACCCTCGCAGCCAAATTCTGGACGTCGACGAGACGGGCGTCTACTTTGACATGCCCCCTGGAATGACGTTGGTCGAAATTGGCAATTCCAGCAAATGCAAGAAGACCACCAAATATTCCGAGCGATTGACAGCGGTGATGATGATTCGAGCGGACGGTATGACATTTCCGTCGCGCATGTTTATGTGTTAAGCTACCTATCCTTTTCATCGTCAAGGGCAAGCCAGGTGGCACAATCGACACGAGCGAGCTGCCGACGTACCCTCCTGGACACGTTTATGCCGTCCAGGAGAGCGCGTGGATGGACGATTAAGGTCTGGGATCGTATTTCGACAGACACGATTGTGAAAGCCTTTGATAAAGCGATCCCATCAGTACTTGAGATTTAATTCATAACAATTTGATGGTCATGTATTATGTGAGATTGTTGCGGATACTCGAATATTTGTTACTTTTGCGACGAGTGTTATCCGGTATTGCGACGCGTGTTATACGCGCATTATCCGGACTCACTGACTTTAGTTTTAGCCAATACATGTCGTCTTCACGGAGTTGCACGAAGTGATTTTCATTGTATTTTGATTGTGCGCCATACCACTGAACATAGTATTTTCAAGTCATGGGAAAAAGTTGCACTGGCCGGGTTTTACCGGCAACCGAGTGTAGCCATGTAAACCTAGAAACCACCGGACGCCTGATATTGCGTTTTTCGGGGTGAAGTTGCATCCACAGTGGGTAGCTATCGCTAACTGTAAACGCTGAAACGCACTTAACCCATAGCTACTAACTGTAAATACAGTAACTATTAATATTAATAGTACTGTACTAGTATAATGATAACGTTTACTATGAGTTGTTTTGGTTTACGACACATTTGACTATCACACATAAAAATAACCAGTGACATGATTCTTTGGCTCACTCAGGGAATTACTGGGTTTTGCCCATATGTCAATTGATTCACCGCGAATTCGGAGAAAAAGCCAAGACGAAAACCAAGAATATTATCCGGGGAAATATCCGGTAACGTTATCATCCGATTTTTCAGATGGTGAAAGCACCTAACTGAAAATGGTCAAGGGTTTATCCAAAACTTGGATGCTTCAGGAATTCCTACAGCATTGTGTCGATTCCGAGGTGGGTAGCCCCAACGATCCTTTCACTCGGCCTAGCGCATCATGCACTGGATCCAAGCTAGCTCGGGTAGGCTCTGTGGCAAGGTGGCGTTCAGTTTCAAGGCAGTGCTTTGCACCCAATAAGGATAACAATTTTACCACATGATCTATCATCAAAAGGAAATTTCGTTCGAATTTCGAATTTTATGATTTACGTTTTGTATGTGGGATTTAAATATTACTAGTATGGTATTGATTGTACAGTCTCGTCAGTGTTTCAATTTGAAATTCTCTCCATTCAACAGACGAGGTTGGGATGGAGGTGCTGCTCCTGTGCATGCTGTTGGTCCTCGTGATCGGGTCCTTCTTCCTCGAAGGCAGCTCACTCACATGGATCTCCCAAAGCGGCATCGCTCTTCTCTTTGGTGTCACTGTCGGCTCGATCATCGTCGTGGCCGAGAGCTACAGCCTCATGGAACATTTCAACTTTGACAACGACGTGTTCTTTCATGTCCTGCTGCCGCCCATCATCTACGAAGCGGGGTTCTCCGTGAAGAAGATTCATTTCTTTTCCAACTTTGGCGCCATCATGTCCACGGCGGTTCTCGGCACGATGATCGCGACGTGCGTGACAGGCGGCGCCATCTACGTCGGCGGTATCTACGGTTGGATCACCCCATTGTCGTGGATTGAATCGTTCCTGTTCGGCGCGCTCATCAGCGCAGTCGACCCCGTCGCGACCTTGGCTTGCTTTGAGAAGCTCAACGCGCCTACGCAACTGTTCAACATCGTGTTTGGCGAAAGCGTACTCAATGACGCAGTGGTAATTGCACTCTACATGACGCTTAACAAATGGGACAGCGCAGCCGAGTTCTCCATGTCGGGGCTGACCTCCGTGGTGGGGCAGACCATGCTCATGCTCGTGGGATCGCTTCTCGTGAGCGTGGTCATCACGTTGTTTGGCGCGTTCCTGATGAATTCGACCTACTTTTCGCGGCTGCACCTGTTCCCTGCGTACGAGATCTCGCTCTGCATCATCTTCAGCCTGCTAGCGTACTTTTCGGGCGAGTCCCTCAAACTCAGCGGCATCGTGTCGCTGTTCTTCTCGGGCATGATGACGTCGCATTACCACTTCCACACACTCAGCCTCCCCGCGCAGCAGACGTTCCGCCACCTTCTGCACACGATGGCATTCGTGTGCGAGTCGCTCGTGTTTGTGTTCATGGGCACATCACTCGTCTTCATCTTCACCAGCAAGACCGACGACGGCATCACGATGGGCAACCTGGACTGGGGCTTCATGGGGTTTACGCTCGCGCTGTTGCTCATCAGTCGATTCCTCAACATCGTGCCGCTCCTGGCGGTATGCAACTACTGGCGCCGCAAGGAAGATCGCATCAGCGCCACGTCCATGCTCGTCATTTGGTTTGCCGGCCTGCGCGGCGCCATCTCGTTTGCCCTGGTCAAGACGTGGTCCCACATTGACAGCTCGGGCGACAGCCACCGCCCCCTCATCGTGTCGACCACCCTCATGATTGTTGTGTTCACGACTCTCATCATCGGCGGGCTCACAGGGCCGCTTCTCGCGTACATTGCGAAGGGGTCGGTGGAAGTCCCCGCGCCGGATAGCCCCAAGGCGGTGTCGGAACCCCGGCTCAGCTTTATCCATTCGTTGGCCCACGGGGACTTGGTGAACCCAGCGGTGCGCCGCCGCCACCCCAAGCCCGAGGACGGGGGCGCCGACGACTGCTGCGTCGCCGCCTCCGCCGCGTCGGATGACAGCGAAGGCGGCGCGTCCATCGCCCCTGCGATGCCCATGGAGGGCGTGGTGACCGTCAGCCTCACGCACAAGTTTGAACAGACGTGGAAAAACGTGGACGAAAACTACCTCAAGCGCTGGTTTGGCGGTCGCAAGCGTGAGCCGGACCACCAGCATCTTGTCCAAGAAGCCAGCCGGTCGGTCCATGAAGAACACTCGCACACGACGGAGCGCTACGACTTGAATGCGGAGGGTTTGCTTAACGTGTCGACCCCGTCGGCCAGCCCCAAGTCGTCGGTATATATGCCCGCGAGCCCCAGTCGTTGGTAACACGAGTTGTCCAATTGGGGGCCCCCTCAATTGGCACTAAGTTAAGCAGCTTCAAGGTGTAACAAGATTTGCATGTTGGATTCATTAACCTGATACGTTCTGACTTGAAGGACGTAAAACCGCAGCACTTTGCACTTTGTCGCAGGCTGTAGAAGTATGCTCTGGTGTGGCACTCTTGTCCTATCCAATCAAAGTGCACTAAGGAGAAATTGCAACCAATCATCGATTGGTATAGTTTGGCCCAGTCAAAATTTGTATTATCTTCCAATTTGTATATTCTCGGTTAGTCCAAATTTTAGCGAAAAATACATACAAGTTGTGCTGACAGGAACACATTCGTGTGTCGACATCCGTCGAGGCTTTCCTTTCGAAAAGATGACTATCGTAACAATTATGTGATGTGACAGCTTTGCAGCAAAGCCAACCTGGATATGTCCGTTTAGTAGTAGGTGAGTTTGCCCCACACACTGGCCACACGAAAGGTCATTTCCGCGACTGGTATTAATACTGTACTGTACTTGACCCTTCTCCTCGTACTGCTTGGCTACGTCGTTTGGCTATGTCGCCCTTTGCTTTTACACATGTCTGGTGTGTAATCTCGAACGCGATGACTAATTTCTCGCCTTGACGTTTCGACATTTCCACGAGGAGATCGCGCGTTCGATAATTCTATTCATTCTGCTATCCCATTGGCCCAGCCAAGTTGAAGTGACGTCAATTCGCGACGGTCCAACTGTTTCAACCATCTGAGCACGTTTTGAAAGCCGAGGCTGTCTGCAAGAATGATGGAAATGGAAATGCTAAGTTGATACTATCACTTTGCAACTTCCCTATCATGGAGTTCAACGGATCCGCGTTGACGGTCACCACTGTCGCTCCTCATGCCATGACGACCTTGTCACCAGCGCAGCTCAAATCCATGGCGGATATGTACTGGCTCAAGCAGTTCCAGATCCTTCAAATTGTGTACACGGTCAGCTACGGGATCATGTTCGGGCTGTCCATGTCATTGCTCGTATACCTCCGCCGCAATCGGTCCACGGCGTACAAGGGCAACGCCAACGCCGGGCGCAAAGTGATCTTGCCGAGCTTCGAGCCGCTTTTTTGGGTCATTGCGGCACTTACGGGCGTGTACTTTTGCTACTTTCTTGCCGCGTCCTCCATCGACTACGTGACCCCAGTCACCATCAGTTGGTTCACAGAGACAGTGTCGCAAGGTCGTCAGTTTACGTTCTTCGTCGTCGCGGCCTTTTTGCTGCAAAAGAGCGTGTCTCGCCCCGCGCTTGTGCGCTCCATGGTCATTGCCGCCGCGATCACTGTCATTCCCATCATCTCCGTGCGCATCCTTGATGTGACAGCGGCATCGACGCAAACGTCCTTCGCGGTCACGAGTCTTCTTCGAGCCTTCGACACGATGTGGTTTGTCTGGATGTTGGTTCGACCTGTGTCGCGGGCCAGTGTCCGTACCCAGCGGGAGTTTGCCTTGTTTGCGCTGGTGTACTATGCCAGCTCGTACGTGTATGCGGTGCTAATATTGATGCACAACTACACGGACAGCGCCATGGTGGTATTTTGCACGGTGATATGGGCGTCGTTTGCTCCCTTCTTCGTGTGGCGGCTCTTACGGGCGGATACAGAACACTGGCGAGGATTCAGCGAGCGTGCGTGTGAGTTTCAGCAACATTTCCGGGAAAACCAAGGCATGCAGGAAATCGTGTCGGCCCAGGGGCTGCATGTGTTGCTCGAGATGCATCGCAAAGACCTCATCGATTTCGCCCACTTGGAGCTCCAGCAAGTGCTAGGTGTGGGGGCGTCTGCCAACGTGTACCGCGGCAAGTTACACTCGTCCACTCAGGTGGCGGTGAAAGTGTACTCTCCGACGGAGATCTCCGAGTCGACGATCTTGGAGTTCTCCCAAGAAGCCGCCCTCTGCACGGCACTAAAACACCCCAACATTGTGCTATTTCACGGCATGTGCATCTGCCCTCCGTCCATTTGTCTAGTGTACGAACTGTGTCGCGGCAGCCTCGAAGATGCGCTGCGTAATTCCCTCAACAACGACCACACCGAACCTCTTTGGCCCAAGCTGTGTTACATGCTGGATGCCGCCAGAGCAGTCGCGTACTTCCACAGCTTTTCCCCGCCCTTTATCCATCGCGACATCAAGCCCGCCAACTTCCTCCTGGACGCATCCAACGTGGTCAAGCTCACCGACTTTGGCGAGTCTCGCAGCATGGCGTTCACGATTGAAGACATTGCCAACGACAATCGGGCGATGACAGTACGGGGCACTGTCGACTACATGGCCCCCGAGATCATCGATGGCAAGCAAGGCCAGGCTTTGTACACGGAGACGGCGGACATCTACAGCCTGGCCATCACCCTGTGGGACATCCTCCACCCCGGGCGAGAAAAGTTCCCCAACAGCAACCAAAACCATCTCAACATCTTTCGCATGGTGCTGAACGGCCAGCGCCCCCCCATCGACCCGGAAATCCCCCAAACGCTACAAGATTTACTCGAAAACTGCTGGAACTCGGACCCGATCTTCCGTCCGTCGGCGAAAATGGTCGTGGCCGTGCTCGAAGACATGCAGGAGGACTTGTGTGGTCAAGTGTCGCATCACTTGAGCGGATTTATCACGTGCTTGGGAACCCAAAAGGGAACTAAGTACACGACGACCCCCCCAGTTTTCACTGGGGAAGTGCTGGCCCGGTGCTTTTTCGAGCACAAGTATGCGTTTGAGAAAGAGGAAGCGATTCGATTCGGCAATGCGCTCATGGATGCCGGGTCTTTGCATCACGCCAAGCACAACAAACCGTTCGAGTCGTCAGCGACCACCACGTACTACTTCGACTCGCAGCAACTCGACTTGAATCGAATCAACCGATGCAGGAAAAGGTGTCGACCTTGGGGGTCGCGGCGGACGAAAGCAGCACGTCGTCCCACGCGGCCACGTCCACGGCCGGCGACGGATCTGGCTTGTGTGAGTGTCGAAAGCTAGGGCAAGGCCACATCAAGCCGAGAATGCCGGTGCGGACAAAGAACCCGTTCCGCCGGCGAAAAGAGGATTGCCTGCTGACTGTGAACTTACTCAACGACCATAGTGGCGACGGGGATGCCTTTGGTGATTTTGGCACTCACTCGACGTCCGGACAGCAGACGACGTTGGTGTTACAAGTGGCGTAGTACAGTAGTAGATGGCATCAGTACATATGTGTTTCATATTGCCGTTTGTACATGGAATGATATTTGCATGATAACAAAATTGGTCAACGCTAGTACCCAAAAGGCAATTCTGGTACTTAAGACTCTAACGACGCGGCAACAATTCATACTGCTTGTCAGCTGTAAAGCCAGCCTTCTGCTGTACTGAATCGCAAGATATGCCTATAAAGGTATCTCCACCATTTTGCAGTTAACAAATGGACAAATGCCCAAAGTAATTTTGGTCGTGAGCATGTTGGTGATTTGGCGATCGGTATTCCAATTGAATATTTGTCATTATAATACATTCCAGTTGTCCAGACACTGCCGCATGTACATTGCATACGCCGCGCTTTCCTTTGTCGCATGCTTCCACGACCGATATCGTTTCTACAACCAACAATCACATCATGTGTCGAGTCATATAAGTTTTGGAGCACTTAATCTATAAATCTCTGGAATGGACAACCACATCAGCAGACCAAACTACCTGGATGGACGTTGCTGCAATATGTTCTTGGGGAGGTCGATGTAGGAAGTAGTGGCGCAGGGTGTGCTCCACCAAACTGGGCGTGGTGATTGGGTCCGTGGGTGGCGAGTACGTGGCGGTACCAGCGGCATTGACGCCCGCCACACGGAACGAGTATGTTGCCTTGGGTTTGAGAAAGTCCAGCGTGAGAGTCGTGTCGAGTCGCTGGATCTTGAGTTCGTTTTCGAACGGCCCGTCGTTCAGGCTGTACTCGATGGCGTACGCTGTCACAGCGCTGCCTCCGTCGTGCGATGGCACGGTCCATGCAAGATCCACCTTGGTTGGATGCACATTCGACACCATGGGAGCCTATCCACCACACGTGACATGGCTGTGATAAGGAAGTATATCTTTGCATATCTATCTTTTGCATATCTATAAATGTATATAAGTACACTGTACCATTGGCAACATGTTTGGAACGGTGGCAGGTTTAGTAGGGACGCCTTGGCTCACGGGGCTGAAGTCGCCTTTTCCGAGCTCGTTTTCGGCGGCCATGGCCACGACGTAGCGCTTGCTGGCTTTGAGGCCGATCAACTCGGCTTTGAACCCGTCGTTTTCCACTGTCGTTAATTCGTCCAACGACCACACGAGCTGCTGACAGAAGCGCTGCGACACGACACCGTACGAGTCGTCTTCGATGAACAGCATCACATGATACCGCTGGATGGGTTTTCTATCACCACATTTGTGTTGGAACGACTAGGGATATGGCGATTGCATCCTACCCGTTGTCACAAGGTGCGACAAAGTTAACAGTCAGCGTGTGCGACGTCGCCGATGCCAGCACGGGCTTGGCGGGGGCGGCGGGGACACTGGGGAGTGTCTTGACGCGGCCCGACCACGGCGAGAACGGCGACTCGAGCACCACCTTGTCGATCACGTTGGACGCTTGTACTCGCACTTGGATCCACTGCACACACGGACGACAAATAGGAACACAGGTCGAGAGATCGGAGAGACAGCCATACCGTGCCCGCGGCCAACTGTGTGACAGTGTGCACGGTCGTGGGCAGACTTCGGGTGAGCACCACGACGCTTTCGACGTCGCGTCCGTCCTGCGCCCACTCCAGCGTGTAGTGCACAATGTCGCTGCCATTGTGCCGCGGTTTCTCCCACGTCATGTCGACAGTGTGCGGTGTGATGTTGGAGATCGTCGGGGCGGCGGGCGCGTCCGGAGCTACGCGTCACCGCCATGGTTGGACAACAACTAGATGATGATGATGGCAGAAGACGACCCCCTTTTCTTACCGCACGACGTGGTCTTGATGTACGACGACGGAACGTTATAGTCGCCAATACCACAACTAGCGTCCAATTGCATCAGTGTCACAATCCAAAGGAGTCCACTGGATTCCGCACCGATTCTCGGCGGCAATTTCAAATTGATAAATCGTGCCTGGGTGCACACAACTGACTTTGAACTTGAGTGTCGCGGGCACGAGCTATAGCATTGAATACATATATATATTGCACGTCGAAAAGGAAGCATCTACCACGGGTATGTCGGCCGCGGCCGACGACAGCAATGTTGTTGAAAGTGAGCTGTGGGTCGCTAGTCTTTCCTTCCGTTGGTCGCTCTGCTTGCGTAGCTTTTCACTGCGCTCGACGCTCTTCTCCGTGCGCTTGGGTCGCTTGGCGTGGGCCGCAATGCGGCGGTCCTCTCTTATTTTGGCTTTTCGGTCGATTTCTATGGCCATTTATGATTGTGTTGGGCAAATACCAGGTATTTTTGCCCCAGAGCGTGATCTACTATAAGCTGCGATGTACCCGCTTGGATGGCGTCGTGGGCGGCGCGGGTGTCGGCTTGAATCTCGTCGACGGACACGCGAATCTCCACGGTGGGCTCCATGTCTAGCGGATCTTCGGGGATGCATCGAATGTGGTAATGCGAAATCGCCGCGCCGTTCGCCGTTGGAACCAACCACTCCAACATGACGCTGCGAGTGTCCACGTCCGACAAAATGCATGGTTTCTTCACCTTGGACGGACCTACCACCGTCGCGCCAATGAAAACAACCAACGACGCAGCGCCTGAGATGCAACGAGGACGTACGATAAGCCACGGTTTCAACGGGGGTCGTGGGGACGCTAAACGCGCTGGACCCAATCTATAGTAGTCCCATGGTGGCAACCCCGTGACATGTATAAACGAGCAGGAGGCATATCGATGAACGTACCCGATTCACAGCAGCCACACAAAACGAATAGACACATCCTGGGTCGAGACGATCGATGCAGTACTGCAAGTCATCGGCCGACACATCCATGGCCATCCCAAACGGCCCATTGGCTTTGGCGACTTTGATCTGGTACTTTTCAATGCGGGCTCCATTGCCCTGTGTTTTGCACACGGGGGGGATCGTGATGCGCACGACTTAGGAGGTATGACTGTACCAACGGTTCGAGCCACGCAATGTCAATCGCATGGCAGTCGACGTTCGTCACCACAGGCTGCTTTGGAATGTCGGGTTCTACCAGTCATATCAAGTCGTCAACAGGATGATCTTTCGACGAAGATGATCGTTAGGCGGAGGCTACGGACCTGTGGGGATGACCTGCCACTTGATCACTTGGGCGTCGTGGCCGGCCGAGTAGACGCACGTCCCCGACGGTGTGAACGCCACCGACAAGACCGAATCAAAGTGCCCTCTCAACGTGTACACACACTCAAACGTGGATGGGTTCCAAATCTTGACAAAGCTGTCGCTGCTTCCTGTGGCCAAGTAAGTAGACGGGGCCGAGGACATTGCACATGTCAAGATATCGCGGTCGTGGGCATGGCGGATGGTGTGCATGTGACGTCCGTCCTCGGCATGCCAAAACTACATGTGCTTGCTTAGCTGGCTTTCCCACCGTAGTTGGCCATAACACGGAGATGGCGAACGCACATTGGTTGTTACCTTGATACACTTATCCGAGGCAACTGTCACCACTATGTCGTTGGTTCCCGTGGAGGCTACCTCGCCATGGGCTGACGACTGGGGCGGTGGTGGAACAACTGGGGTTCCCATCGTGCACCAGTTGATGGTGTGGGTGTGCTGGACAAACATCTACATAAACTGACGATTTCTTGGTGTTTCGTGGAGATATGCACATAAGAACCACGTACCCCGTGTGTAGTTCTGCATTCAAACACGACCACGGGCATGACGTCGAGGGGGATGTCGTTGGCTTCGAAGGACACGCGGTCATGGCACAGGGGATGCTTTGTGGACGACGTCGGGTCCAACAAGCTCAGAATGTCGATCGATTCCAGCTGCGTGAGCGCCGCGGGGTCGTCGGCGGCTTCTCGAAGGCCGATGGTTCCGTCGTCCGAAGAGGTGAATTCGTATAGTGGGGGCAGAAGGAGGTCGGGTTGGTTTTGGGTGTGGCGATTGTGGCTCCAGTCGTCGTTCATACAAAACTGCGGCAAGTGGTGCTCGCCTGTGAGGGTTTGCAGCGTTATGTCGGGGGAGAAGAGACTGTCCAGCGCTCGATTGTACTTTTGCCTGGCACTCCAGTCCAGCAAGCGAGAGGGTTGCAGTGGCGGCGTCACATGGTGGTAGCTTTGGTCGTGTAATGTTGCCGCTGGCTCGTCTAATGATGTTGGATTCGCGGGGGTGGTCAATGCAGAACCGATGATTTCGCCAGCGCTAGCCGACGGAGGACGTTGTTGGTGTACTGGTTGCTGGCTCAAAACCGGTGGTGTGGTCGTGCTGTTGGTTCCACCGGCGGCGTGGGCGGCAAGCCAAGCGGATACGGCCCACCGCTTGGTCAAGTAATCCAACGCGCCACATGTGAACAGGCACTGTCCGTCCGGTGAAAAGCCACACCACGATACGCCTCCGTGGTGGGCATGGAGGACCCCGAGCAGCGCCATGGTGTCGGCCTGCCAGAATATGCATGTTGTGTCCATGGATGCAGTGACCAAGATGCTTCCGTCCGGCGTGAAGCAGCTGCATGTGATCACGTCGTCATGGCCAAACCTGGTGCCGCGGTGCTTAACAGTCAATGTTTGTGCCTGATCGTTCCATCGACACGTGGACGGCTCCGATCCTGCCAACGCACTGTATGTCATATCGACACATGATCGATGTATTGTTGTACCTGCGCAGATGGCCACGCGCGATCCTGTGACGGCGCCACGTGTAAGGCACTGGTTGGCAGTCACGGCACTGCGCCCAACGGATGTGACGGGGTCGGCTTGATCCATAGCCCATACGAACATGCTACATGAAGATGCAGGGAAGAGGCACTGAGAAGAATAGGTAGATTGCACGTACCTGTCCATGCCAATGGTAGCGACATGCACCCCATCGCTGAATGGATACACGCCGTACACTGGCTTCGTGTGTGCTACGAACGAGCGATTCACCATACCGGGTGTCACCTTGTACATTCTCGATGCAGTGTACACTCCGTCTGCAAAGAAGAACCCTACACATGTTGGTGCGGACAATACTCTCGACGACGTATCGTAGATACGTACCGTCTTCGCGCAGGTTGTCTTCGGCGGCCAGCTTGGCCACGCGTGCCACCATCTCGTTGATCTTGGCATGCTCGTCCGAGTCCAGGAGGACATTGCTCACCCTGAATTTCTCAAGCAGACGCTTCTCGACTTTGTCATGGTGGCGCTGGTGCGGCGTCGGAGCCAGCATTGTTTACTGTTATTGCGAAACGGCAGAAAGTTTGAAATAGTGTTGTTCGGATTTAGTCTGGACTTAAATTAGTGTATATTGACACCATTTTGAAATCAAAAACGAAGAAACGAGTTACACTTAAATAGTGAATAAAATAAATAGAGTGGCCAAGTCGCTCGGTATTTAGTGTGATTATTCGATCGCCAACTGCGATGACCACATCGGATGGCGAGGCGGCAACGGTGATGACTCCCCGATGGAGCGTCTTCAAGGTGCTACAAGTGCTGTATGAAAACATCGCCCTTGAAGGACGCAACGGGATCTCCGTGCGGAGTCTCTTCGAGAAGTATGAGCCCAGTGGCGACGTGCTCATGCAGGCAGCGATTTGGGCAATCCTGCGCCGCGGGTGTTCGCCGACGAATCCAGTGCAGGTAGCACACAACGTACAGATCAATGTGAAGGACGAGACCGACGATCTACTACCTTCGTCCTTTACGGTGATGTCCAAGAAGCGCAAGGCGGCCCCCACAAAACCAGGGGCCAAGGCGAAGAAGGCGAAAACTCCACGAAAGAAGATGTCATCGTCTGACTCGGACTCGGACCACAACGTCGACATCAAATCCCAAGTGTCTCGTCCATCCTCTGTCCCATTGTCTTCGTCGAAGTCTGCCGCCGCCGCCTCGACTACCCTGCCACAGCACGACCTTATTCCCGTCCACGACGCAGCATCCATGTCGTTTGACATGGCGATGGCTGACGCGACGCTCGTCCTCGTGGCCAACTACGATATCCGACTGCAAGCCCTCGGGTATGCCAAAGTTGGCGTCGACATCAACGTACATCTGCTGGACGTGCTCGAGATGATCGGGCGCGCGCGATGCATTGGCATCACCGTGAGCCACATAAGTCGTGTGCTTTTCGACGACGACATCAAGCGCATGCATTACTTTTTAGACGAACTCGTAAATATGAACCTCGTGGAGAAGCGCATCTTGACATTGCCGCCGCGCCGATTCAACATCATCCACTTGAAGCGATTTGCGGCACAGTTTGATCCGCACACGATGGGGTTTGCGGGCTTCCACTACGCACACGAACCCCACACCAAGACCATTCTCGTGAACAAACTTGTGCGGTCCATGCAGCTCCGACACGAAGAGACCGCCGTGTTTGCCGACGTGGCCAAGCGCTTCGACTTGCACAAGCGGCAGCAAGAATCTCTCCGGAACCACATCTGCATGGAGTCGTCCAAGCATCCACAGACGTTTCCCCTGCACATGTTTATGGCCACGTGTCGCGGCGGCGAGAGGTCCACGGGCCGGAAGCTATGGTGTGTCCGTGTCGCCGACCCCGCCGCGACCTCCCGGCCGGCGCTGATCAAGGGCGGCACAGAGTTTGTGTTTCCGCTGCAAACGACGATGGGGGCGGCCGAGTACTTGTATCGACTGGTGGAGGCGGCGAGCCCTGAAGGGATTTCGATTCCCGAGATCAAAGACATTTGCGGCAACCCTGACAACAAGTGGGTGTACAAAAAGATGCAGCACATGCTCATCCACCACAAGATCGCGTCGCAAAAGATCATGGGTGACCGCGGGGTCATTCACAACTTTAGCGTCGCGCCCACGGTTCAGCCAGGCGCCGCGCCGTTCGTGTCCAACGGCGTGGGGGTTGGGAGGTACTCGTCGCTGAGGCAGTCAATCAAAAACTCTGGCCATTCGCTCGTGGGCGACGTGTTTCTTGAGCGGCAGGCGTTCCTGGTGGACCAAATCAAGGCGCTGTCGATCGTGTCGGTGGGGCTCCTTCGCCGGACGCTGTGTGCCCACGAGAACCGGCGCGGCACCCACGGCATCGACGGCCGCACCATCATGCGGCTCCTGCAGCCGTTGATCGACGCCAAGTCAGTCGAGTACGTCGATGTGAACGTGCCGTGGAAGAAGACGGCCGGGCACACACGCGTGCGGTGCGCGGCGCTGCCGTTTGTCATGCAAGAAGAGTCCCAGGCCACGTTGCGGCGGTTCCTGGACCAGTACTCGCCGCTCGACGACATGGACTCGACGACCAAATGGACGGACGCGACGTTTTCGATAGTCCGCGAAGATCACCTGCGCATGCACTCGGCCGCGGACAAGAAGGGAGGGGGCAAAGGAGGCAGTATGGGCAAAATCGTGTCGTATTCGCACAATTTGACGGAATTCCACAGTATCCGGCAGAAACTGCGAGATCAGCACCGGCAATGCCGACGGATCGGGCAGGCGTACGGCATGATCTGCCGCGTCCGGCTGCTGCACGTGGCCATCTGTCGGGCACTTGTGCGCCTCAAGCTGTGGCCGCCGCCGTCCACCACCCAAAGCGGCGGTGGCACAGACGACGATGAGCCTGCGCCCGTCGAGTTTTCGTTTCAAGACGTGATGGCGCATACCTCGGTCAAGGACTATTGCCAGATCTTTGGCACCCCCGAGCCTCTGTCTGAAGCCGACGAGACCCTGGTCAAGCAAATGATCTATGCGGCCAACACCATGCCCGCCCCAGAGCAGTGGCAAAAACTCGGTGACGTGGGCAAGATGCTCCAGCGCAACCAGCAGAACCGCGCGATGCGGCTCGTGGAGATTATGATGGACTTCAAACTCGTGACCCAGCTGCCGTCGGCGCCGCTGCAGCACGAAAGCGTGTACAGTAGCAACGTGGACGAGATGGTGTCGCGGGTCGTCGATCAGACGGTGCACGGGGGCGTGCTCAAGCTCAACCTGCACGTGTACGTGGCGGTGGTGGACGAGCGCGCGTCGACGCCGCTGCGGATCCGCGGGGAGCTCAAACCTATGGGGTTTAGCCCGCTGCCGACGATTCCGCTGCACCACTCGTTCCAGAGCGTGGCCGACGTGGAGGCGTTCTGGCGACTCTTGGAGATCTTTTACCTCGAGCGCGCACGGTGGGAGTGCGTGGCGGACCCGCCGATGCCAGACCTGCCGCCCATGCATGTCAAGCCGTACCTGGTGCCGTCTGTGAACGCGACGTTGGCGCTACTGTGGACCGACAGCGGGTCGCTGCAGCGGCAGCGCGTCGGCATCCTCAAGACCCGCGCCAAGCCCAAAAAGCGCGCGTTTTCAACCCACTTGATCAACCCAAACCCAAAGTGGAAGGTGGAAGGGCGTGGCCAGCAGATCAAGATGCGGCGCCAGCTGCCGCTCCGGATCAAGCCGCCCCGACGGAAAGCGGAAAAGATCGACTTGACGCCCGACCAGGAGCAAGCCGCCCTCGAGTCGTACTTGGACAAGATCGTTCAACATTGGACAATCAAGGACATGCCGACGGAGCTGCGCTTCTTCCCCGAAGAAGACTCTGTGTTTGTCAACAGTCGGGTGAAGCGGGGCCGGATCAACTGGAACGCCATCGGGCTCGAAGTCGCATGGCCGTTGCAGCTGGTCGGGCGGACGCGGCCGTACGTTGGCCTCGAAGTGAAGCGGCGACTGGTCAAGTCGTTTCTGCCGCGCCCGAGTGTGAAGAAGCACCTTGTGGAGCTGGAAATGGCCCAAGTCGCCGCCAAGAACCCCACGGGGCGGTTTCTAGAGGAAGCGGTGATCCACTCGGATGCCCGCGCATACGGATGCCTCGTCAAAGCGGTGCAGATGATGCTCCAGCCGGACGCCGACTACGACGCGGCCGTCGCGGACGATCTCCTTGGAGCGTTTTCGACGCTCGAGATGCAACTCGTGTGGCGGTACTTGTACTTGCCGGGCAAGATCAACAAGAGCAAGCCGGCCGACACGGGCCACCGCCGCGGCTTTTCGTTTTCGCTGGCCATGTTTGACTTTTTGAGGTTGAATGCTACCCAATGGCCCCTCACCATGTGCCTGGACGCCGCGGAACATCTCGGCGGCATGTCGACGTTGCGTGAAGACGGCATGGAGATGCAGATGCCGTCGAACGCGAGCTCGGGCTTTATGGCGACGCTCTTGGCGGCGCATGTCCGCGGCACGGCGGACCTTGCGATGGCGTTTGAGCGCACAAAGGACGAAGTGTACAACGGCATGACCAAGGGATACGATGGGCGAAGGTACAAGTGCGCCGGGTTTATCGGGCACATGCATCGGTTCACGGACGGATTGACGTACGACGAGTTCAACATGCATTGGGTGCTGTCCACCAAGCCCACCATGACCAAGGTCGGCGAAGAAGCAGAGTGCCTGGAAGCGTTTACATGTCGAAAACGCACACGGCGGGATGTCGAGTGGACATGTCCCCACGACAACCAACCGACCGCATGCACGTCCGTCAAGCGGTGCCGCACCAAGGTCGACCATGCGCTCGTGAAAGCTATCGGCGCCACCCACGACAAAGGACTCAGCGTCACGGAGCTCATGGCGGCGCTGTTTCCGCACACGAGTACCCCGCGACGACGGCGACAGCAACTCCAAGAACAACTCGATCAATTGGTCGCTGACGATCGCGTGTGCGATGTCCATGCGTTCGACTGCGTCCGGTATGTGGCCACGGAGCATGCCAAGCCCTGGTTTGTCTACCCGTTCACCAAGAACGCGGCGACCAACGCCATCGAGTTCCAACGAGGCGCACCTGTCATGGCGCGTCCGTGGCTCAAGATGGACGGCGAAGTGAACGACCAGTTTCTCGTAGTCGTCAAGCGTGAACTTACCATGCTCGTGGTGGGGCGGCCCGGGATCGGGGAGCAGCGCATGTGCGAGTACTTCAAGGGCCTGCTCGGGTTGCAGGACGTGAGAAACCTGTGCTTTCAGTTGATCGACGAGCGGGTATTGTACTGCCGCGCCATCGAGCGGCGGAAGCAGTGCGGCTTGTTTGGCGGATCGAATGCATCTGAAGCACCAGTGGTGGGAGAGTACTCCATGGACCGACACGAGATGGAGATGCACTACTTTCCGGCGGTTGACTGCTTCGGCGAGCTGGGCAATGCGGTGCAGGAGATGTTGTAGAATAACGCGTTGTGATTGGCCAAAAACATTTAGTTTGTTGATATGGAGTTTGGATCAAAGACGTTCGGGATTGGATATAATATGAACGAATCAGAGTGCGCTTGGTTTTTAAGTGCGCGATGGAGGTGGTTATTCTTTATCCGAAGCAGGGACGAAGAAGGGGTGGTGCGTATGGACACGGACGAAGCCGACGAAGCGCACGTGCTGCAGGAGCTCCTCCTCCAAGAAGGCGAGATCGACGATGAACTCGATGAGGATGACGAGATGGATTCGACGAGTGAACTGAGCAGCCAGCAGTCGGCAGTCGAGACTAGTGACGTCGCAGCAGCGACAACTGGCGCATCAACGACGTGGAATTGCACCCAATGTACATACGAAAACAGCAGTAGCTCGTCCATTTGTGAGATCTGTGGCTCCCCGCGCGAAGTTCTTGACTCTAGCAGCGTCACATCGTCGTCCGCCGCGACAGCAAGTGCTGCTGGCGATGGACGTTGGGAGTGTGCAGCATGTACGCTATTGAACCCTCGTCAAGCGCATGTATGTACAGTGTGTAGTACCCCAAATCCTGCGAGCATGGGAGTCGCGCGATCGCATCGAGGACATGGCCTTGGGGCGGCTCTGGGGCTGTTCGAGAAAGCGGGCAAAGACGATTCATCGTCGCCCGCGGGTATTTCCAGCGCCGCGCTCGAAGCCCTCGCGAACGACAAGAAAGGCGGCGTGAAATTGGTCGACACGTTGCAGGCCATGACCCACAACTTGGCGATGACCGAAGCGTCGGCCGAGGGCGGCCTCGGGTTGCTCATGGGCCGACCGAAGTTTAGCCCAAAGACCGACCCACACCTCGTGACCGTCCTCAGCGGCATTCTCAAAACCAAGGCCAAATTCGCGCTGCAGCCGCGGTTGCTGGCATGCCAGTCGCTCAACTACTTGATTAAACTGGACATTCGCATGTCAGACGGGAAGAAAGCCTCCGAGTACATGGCCATGTACTTGGACATCATGGACGAAGTCGCGATGCACCACCAGCATGAGTCGTTGGCCAAGCATTTGGCCGAAGAAGCGACCAACGGGCTCGAAGTCGCGTGCCAGTCTCACCCCGCGGCCTTCCGCGACCTGTGCCAGCCCGATCCATTGGCCAAACTGCTTGGCTTTTTGACGTTTGCTAACACAATGCACGTGAACGTTCTGCTCACGACGCTGTCGCTGCTTCAAAAGGTGTGCCAACGGGTGCACTTCCACACGAAACCGCCCTCGTCGTCCTCGGCTTCCCACCGCAAGCCCGCGGCGCCCCAAGCCGCGCTTCCCACCATCATGGCCGCCCTGGAAACGTACATTGGCCACATCAACCCCCGCGTCCAAGTAGGCGCGATCAAGTGCATGACGGTGCTGTTCCACCGCACGCCTCTGCACGAACATTTGACGGCGTCGGTGACCCGCCAGCTGCTGCACATCATGGTGGCACCGTCGACGGACGACGGCGGCAGCCACGACGCCAGCCGCGCCGCCGTCGCCCTGCTGTCGGAACTCCTCGACGAGTCGCCGACAGTATTTACGACCCTGGTTGACCCGGACGTGGCCCAGCCATTGATGCAGCAGCTGGGTCCGATGTTGCAGACCGAATCGGTGGCTACGCCCACGCTGCGCTTCCTGTCCAAAGTCGCGGCGCGGATTGCCAGCCACCAAGCCAACGAGTCGACGACCCTCCAGAAGTTTCTGCTTGCATTTATCAAGGCAAACGCGGTGGCAACTGTGTCGTCCCTCCTCAAAGACGGCGCGACGCTGCACTCGCCGTCGCCGTTTCTGGTGGCGGTGACCACGTCGTCGGTGGCGATGGTCCGGCTGCTCATCCGCAAAGGCGCGCATGTGTCGGTGGAAGCGCTTCATGCCGCCGCCGACGCCCGACGGTGCGACGTCGTGTTGGTCTTGCTGCAGCATGGCGCGAGTCCCAATGCTGCCAACGAACATGGAGAGACCCTGCACCAAGTGCTGGCCAAGCACCCGCCGAACCATCCCGTGACCAAACTGCTGGCAGCTCGGCTGTCACCTGCGACGATGGATCACGAGGGTGTCTGCGACGATGGCCACCACCTCCACGGACGCCACCATCCCCATCGACCTTCTCGACCCAATGTCGACGAAGTGGCGTCGGCGGGTGGCGGGCTCGTGCTGGCCCCTCCGTCCGCAGGGGCATCAGCGTCGTTGCAGGCGCGGGAAGTGCTGATTGAAGACTTTACCCGCGCATGGAACGACATGGAAGAAGACGAGTCGGATGACCATTTTGACGACGACGGTGATAACGATGATGACATGCATTCAGAAGGAGACGACGACGACGACGACGAGGATGCGTATCATGACATGTATGGCGACGAATCGCACGAGGACGACGGGGACGACGACAGTGACGACGACGAAGACCAGGACATGACACATGACGACGAGGCCCTTCCTCCTCGTTCCAAGAAGGATGCCAAGGGGATCGCTGCGGACGTACGGGGCGAGTTCGTTTCGTACTTTACGCACGCGCTGTTTACGAGTCTGGTGCATGCTGTGGCAGCTGTGGACAACAAGCACGTGACCCACGCAGTCTTGTCCACGTTAGCCACCGTGCTCGTGTACCCGATACTCGAGTTGACGGAGGCCGACTTGGGTGTGTTGCTAGAGGTAATCCACGGTCTGTTGATGGAAACGCCCGCTTCCGGCGACGTCACCACCCCCAACAACAACGATGCCGACGGAGACGTGTACCCGACGATCCTCGCGCTGCGCCTGCTCCAAGCGCTGTCAGCTGTTCAGAATCCGACGGTGGTTCGGCACATGGAACGGCAGGGCATTCTGGAGCGCCTGCGGTCGATTGCGCAGCCTACCCGTACGTTGAACGCTGTCGACGCGGCCGTGTCATCTCTGGTCTCGGACTGGCTCGACACATTGCAACCGCTGGCGTCAACGTCGTTGGTGGCGAATCCAGTGGTTGCCCGGTTGAATGCCTTGTGTGAGCACCTCGAGACGTCCTGTGACACTGTCTTGGACGACATGCTGTCGTGCATCGACGACGGCGTCACAACGTACGAACTGACCAAATCGGCGGTCGTGCCAACGCTGCTGCAGGCGCTTTCGACCCGCACAGGCGCGGTCGTGTGGACGCCGAAGTGGCAGACGCTGGTCCGCCACTTGCATCAAGTCGTGGGGTTGCATGAATCGCTGCCTGTGATCAGCTACGCCATGGCCAAAGGCAAGGAATTCTACCCGTTGACGCGGCAATTGCGTCTCCGCATGCGCGTCGAGAAACGTACGGACGCCCCCCCCCGGAGCATCCATGCGTCGCCGCTGACGCTGTTTTCGTCGTTTGAACGCACCGTGTTTCGATGTGCGACACTGCGGGACCCCCAGTGGCTCCAGTACGCGTGGAGTTTGGTCGGCCATTCGATTTGGAAACCGTCCGACGGCAAGTGGGTTGAAGCGACCGTGTGTGGCTTTGAATCTGCGACAGGGTGCCACCTCGTGCATTGCCGCGACGAGTACGTCGAGGAGGTGCTGCATGAAGAAACGTACCGCCTCGTCAAGTCGTTGCGTGTGTGTGCGTCCGTGTCGATGGACTTGAGCGTGTTTGGGCGTCCGCCGGCGTTGAAACGAACCACGCCGGACGACGACGACGACAACGACGACCAGACTAGTCACCATGTGCGTCGATCGAAGCGCATCAAGCGACAGGGGGGCGAGGTGATCCGGGACGACGACGACGCCGCCGTCCACCCGCGGTTGTTGGCCGAGTCGTCGCCCCCATACGACAAGGCGCGGTCGCGAGAGCAACGGTTGATGGATGTGTTGCGATTGCAAGACATGTCGGCAACTACCCCGACCGAAGGCGACAAGGTGTGGGTGTCGTCGAATCATGGCGGATCGCTCATTTGCGTATGCGGGACGTTTGTGAAGAAGACAACGGCGTCGCAGGTGGAGGTTCAAGTCTCGTTTGGGTCGTCGCAGGTGAACGTGCCGTTGGTCGTGGACGAAGCCAACGTCGTGACATTTCAAGCCAAGGCCAGGCCTGGGTCGGCTGCGTCGTCCAAAGGTATTCTACGTCGTCGAGATGATGGACCTGATGATAATGGTGTAGTGCAACGAATGCTGGGGGCATTGGACTCGCACAGTGGACGGAATGGCGGCCGACCCGTGCTGGAACACCTGCGACGGCTGCTCTCGCGCTCCCGCCACTCGGACCACATTGACGCCGAGGACGAGAGCAGTACTGCCGCCGTCGCGTCGTCGTCGTCCTCCGCTGCCGCCGCGTCGTCGACGCCCCCTTCTCGCGCCAAGAAAAACAAGCAAAAAGCAGCAGCCGCCAAGCCCAATTCGCGACCCACCATAACCGCCGAAGACGAACTGTTTACGACAGCGTCGCCGCCCGTCGTTCGGGTGTTGCTCGGTTTGGGCGAGTCCAGCGACAAGTCGGAGGATCAACTGCATTGGCTCACGCCGGACGGCGCCCGCCTCAACGACGTGGCAGTCCCCGTGGCCCGGTGGTTGTTTCGATCGTTTGCAGCCGGACAAGTACCCGCGGCCAAGCCATCCTCGATGGAGGCGGACGACACAGTCGAGTCGGACACTCTTGCCAAGTGGTCGTTGGCGGAATTCAGCAGTTTCTGCAAACAACTCAAGCTTGGGCTGGCGCCGTCGGAAGAGTACTTGGCGTTTTCTGGGTACGCGACAACCGCAAACCAAGAAGACGTGCTGACATGGGCTGGCTTTTCGTCTTGGCTCGTGGACATTGTGTGCAAAGATGCAAAGTACTTGCGGGGCTTGGGCCAATACCTGGAGCACTTGGGCTTCGAAGCGGCGACGTTCCAGTCGACGGCGCCGTCGGTGCCGCTCATGGAATTTGCTCCAGACGACAACTTGTTTCAGTGTTTGACTCGGATCCACCCGTCGCAATCGCTGGGGTTGGTACCGTGGAAGTGTGTGTTCAACGTTTTTTGCGACTTTCAAGTGCGGTGGAAACGTGACGACGTCAAGCCTGCGACAGCGTTGCCTACGTCCGACCACAGTATCGCAGGACCACCCGCGTTTACCCAATGCGTCCGGCTGCTGCAGGTGCTGCACGACATGTTTGGCGATGGAACTACCAAGGACACGTGGCTCAACCCACAACTGTCAAGGAAGCTTCGCATGCAGTTGCAGGACGTGCTGTCAGTCACGAGCGGCACGTACCCGGCTTGGTGCGACGAGCTCGTGCAACAGGTATATATATATATATGTATGGAAACAACAAATATATATATATATATGGAAACAATATATATATATATATATATGAAACACTCATGTATGCATTGATTTGACCACGTTTTTGTTTTTCCATCTACATATATATATTACATATATCTGAACCTCTCGTGTACATGTATTAGACCAAGTTTTTGTTTCCGCTCGAGATGCGGTACACGTTGTTTCGGACAACGGCGTTTGGGTTTTCACGGTCGTTGCACTGGTTTCGCGACCATTTGGAGTCAGCGAATGACGAACTGACGATCTCGCCACTGCCCAAGGAACGAGCCAAAGTTGACCGCAGCGACATCCTCCACAGTGCCGACGCTGTCCTCAAGGTGCACGCCAAGCGCAAGGCCGTGCTCGACATTGTGTTTGTGGGTGAGCGCGGGTACGGCTCGGGCGTGACGGCGGCGTTCTATTCGGCTGTCGCCCATGCGCTGCAATGCAATGCCACCATGCATGTCTGGTACAGCTATACATATATGAACTCTCGTTCCTACTTGGTTCGATATTCAGCACACTAATACGTGACATACACATCAAATGTACATGTTGTGCTTGTCGACTACAGTCGCCAGACGCGAAAGAAATATATTGAACATGGGTAGGGTCCGAGGACATGAAGGTTCCACTGACGACGTGGTGCGGCATCCCAACGGGCTGTTCCCGGTCCCCGTCGCGGCGGCGTCGGACGCGCTCAAAGATCGATTCCGACTCATGGGGTACAACGACCTACGACGTAAATGATTGGTTGAGAGTGGGGTTCGTGTAGGCGTTTGGCTGGGAAAGCGCTGCAAGACGAACGGTTGTTGCCTCTGCCGCTGTCGTCGCACTTTTTAAAGCTAGTGTTTGGCGAACGTGTGGATGCTTCGGATCTGGCCGCCATCTTCTTGGAGCCTGGCCGCATCCTATCGCAACTACACACCGTGTCCAAGGCTCTGCTGCAGACGACACCGAAGTCCGACGTCCGGATTGAAAACATGTCGGCTCGCGACTGGCTGGCGGCAGTGGACCTCAACTTTGTCGACCCGATCACACAAGCCGAGCTAGGTACTACCTAGTACTACCCATCCCCCATCTCCCCATCCTCTATAACTCACAGTCCTTTGCAAGTAGAAACCAATGGAAGTGCCAAAGCTGTGACAGTGGACAACCTGCACTTGTATGTGGCGCTGGTGGTCGAGTCATGGCTAGGTCGCGGCGTATCTAGCCAAGTGCAGGCGTTTCAAGAAGGGCTGGGCGAGGTGGTGCCGCTGACCAAGCTCAAGCTGCTGTTTGTGGACGAACTGCAGCTGACGCTATGTGGCACGGCGGACGTCGAGTGGACCCACGAATCCCTCCGCCAGACAATCAAGTTGGCGCACGGGTACACGTCGTCCAGCGAGCCCATCGAGCACTTTATCGAGGTGCTTGTCGACATGACGACTGCCCAGCGCCGCGCGTTCCTCTTGTATGCGACAGGGTGTCCGAACCTCCCGCCCGGCGGCGTCGGGTTTGAGAAGCTCAAGCCCCAGTTTGAAGTCGTGCGACGGGTGAGTCCGGACGGCCAGGCGGCGGATGCGACGCTGCCGTTTGCACGGACGTGTACCAACACCCTCCATTTACCAGCATACTCGACGAAAGCGGTCTTGGCCAAGCAGTTGGAGTACGCCGTCTTGAACAGCAAGGGCGTGATCGATCGAGATTAATAGAGTCCATGGTGTTGTTTTTCCTGTGGATTACTTTTTGGGCTTTTGGCAGCCCTTGCCCCACTCGACGCTGCACAACTTAGACGCAATCTTGTACTGGGTGCCGAGGTACTGGACGACATCTTGGCCCAAGTTGCCTTGGATATGCACCTCGACGTCTTTGCCGTGAAGAACGATCGTGGCGCTAGGAAGATGGCCGTGTCAGTCACACCTCGTTCTACTGTATCATCGTCGAATGGTTGCTTGTTATTACCTGCAGGCCCACTTCTTTTGGGCGTCTTTTAAAAACGCATCGGGGTCGAGGCCAAATTGCTACATACCCCACATTGACAGACATGTATGAGTACTTTCCAATCATAACCATGGAACGAGGTATGTACTAGGTACTAGGTACATATATACCGAGGTACTAGGTCCATATATACCGAGGTACTAGGTACTACAGTAGGTACTACTATATATAATTATATACCTCAATGTTGGCCACGATCGTCACTGGTTTTTGGCGTTTGGTCAGCTCCGTCTTAATGCGAATCGGTCGATATTCCCCCACCACGGGCACCACCGGCTGCTCTGGGTACAGTTGAATCGAATGGTAGGGCTACCCAATGCTCATTAACTTCAGTTTTCACAACTAAAGGACAAGGGCGATTGGAGGATTTACAAACCCGAAGGCGTGACACCAAGAGCTGGAGCACGTCTTGGCGCAATAACTTGTCTGGGTACCCCGCCGCCTACACGTATGTACAACAGTCGTGGATCGTACACTTGGTGACATAATCGCAATGCAACGTACCGGTTTCTTCTTTCCTGGATACAAGGCATCGGTCAAGATCATGTCCAATTGGACATATTGGGGCTCCCGTGGGTGTACCAGTCCGTTCGTGGCAATGTACTCATTCAACAGGGCCCGGACATCGGCCAAGTGGAGCGCCGTCGCCTTGGTGTCCGCCCCCAACAGCTGCGTTTGCTGCGTCAACCGGTACAGCTGCACCACTTCGGGGGCATACTTGCCAGGAACAAACATACCCGCCGTCGCTTCCTACATGTCGACAGGATCGTCCTCATCATTTCGGAATGTCAAGGTTCTAGTGAGGAGGAGGGGGTCGTACAGCCTCCAAGTCGACGGCGACGTTCATTTCCGAGCGATGGAGCTGGTGGCGACTCACGTCCCTACACAACACACAAACCAACCATGTCGACGGGGGTGAGCCTTCCACTGAAACATCAGCAGGTGGGGTTCGTACGGATGGGTCTTTCGAAACAACGTGATGGTTTGGACGCCGTCGTGCTCAGTCACGTCGACCACGCCTCGGGACGCCATGTCTTTGAGAAACGTCGAAATCTTCTTGTACGAGGTGCCCTTGACGTTGATGGCCGTGCCGACGGGACGACATGGCAGCACCAGCGACGCGTAAAACCGACTGGCGAGCATGGGCGCGTCGCTGGGCTTGACCACTTTCATGGCTTGGTAGAAACTTCGCTCGAGAAGGTCATCTAGGTCGGCTTGGGACCTGACGCTTTCACCTTCTTCTTCATCGTTGGCATCGTCCTCGTTCGGGCCAACATGGACGGTAGACGGTGGCTTCTTCTCCTCTATTTCGTCACCCTCTAGCGTAATAGCGTTGATGTCGAGTACTTCAGATGCTGTAGCTTGGCTGGCTACTTCTATGGGAAGGATTTCGTTGTCGGTGAACCCTTCAGGAAGGTTGCGCGAAAGAAGCGACTGAGGGTTCAGTTTCGAGAGTTCGTCAAACACAACATGCAAAAGTTGCATGGCCTTGCCTTTCCATCCCTGGACGGCGAGGGTTTCCGCGTCCACAAGCATGTCTCCGATCGCAAATGGCATCGGATTGCCGTGCACGTACACGGCACGCAACTGTCCCTTGAGGAACGGATGGTCAGTCGAATGAGATTGTTTCAACACCCCGGGCAGCATCGGGTCTGCGCCACGCAGCAAGAAATGGCTCACTGGAGAATGTACAACAAGCTGCGGCAAGTGCGAGCGCAGCGCTGGCTCGTGCCAAAGTAGGTACACCGACGGCACCACGTCGCCTTTTCCGTGGACATCGAACGCCAGCACGTTCGAATCGGCGTCCGTGAACAACACCGTGCGGCTTGGAGCCGCCAGCTTGATCTTGACGATTTCCGCCTTGGCCAGGAGGTTCCATGGGAAGCTCGCATCGCTCTCAATGCCACAGGACTTTAACAGGTCCAACCGAACCTTCTTCACATCCTTGCCCTTCAGCCGCGTATTGCCGCTCGTGTTGAACGCTTTGGCGAACATCGTGACCAAGTTTTCACAGACCTTTGAAATCGGATTGAACCAAAACTGAACCATCAAAACCTTCAATTATTAATATTTACAACTCCAATCTACAGTACTGTCAACGATCAACTGAAAAATGAAATTTTGAGCGTAAAACTTCAAAAGAATACGACACCACCGTTACAATGACTGGCACGACGACCGCCAAGACAAACGCCAAGCGAGTGTTTTCCGATATATCCACCGAGAGCCCTGAGACCAATGTATTTGCAATGCTCAGTGCGTGGCCCCCCAAGGTGTCAAAGTACTAGGGGGAGAAGGGGCGCCTCCGCAACCTCTTGGAGTTCGCGGAACCCCTAGACCCCGACGACATTAGAGATCGAATTGCTCTCTTGGCGATCACCCTCTTGAACGGCGCGTCCGTAGAGTATGCGATGGATTTCCCCACAGAACAAATTAGTCTGGAGGACCCCCTCACCACCGCGCGAACTCTCGTCTCCCCCAAGGACCGGCACCTCTTCGAGACTATGCTGAGTGGGGAGGACCTCCCTCCCATCGACTTGGACAACGAAATGACCCTTGTCACAAAGACAGGGAAATCGCTCCAGAAGTTGTCGGGACAGACACCGGGCTGTATATTATGCGTACAATCGGCCAAACGGAGATGAAAGTCACGCCCATGAGTTTACGAACGAGCACACCAAGTTCTGGCGCGACTGCCACCCCGATTTGGTCCCTCTCTTGACTGCATGCTCGCGCGTGGTCAAGCTGACTCTAGCGGGCATGCCCAAGGACTCGACCCTCAGCCGGCAGGACTGGATTGAGTACTGCGCACTGAAGACGGTCCTTGCTGCGTTTGCAGATGCCCAACGCAAGATCAATGAGTCCACCTCGCGCATGAAAAAGGAGAATGTGGCGCTGTTGAGAATCACCGGCCCGTTCGTTGCAGCCTACCACTCTAAACTTCCCTCGGACGGCACCCTCTGCAAGCCCCCATCGCCCCCGCGAAGAGAGATCGAACCCCCGCCTACACGATTAGTATGGATATCTCCAGCGAGAGGAAGGCTACGTGCGAAACCGGCAACTTCAAGGCTGAAACGCCACATGCCCCGTAGGCTCCACGACCAAATTACAAGTGCCAATGTAGCTACACATACTGCAAGTAGTGATCAACATATCGTGGAAAAAAAGCTCAATGCACGAAGCAATCAAAAGTCAAACTCATTCCGTGTCATGCTTTGGTCATACTCCGAGTACTACAGTTGTAACATTGCTCTATTAATAGTACTATTATTAATAATAGTACTACTAGTAGTTCATAGTATCTATACAAAAATCGACCGATTGATTTCGTGAATCAGCACAAATATACAAATTTGAGCTTTCAGCCAAAATTTGTATATCATTCTAGATATCCCATACTACCTACCAAAGAACCCAGACAACTGGGATGTACTGTACATCTACCCGATGGTAATGCTACTTGAGTTATTCTAACTGGACTGGTTGGTCGCGACCGCTGCCACAGCGTCCGCTTCTAATCGAGTGCACACAATGGTGGCCACATCTTCGTCTCCCAGTGCCAGCGCCATGTCGAGCAGCGTTTCGCCCTGGAAGCCTTCAATTGTTGAGTCCAATCCATGGGACAAGAGCGTGTCCACGAGGGCGGCGTTGGAGCAACCAAACGCCGCCGTATAGCCCTGTGCGTTGGTGGCGTTAATGTCTGTGGTTGGATGCTGGAGCAGCAGCTTGACGATGGCCTCCATGTCAAAGCAAACGGCAATGTGCAGGGCCGAGTCTTCCGAGTCAGGCAGCTTCAAGTTGACGTCCACCGTGCCTTGGCCAAGAAGAAACGATACGATGTTTTCATGTCCACCGCGACATGCCAGTGTCAGCGGGGTGTGCACCTCGTCGTCGGCGGCCTCGTCGTCGTCGCACTTGTACTTGAACACGGCGTTGGCCATGGCGGCGTTGCACAGATCCCCGAGCACATCCACGTGTCCCGCATCGATGGCTCGAGCCAATGCAGGTGTGCCAAGGGAATGATTGTGTTGGCGCTTCTCAATGTCCGCGTCAAAATCATGGACGAGCGCGTGGACGAACGACGCAGCACCGCAGTTGGCGGCCTGCATGAGCAGCGTCCATCCCATGTCGTCCAACAAGTCGATGGGGACAAAGCTGTCGCTTCGGAGCAGCGCGAGCGCGATCTTTTCAAACCCCGCGAGCACCTGGACGCCCTCGTCTTCGATCTCCTTGATCTCGCCTGCCGTGTCTTCCTGCGCCTCGTTGTCGTCCAGGTTTCTGCTCAATGTTTCCGTGTATAGGGTCAAGGACGACATGATGCATTCGTACTCTTGCTGCCACTTGTGCATCCAATTCATAATTACGAGCAAGCACTCGAACGATGTCCCGGCGCCGGCAACAGTGCGAAGGCGATCCACGTCCACGGCCTTGATGATGTCTAGCAAAGCGGAGCCGAGGTTGTCCTCGTCACCATCAGCTTCTCCTTGATGTCCTGCTGCTACGAAGTCGAATGCTTCAACGCCATGATGTTGCGATGTCTTGCTCGGGCGCTTCGTCCCCATCCCCGTCCGTCGTATCCAAGCAATACTGTAATGCCATCGATATTTAGACGTCTGAATAATATGTTGGTTACAAAGTTCACGTTTTTTGTTCCAAATACGACAAATATTTTGCGAATAATTGTATAAACTGGTTGAACGTTTTGAAATTATTTGTCGATTTTGACTTTGTTTTCACACTATTTTGCTACTGTTTTCATAGTTTTTGATAATAGAGAAAACGCACGTGCAAGCTCGGACGAGATGGCTCGGCGAGGCACCCAAAGTGCGCAAGGAAACCTCATGGGCGGCAATGTGAACAACCAGAACGACTACCTTCAGAAGATACTGGCAGAGGTGGACCCCAAGTTCGTCCTTCAGCCGGGAGTGGAGGAGCTGCTCATGGACATGGCGACAGATTTCGTGCACGACGTGACGTCTGCGAGCGGTCGGTTGGCCAAGCACCGTCGAGCGACGCAAGTGGACGCAAAGGACATGCAACTCGTGCTGGACAAGAGCTACGGCATTTCCGTGGCGGCGAAGAAGAAGCTGCACGCCCCCTCGAACAAGCCAAAGCCCGCCAAAACCTCTGTCCACATGCATCGTGTGGCGCTCAAGCGTAAAATTCTCACCGCCGTCCACGCGCAAAAGAAGAAAGCCAACAAGACGTAGCATCCCAACTCTTGCAGCACGTCCATCGCGGGATATATCCGGCGCATTTGTATAACATCAACAACCCACCTGTATATGCATCTTATCGTTAAACCATCGAGAACCCGTTTGGGGCCGACGACGGCGGCGGGTTCGTCTGCTGCTGCTGCTGATGTTGTTGGTGATGTGTCATGTGCATGTGCATTTCGTGTAGATACGAGTGTGGGGGAATGGGGTATTGCTGCATCATTGGCGGCGTCAACCCTGGAATCGCCAGGCCCATGCTCATGGCAGAGATCATGTCCATGTCGGTGGTGTTGGTGGCAGAGTCGGACGACAACACAAGTGTCGACGGCGCTGAAGTCGTCGTCGTCGACGGGGGAATTGGCATAGGTGATGCCTTGGCCACTTTGTCTTTTCGCGAATTCAGGTCGGGGGCTTTGGCTTTCTTGGCTTTGGACGATGATGTCCTGCCGTCGACTACCGCGGCGGCTGGCAGCAGTGACTCGTCCTTGCTTAGATCCGATTCCAACGGCATCTCAATCCGCGCTTTGTGAAACGCCGCAACGTACGTGTCTGCCTTGTAAATTGATCCAAAGTGATTCAAAATCAACTAAACGGCCAATATCCCAACATGTTAGTACTACATAGCTAGTAGTACAACAACATATATAAATACATATATATGTACCTGATCTTGGCCGAAATGGCGCGCCGCGGCAATGAAGTGGCGGCATGGAATCCCCAGTTGATGCATACTCGAACACGTACACGTCCCATCCCCCAAATGCACGCGAAAGTTGGCCTTGGGCCGGGCGCCAGACTTCCACACGTACGCGAGCAGGTCGTCACTGGGTCGGGTGGTGTACTGCAGCGACTCGTTCACTTCGTCAGAGTATACATGTTGGGCTCCAGGCGTGAGAATCGTCGACGCAGCCAGCAACTGACCCGCCAATGTGCTCTTTGCAAACGTCAGTTCCATCATGCGCGTCAAGTAGCTGTAGAGTAAATCGAACGGGGCTTCGTCACATCCATCGGTTGTTGTCGCTCCGTGCATGCCTACGCTAGTTCGTCAGTCTATATCCGAGATGTACAGTATACGAGGTACATTTAAAATATAATGGATTTGATATAAAACATATGTTTTGGAATAGAATAAAAATACATTATTAACCCGTTGAACAGTTACAATTATTTAAAAAAAATTAAAACAATTGGAATATATATAAGTATTATATTACATGTATGTGAAGTACCTGTCGTATACGATGTAGACGACCAGTTTTAAAACAATTGGAATATATATATATATGTATATATTATATGTACATGTATGTGATGTACCTGTCGTATACGATGTAGACGACCATTTATAGTACCGAGTAGACGACAGCTGTCCCTTGTACGACGTCCAGTGCGTCGGGTCGAGCTCACGAAGGTACGCCGCGGCCGACTCGTTCACTTGCTCCAGTTGAAGCATCGTCTGCACAAACCCTGCTTCGGTTTCTTGAAAGTGCAGCTCCCACACGAGCAGCTCCGCTGGGCCCAACTTGGCCACGGATTTGTCTTGATTCAGCGCTTCCACCAAGCTCTTGATGCAGAATCGAATGGTGACAGTGGGCAGCGCGCGACGGACGCCGTCGACGACCCCAGGGTACAGGAACGTGCACACGACGGGGACCTCGTCAAAGCTGAAGCCCCGCTGCGCCCGAGTGATAAACCACTCGACGTGCTCGGCCGATGGTTCTGGAACTAGTCCAAACGCGATGATCTGGGGCTGGAAGTTGCCGTCTTGGCCCAACAACAGCACGACATACCCCTTGTAGTCGGGACAGGTGGACGGAATGACTTCGACGCCGACAATTTTTTGAAGCGCGGGCGCGGCATGATGGCTGACGCTGGGCAAGACAAACGCGCGCACAAAGTGACCCATGTCGCTGGCTGTGTAGTCGGCAATCGACGGAGAGTTCTTGTCGACGAAGGATGACAGTAGCGACGGAATGAACTTGTAGCTTTCGACCAAGTCGTCCTGTGAGTGCACGGCGATGAGCTTCTTGGCACGATATGCCAGTCGCAATGGAATCTTGATGCCTTGTTCAGCAGACGACAAAAAGTCTTCGGTGAGCAGCTTGCCGTTCGCTTTGGAGTGGGTCACGACAGCCTGTCGAAACGATGCCATGTCCGCCAACTGGCGGGCGGTTGGCTGTGCCGCGCCGACGCAAGTCTCGGAATGCTGCAAGTTCATGGAAGAAATCTTCCAGCTCTCCGCCTTGGGCGCGCGAAGCACACGGACGTACCACCCGCAGTTGTCGCACGAACAAATGTACTTCTTGTTGCGCCCGCCGCTCGTCTTCTTGTCCATGCGCGCTCGCTTCTTCTGCGCAAAGAGGGCGAAATCATTCACCGCCCTCGACGCTTCCTTGGCGCTTCCCCATCGCATATCCTGCGTCAGCACCAAGTCACGCCTTCCAAAGGACCCTTGAAATAGTTGATGGTTTGGTGCATCCAACCCAACTGTTGCCCTTGGGTGGCTATCTCCCGCTCCATTCGTACTACCAGAAGCATGCCGTTTGCTTTCGTCCACGTTTCGCGCATTCTCACAGCTTTCTGAATGGGCGGAGTCGACGCTCACTATCGTCCATGTGCCCAACGCCGACATATCTTTGACGACCTCGACGTTCCACGTGCACTCGTGCTGGTTACGATGCCGACAGATCAAGCGCTTGGCGTCGTCCCGCTTGAAGGCTCGGTCAACTTGAGTCTCATGCTTGTGCAGGGAAGCGTCCTCCTTGATGGCTTTGACTGCCGCAGGAAGAGTTGCAAATTGCGCGCCATGGAGGTTGGTCATTTTCGGATGGAGCACCCTCCTTTGACTCGAACACCCCCCTTTGTCAGTTTTGAACCCGTCGTTATCCGAATTCGGCTTCGGTTATCCGAATGACCTGCAGTCTGTTACTCCCTCTGATCCATTTTACTTGCGCGAGTTTTTAGGACGGTAGACATGACATGAAATTAAAATACGAAGTGAAAATCAAAATACCTTTGCCCCCCCTGAAAGCAAAGTTCGTCACTCTGATTGGACCAGACGAAAGAGCGCGAAACAGGCTTCAAAAATCGGACCTCACCATTCGATTCAGGAGGGGGGGTAACACCGACAACTCTCCAACGCGTACAACAGAACTACCAAGTACCAACACGTACGTTATCGAGGTTGCATATTCATACATCTATTCATCTATTCATACATCACTACTACGGCGAATGCATGACACATGGCAGCTGTACTTGGCAGCGAGCTCGGAGCTGAACCCTTTAAGCATCTTGGTCATGAAGGTGCCATTGCTGCGCATCAGAGCTTCTCGCAGGATTGCCTCGCGCTCAGTGTTTGTCAACTCGCGCCGACCTGGCGCCATGTGAAAGTGAGGCAAGGCAACAAGATGGAGTGTTGATCAGTCGAATGCATGTTTTATACGAATGTATGTATGGTGACGAGAAAACTCGGAAATCAAATCGTCCAGGTCAGCATTTGCCTCTACAAATACATGCTTCCCTCGATATGCGACATGGAAATTGTAACGTTACACCCTTAATAATACGTATTATAGATCCTAAATTTATGAGGGTGTTATGATTTAATTCAGGGAGGCACACGGCAAATTTTCTTATCGCGCAAGTATAGTGGATCAGAGGGAGTACTGTAGTACTGTAGAGCGACATGTGGAATTCGAATCGACACATCCAAATGAAGAATCAGTCGAAGGATTTAGCCCCAAATTTGTTACGCCAAATCAGGCCATTTCTGAATTGCATTCTTCGGTGCAAAGTCAAGCCTCGGCCACCGCTCTACTGCACACAGCTCTTCACTCGTACGAAGATCGTGTCTCCCGCGAAGTTGAACGCCTCTCGTGTGACGTCCAAGTTCTCGGTCGTCTCCTCCACGAACAACTTCCTGTACCACCTGCTCTTTCAGACGACACTCGCCCCCTGCCTGGAAGCGCTTACCAGGAAAACCAACTCTTACACGAACGCGTCTCGCCTCTCGTCCACGACAAGACCCTTCTGCAAGACCGCGTGCTACTTCTCGAAACACTCATTGATCAGCTCAGTCTAGACTTCTCGTCCCGTCTAGCCCAAGCTTCGATCCCAGCACCCGAACCATCCTCGGGCTACCCTTTTCAGCTCCCTTCCGAACTCACTGCCCTCTTGACCAAAATGTCCAGTGAAATGGCTGATGTGAAGGAGGCTATCGACACGTCCTCGAGCAACCAAGCATTCGGTCGCGCTGTGAAATACACTACCATCCCGTCGTCGGACGCCCATGATCACGGTGAGTACTTCATGGAGCAACTCTTGGAACAAGCTGACCGCGGTGGTCTGACTGACGACGAACGCAAGTCCCTTCTCGGTCTGAAACTCTCGGTCGTCAAGACTCCCACTACCCTGAATGCCTGGTGGATCGCCTACTCCAAGACGAAAGGCGGTGAAGTCTGGTCTGAGATCCATGACAGGTCGTTGTGATCGTCGTGGACATTGCGCCAACGAATGCTCTCGACGGACTATGCTGCAACTCTTGCGGCCAGACGGGACATTACCCAGGCGAACATGTCAAGCTCTGCCACTTCTGCGGCCAGCCTGGACACACCGTTGCCAAATGCCCATCCAAGACCGCAAATCAAGCCTGAGGCTTTGGCGCTGAGATGAACCTTATGGGAACAGGTTTCGTCTCGGCTTTCCACATTCAGCACGCTCCCTATGTGCCTGAGAACAATGCATCTTCTTTTCTTGTTCGATCCCAATTGTTACGACGGAGGAAGGACTCACGTCTTTTCTCCATCCTTCAATCTTGGACTCGACTCGAATGCCGCATCTATCTACGCACACTCATGTTTCACGACGAAGTCCCCCGCCGACGGACTCTGTTCGTCTGGCCAAGCTCGAGTCACACTCTTCTCCTACGCACTCAAGACCCCCCCCGACGAACCACGTTTGTGTGGCCAAGTCTGTTTGTGACGATTCTACGGCTCCTATTCAAGCACCATCACTCGACTCGACGGTTGCTTCATCGACTTCTCGCAACCAGATTCGCAACAGCGCGGACGAC